GTCGACTCAAAAGTCACCTCGTTTTGAGTCGACTCAAAAGTCACCTCGTTTTGAGTCGACTCAAAAGTCACCTCGTTTTGAGTCGACTCAAAAGTCACCTCGTTTTGAGTCGACTCAAAAGTCACCTCGTTTTGAGTCGACTCAAAAGTCACCTCGTTTTGAGTCGACTCAAAAGTCACCTCGTTTTGAGTCGACTCAAAAGTCACCTCGTTTTGAGTCGACTCAAAAGTCACCTCGTTTTGAGTCGACTCAAAAGTCACCTCGTTTTGAGTCGACTCAAAAGTCACCTCGTTTTGAGTCGACTCAAAAGTCACCTCGTTTTGAGTCGACTCAAAAGTCACCTCGTTTTGAGTCGACTCAAAAGTCACCTCGTTTTGAGTCGACTCAAAAGTCACCTCGTTTTGAGTCGACTCAAAAGTCACCTCGTTTTGAGTCGACTCAAAAGTCACCTCGTTTTGAGTCGACTCAAAAGTCACCTCGTTTTGAGTCGACTCAAAAGTCACCTCGTTTTGAGTCGACTCAAAAGTCACCTCGTTTTGAGTCGACTCAAAAGTCACCTCGTTTTGAGTCGACTCAAAAGTCACCTCGTTTTGAGTCGACTCAAAAGTCACCTCGTTTTGAGTCGACTCAAAAGTCACCTCGTTTTGAGTCGACTCAAAAGTCACCTCGTTTTGAGTCGACTCAAAAGTCACCTCGTTTTGAGTCGACTCAAAAGTCACCTCGTTTTGAGTCGACTCAAAAGTCACCTCGTTTTGAGTCGACTCAAAAGTCACCTCGTTTTGAGTCGACTCAAAAGTCACCTCGTTTTGAGTCGACTCAAAAGTCACCTCGTTTTGAGTCGACTCAAAAGTCACCTCGTTTTGAGTCGACTCAAAAGTCACCTCGTTTTGAGTCGACTCAAAAGTCACCTCGTTTTGAGTCGACTCAAAAGTCACCTCGTTTTGAGTCGACTCAAAAGTCACCTCGTTTTGAGTCGACTCAAAAGTCACCTCGTTTTGAGTCGACTCAAAAGTCACCTCGTTTTGAGTCGACTCAAAAGTCACCTCGTTTTGAGTCGACTCAAAAGTCACCTCGTTTTGAGTCGACTCAAAAGTCACCTCGTTTTGAGTCGACTCAAAAGTCACCTCGTTTTGAGTCGACTCAAAAGTCACCTCGTTTTGAGTCGACTCAAAAGTCACCTCGTTTTGAGTCGACTCAAAAGTCACCTCGTTTTGAGTCGACTCAAAAGTCACCTCGTTTTGAGTCGACTCAAAAGTCACCTCGTTTTGAGTCGACTCAAAAGTCACCTCGTTTTGAGTCGACTCAAAAGTCACCTCGTTTTGAGTCGACTCAAAAGTCACCTCGTTTTGAGTCGACTCAAAAGTCACCTCGTTTTGAGTCGACTCAAAAGTCACCTCGTTTTGAGTCGACTCAAAAGTCACCTCGTTTTGAGTCGACTCAAAAGTCACCTCGTTTTGAGTCGACTCAAAAGTCACCTCGTTTTGAGTCGACTCAAAAGTCACCTCGTTTTGAGTCGACTCAAAAGTCACCTCGTTTTGAGTCGACTCAAAAGTCACCTCGTTTTGAGTCGACTCAAAAGTCACCTCGTTTTGAGTCGACTCAAAAGTCACCTCGTTTTGAGTCGACTCAAAAGTCACCTCGTTTTGAGTCGACTCAAAAGTCACCTCGTTTTGAGTCGACTCAAAAGTCACCTCGTTTTGAGTCGACTCAAAAGTCACCTCGTTTTGAGTCGACTCAAAAGTCACCTCGTTTTGAGTCGACTCAAAAGTCACCTCGTTTTGAGTCGACTCAAAAGTCACCTCGTTTTGAGTCGACTCAAAAGTCACCTCGTTTTGAGTCGACTCAAAAGTCACCTCGTTTTGAGTCGACTCAAAAGTCACCTCGTTTTGAGTCGACTCAAAAGTCACCTCGTTTTGAGTCGACTCAAAAGTCACCTCGTTTTGAGTCGACTCAAAAGTCACCTCGTTTTGAGTCGACTCAAAAGTCACCTCGTTTTGAGTCGACTCAAAAGTCACCTCGTTTTGAGTCGACTCAAAAGTCACCTCGTTTTGAGTCGACTCAAAAGTCACCTCGTTTTGAGTCGACTCAAAAGTCACCTCGTTTTGAGTCGACTCAAAAGTCACCTCGTTTTGAGTCGACTCAAAAGTCACCTCGTTTTGAGTCGACTCAAAAGTCACCTCGTTTTGAGTCGACTCAAAAGTCACCTCGTTTTGAGTCGACTCAAAAGTCACCTCGTTTTGAGTCGACTCAAAAGTCACCTCGTTTTGAGTCGACTCAAAAGTCACCTCGTTTTGAGTCGACTCAAAAGTCACCTCGTTTTGAGTCGACTCAAAAGTCACCTCGTTTTGAGTCGACTCAAAAGTCACCTCGTTTTGAGTCGACTCAAAAGTCACCTCGTTTTGAGTCGACTCAAAAGTCACCTCGTTTTGAGTCGACTCAAAAGTCACCTCGTTTTGAGTCGACTCAAAAGTCACCTCGTTTTGAGTCGACTCAAAAGTCACCTCGTTTTGAGTCGACTCAAAAGTCACCTCGTTTTGAGTCGACTCAAAAGTCACCTCGTTTTGAGTCGACTCAAAAGTCACCTCGTTTTGAGTCGACTCAAAAGTCACCTCGTTTTGAGTCGACTCAAAAGTCACCTCGTTTTGAGTCGACTCAAAAGTCACCTCGTTTTGAGTCGACTCAAAAGTCACCTCGTTTTGAGTCGACTCAAAAGTCACCTCGTTTTGAGTCGACTCAAAAGTCACCTCGTTTTGAGTCGACTCAAAAGTCACCTCGTTTTGAGTCGACTCAAAAGTCAGCAAGTGAGGAGGAGGCAGGGCATGGCAACAAGCATGAGCGCTGAGGCAGAGGCGTGGCGTGGGAGGAGAAGTAGGGCGAGCCACGTACGAAATTTGAGGCGCCTCAAAAATCGTCTTAGGAGAAGTAGGGCGAGCCATGTACGAAAAGCCACGGGCGATCCACCTACAAAAATCTCCTATTCACTCACTCACGCTCCTATCCTCCTGCCCCTCTCCCCATCCCCACCACTCTTCACCGCCCCTTCCTCGCCCCAGTGCCCCCGCCCTTCCCCCTCCCCGGCAGTAACATGACATGGCAGCAGGCGTGGGCCATGAGGCAGAGGAGGAGGAGAGTAGGCCGAGCCACGTACGAAAAGACTTTTGAGGCGCCTCAAAAGCCGCCGCTTTACCCGCAATTTTTTAGGCGCCTCAAAAGTCATCTCTTTACCCGCAATTTTTTAGGCGCCTCAAAAGTCATCTCTTTACCCGCAATTTTTTTGGCGCCTCAAAAGTCATCTCTTTACCCACAATTTTTTAGGCGCCTCAAAAGTCATCTCTTTACCCACAATTTCTTAGGCGCCTCAAAAGGAGGAGGAGAGTAGGCCGAGCCACGTACGAAAAGTTCCTACTCACGCACTCTCCCTCCTGCCCCCCTCTCCCTCCTCCTCGTCTCTTCCAGTGCCCCCTCCCTTCCCTCTCCCTGGCAGCGGCATGACATGGCAACAGGCATGGGCGCTGAGGCAGAGGAGGAGGAGGCAGCTCAATGCGCCCTCTGCACTGTGGCTTCTAGCCGCTCCTGCTGTGCAGGTATGGTGGAAGGAAGTGGGGGGTAAGGGGGAGAGAGAGAGAGTGGTCGGCATGCAGTGCGTGTGTGTGTAAAGAGCATGGGCCGTGAGGCAGAGGAGACGAAGGCAGCTCAATGCGCCCTCTGCACTGAGGCTGCTTGCTGCTCCTGCTATGCAGGTATGACCAAACCTGACGTTGAGGTAGGGTGGAAAGGAGGGATATGCTTGTACCCTGCCTGCCTCCCTGTATGGGAGGTATGTTGTCCCTCCCGACTGCATCAATACGTCAGAGCAGGCATGGGCCGTGAGGCAGAGGAAGAGGCAGCTCAAAGTCCCTTCTGCACTGTGGCTGCTGGCCACTCCTGCTGTGCAGGTAGGTTGGAAGAGCTGTGCTCTTGCTTAGCACCCACCCTTTTTGTAGTGCACTAGAACTGACTGACTCCATTGTCATCTTTAAACGTTCGCTGTCGATTGTCATCTCTAGACGTCCACCTTTTAGACTTTTGAGCCATACTTTTCAGATTCAATTGAGTGTCGTCTCTGAACGTTCAATGTCATTTTTTTTTTCAAGTTTCTTATAAAAATGCGCAGTTGTGATCTCTGGCCGGACATAGTCACCTTCCTGCCAAGCCATGGCTTAAGAACCTCTCCACTCCTTCTTCACCATTTGAAACGCCTTAAGAACCTCTCCACTCCTTCCCACCAGATACCACTCTTCTTCACTTGGATCTTCACCATGCGTCACATGGCCCTATCAGCTCACCCCGGGTTTGATATGGTGAGTATCAGTCTTTGTCATGTGTTCAGTGAGTTTTTAATTCTCAAAGTGACAAATGCATAGCCACCAACCAGGTACCACTCTCCTCCTCCTGTATCTTCACCACCATGCATCGCATCGGCCTCATGGCACTCTTAGCGCACCCCGGATTCAATGTTGTGAGTGGCAGTATTTCTCCCATGTGTGTGTGTTCCGGTACTAGCTCATCTGGTGGGTGCAGTATTTCCCATGAGCACTCTCCATCGGGAAATACTGCACTCCGGTGCTATTGTTTGGATCTTCACCATACATTACATGGCACTCTCAGAGCACCCCGGATTCGATGTGGTGAGTGGCAGTGTTTTCCATTCGTTGGGTGATCTGTGAATTCCGAAACGTGACACATGCACAGCCACCGGATTCGCTCCGCTTCTTCACCTGGCTGAATCTTCACCATGCGCCGCATGATGAAATTCGTTTGAAAAAAGCAGACCTGAAAGAATCATCGCACAAGGAAGGCTGGCTGTTGTTTGAGACTCTCAAATTGAGAGCCTCACAGAGCTCCCCCAGGGTTCTGAGAACCTGACAGCGGGTGCCTGTGATCTCTGCAATGCACGTCTTTTCCCTCTGCAACCCCCCCAACCCCCCCTCCACTCCTTGCACCCCCTATGCCCCCACCAGGGCGGGTGTTTGTGGTTTGAGGACCTCACAGCACTTCCTCACGGCGTGCTGGGCTGGGTGCTTCCGCTCTCCATCGCTGGTTCTTTCTACTCCTCCCTGCAGGTGCCCTCCCTTCCTGCCACCTCCCTTACCTCTTTCCCTCCCCCACTCCCTCACCACTCACTCCTGGCTGGGTGTTTCCCTTCGCCATCGCTGGTTCCTTCTACTCCTCCCTGCAGGAGCCCTCCCTTCCTGCAACCTCCCTTACCCCTTTCCCTCCCCCACTCCCTCACCACTCACTCCTGGCTGGGTGTTTCCTCTCGCCATCGCTGGATCCTTCTACTCCTCCCTGCAGGTGCCCTCCCTTCCTGCCACCTCCCTTACCCCCGCCTTTCCCTCCCCCACTCCCTCACCACTCACTCCTGGCTGGGTGTTTCCTCTCGCCATCGCTGGATCCTTCTACTCCTCCCTGCAGGTGCCCTCCCTTCCATCCTTCTCCCTCTCCCTCTCCTCCTCTTTCTCTCCTCACCTCCCTCTCGTTTCCTTCCACCTCCGTGACCCCATCTACCCGTCCCCCATGTCCGCCTTTCTTCGCTGGATGCTTCCTCTCACCATCGCTGCTTCCATCTCCTCCTCCCTGCAGCTGCCTTTCCTTTCACCACCCTTACTCCCCACCCTACATCACTCCTTCACCTCTCGCCCCTCGTGCTTCTCTCCCACTCCGCACGCCTCGTTCTCCCATCATCCCTCCTTCCTTCTGACACACGCCCTCCCACCTTCTTCTCTCCCACCATCCCATGCCTTCACTTTGCCCCCCACCCTTTCCCCTCTGATTCTCTTCACTTCTGTTGTATCCCCAACCCTCTTTCTCGCCCTCTGCAAGGGCGCGTAGGTGGGGATACCGCTGCACAAGATGGGTGATGCAAGCCCCCACAGCCCGTGCCATCCCATTCCCTGCTCCACTCCACACCCTCTCCTCCCCAACATATCTGTCTCCCTTTACTCCCTCTGTCTCCCTCCCTTCCCCTGTGCAAGGGCGTGTAGGTGATGATGCCGCTGCACAAGATGGGTGTGCACACTGCATCTGACAAAGCCATGCTGGTGAGGGGCGTTGAGGGGTGCTGAGGGGTGCTGAGGGGCGCTCAGTGGTGCTGCGGAATGCTAAGGGGTGCTGGGATGCTGGTGGTGGGTGCTGAGGGGTACTGAGGGGTGCCGGTGGGTGCTTAGGGCTGTTGGTTGGTGGGTACTGGTGATGGTGACTGAATGCTGCTTGTCAATGCGCTGCGCATGTGTGTATTCTTTTGTGTGCGCTGAGTTCTTGTCAATCCCTATCGTGTGCGCTGAGTTCTTGTCAATCCCTATCGTGTGCGCTGAGTTCTTGTCAATCCCTATCGTGTGCGCTGAGTTCTTGTCAATCCCTATCGTGTGCGCTGAGTTCTTGTCAATCCCTATCGTGTGCGCTGAGTTCTTGTCAATCCCTATCGTGTGCGCTGAGTTCTTGTCAATCCCTATCGTGTGCGCTGAGTTCTTGTCAATCCCTATCGTGTGCGCTGAGTTCTTGTCAATCCCTATCGTGTGCGCTGAGTTCTTGTCAATCCCTATCGTGTGCGCTGAGTTCTTGTCAATAACTATCGTGTGCGCTGAGTTCTTGTCAATCCCTATCGTGTGCGCTGAGTTCTTGTCAATCCCTATCGTGTGCGCTGAGTTCTTGTCAATCCCTATCGTGTGCGCTGAGTTCTTGTCAATCCCTATCGTGTGCGCTGAGTTTCGCACTTCTTCTCCCTCCCCTACTCTCATTCCACCACCCACTCTTCTGATTCTCTCCCCCTCATTTCCCCGACTCCCACAAAGCCTTCTGAAGCCTCGTGCAATTCTTCCCCCTCCTCCCCTTCCACTCCCCCCATCTCATTCCCCTCACATTCCCTCCCTCCTCTCCCCTTTCCTCCACGCCCCCTTCCCCACATTCACCCCCTTTTGTCCGCCCACACCAGGCCTACCGAACCTTCCTCGAATTCCTCACTCTCCCAACTCTCTATGCTGCACTCAACGTTCCCCAGGTGACTCTACGAAATGCCTGTAGCAGGCGGCTGTAGCAGGCGGCTGTAGCAGGCGACTGTAGCAGGCGACTGTAGCAGGCGACTGTAGCAGGCGACTGTAGCAGGCGACTGTAGCAGGGGGACTGTAGCAGGCGACTGTAGCAGGGGGACTGTAGCAGGCGACTGTAGCAGGCAACTGTAGCAGGGGACTGTAGCAGGGGACTGTAGCAGGTGACTGTAACAGGGGACTGTAGCAGGGGACTCTGGCAGGCGACTGTAGCAGGCGACTGTAGCATGCGACTGTAGCAGGGGACTGTAGCAGGTGACTGCAGCAGGTCACAGGTTTAGGGATATTGATATGAAGGAGCAAGGGCCAATGCGTTCAAAGGGGCTCAAGAGTGGTCTCAAAGGGTTTCTGTTTGGCTGGGGCCTTGCCATGCGCCCTTGCCATTGTGATGCTCCCAACCAAATGCATGGGGTTTTGAGACGTCTCAAACCCTAATCCCTCTTAAAACTTGTGGTTTTGATGCTCCCAAATGCATCTGACCTGAGGTTGTTTTCAACACCTCTACTTGCCATCGTTACACCCATTGAGTCCCCTTTCACCGCTTTTCACCCCCCTTCAACCCATTTCACCTCAGGCAGTGCACGTGTACTGGCTCACCAACAACACCTTCACTCTCGCTCAGGTGCCCATTCTACCCCTGTGCATCCCTTCCCATCGCATCTCATCCCGTTTTATCCCTTCCCCTCCCTTCACATCTCTTCGCTTCCCTTCCCACCCCATCCCTTCCCATCGCATCTCATCCCTTCTTATCCCTTTCATCCCCTCCCATCCCCTCCCTTCTCTTCCCATCCTCCCTTCCCCTCCCATCCCCAACATTCTCCTCTGTCCCTTCCCATGAACCTTCACACCCCACATCTCTCGTGCATGCACCTGTTGCCAAGCCATGCAGCATTAAGCCATAACACCACAATTCACTGCTTCAGACCCGTCCATACCCTATCCCCCCACCTTCTCTCCCTCCCCTCTCCCCCAGACCTTGCACTCCAATCTCCCACCATCCACCAGGCTCTAGGTCTGCCCACCATCGCACCACCATGATGCACCGCTCTGAACCACTGTGTCTGTCTTGTGTTTCTCCCTTTTTCTCCCCCTATCCGCAGGCCGTGGCCCTCCAGTCCCCCACCATCCACCAGGCTCTAGGCCTGCCCACCATCGCACAGCTACAGGCCTTGCAGCATTAAGCTTCGAACCACCTTGGTGCACCACTTGAAACCACTCTGCCCCACTCTGTCCCACTCGCCTCCCTTTCTCTCCCCGCTCTCCGCAGGCATTGGCCCTCCGGTCTCCCACCATTCGCCAGGCCTTAGGACTGCCCACCATTGCACAGATGCAGGCCATGCAGCAGCAGCACGCTCGCACCATTACTGCTGCTGCCGCCGCTGCTGCTTCAAAAGGAGCTGGTAGCAGTGATGGCACCAGTCCTGGCGGCACGGGGAGTGTGGGGCAGTTGGTATCAGAGCAGGAGATTGCACGGCTGACAGACCCCCATGCGTTGCTCGTTGTAAGTACTACTGGGTTTGTCTAATGTCTAGAAAGAAACGTTTGCATGGTGCTGGTGCAAGTGCTGGTGCAGGTGCTGGTGCAGGTGCTGCTGCAAGTGCTGGTGCAAGTGCTACCACTACCGCAACTGCTGCTGCTGCTGCCTGCAATGGTCTAACCATGCCCTGCAGCTGAACGTCGCACCCTTGGCTGTAAGGTACTAAACGTACAAAGTTCTCTTTTTATTCCCCTTTCAACAGGCTGCAGCACAGCTCAAGGCCGCAGGCAGTGTGGATTTGGCTGCTTGCGCTCTGAGGTATGCAAGTTGGGAATTTGAGCAAAAAACTATGAGATTCTTTCTCCTAAACTGCCTGTGGTAAGTGCTATGTTAATATATATTCTATTTGCTTGTATAGCATGTTTCAACTACAATGTTGGTAGTGAACTTGTTGTGGCTGTCATGTGGCCACCTCGCGCATGCTGTTCTTATGGCTCTGTGTTTCTCCCCTTGAATTGTTTTCCCTACCTTGCTCATCCATATTTGCTTCTGATGCCTTACGCAACGACTTCAACCATGATAAAGAAGTGAAAGTGCTCATGCTATGAATGTGGAGGTTATAGCTTAGCCCAGTCTACTTGCCAGTACATTGAGCAAATAGACCAGTGGCAGGTATTATCTTATTGAGTTCAGTGCAATCTCAACTCTATTCAGACAGACATCTGACAGACGCGACTCAAAACGTTGGTGCCTTTTGAGGCGCCTCAAAAGTCAGACGCGACTCAAAACGCTGGTGTATTAACGTGTTCTGATTGTCTGAGTGCTTGAGCAACAAAGTGCTGAAGCGTCACATGGTTTGCCATTCTATGTCTGCCACCTCTTTCCTCCCTCCAGGCGTGTTTTGGAGATCGACCAATCAGCATCCTCCGCATGGCTGGGATTGGGTCAGATGCACAGCGGTGCAGGGCGGTGGGTGGAGGCAGCTGAGTGCTTCTCCCAGGCGATCAACCATTCAAAGGTACTTGCTTACCTACCCTCGCCATGCTCAGTGCTGATGTCTATCCTCCTGCTCCATTCCTTTTTTTAAGGCCTTCCACGCTGCACCGCACTTAACCCATTTTCTTCTACCACATGCATGCCCCTGCAGGAGCGTGCTGACGTGGCAGTACAGCTGGCAGCTCACCTGGGCGCGGGTGTGGCACTGGCACAGCAGGTGGGTTGAGGTGAAGTAGGGGCAGTGGTGCTGCAGGTGGGGTGGGATGTGGGTGCATTGGCACAGAATGGGGATTCCAGTGCATGCACGTTGATTACATCCAGTCCTGTCTGTATGCAGATGCACATGCACATGAGAATCACAATTAGATTGATGGGAAGCCCATGAGGCATTCAAAAGTCACTTGGCTTCATTGCTAAGTCAAGAGAGGCACAAGAGTTAGTGTTTTCATTGAGAAAAACAGTCCTGCATTACACTGCCAACCCTCTCTCTCCTGCTCCATCCCTTCACCCCACCCCTCTCTCACCCCAGAGCCGTCCGTTAGAGGCCAAGGCATTGCTGCAGGTGGCAGCAGAGATGGTGCTGGAGGGGGGGCACAAGAGAGACCCTCTTAAACGCAACTCTTCTCTCTCCCTCTTCACCTCCTCCCTTGCTTCGCTTCATCCCTCTTCATCCAGAGCCGTCCTTTAGAGGCGAAGGCGCTGCTGCAGGTGGCAGCGGAAACAGTGCTGAAAGGGGAGCAGAAGAGGGATCCTCTGAACCGCCGACGACACGCTCAGGCCATGCTGGCCCTCGCAAGGTAGTTGAACTTTTCTTAATCGACTCGACAACAGAGCTTGATTCACAGGAGCATTGCAGTGAAATGCGATAGACGATTTCTTGCCAAAGTTAAGCATACAACTTTCAGACTAGGTAATGTTTGTCGGCAAGGGTCAGCATGGACTAGTTTCTTGCCAATGTTCACAGCCCATGCTGACCCTTGCCGTGCCGCCCTTCCCCTACCCCTTCTCTCCCCGTTTCCGCTCCCCTCCACTGCTCCCTCTCCCACCCTCTTTTCCCTTCTCTCCCAGCCTCTTTAGTGCAGAGGGAAACGGCAGGGTGGCAAGGTGGGTGGCAGCAGCTTCTGAGGCACCTCAGAGCTCCAGAGTACAACTCTTACATGCCTTTCTTGACTCAGAAGTCTCCCACCCTCTTTTCCCTTCTCTCCCAGCCTCCTGAGTGCAGAGAGAACCCGCAGGGAGGCCAGAAAGTGCTGGCAGCAGCTTTTGAGGCGTTTTTTTATACACCTCAGAACTGCAGACTATGACCCTTCGGTGCGTTTGAGTCGACTCAATGTGTCCTCCCCCCGCCTCCCTTCTCCCAGCCTCTTGAGTGCAGAGGGAAACCGCAGGGGGGCCAGGCAGTGGGTGGCAGCAGCTGCTAATTATGACCCTTCAGTGCTTTTGTGCTGACTCTGAAATCTCCTCCCCTCTTCTCACTTCTCTCCCAGCCTCCTGAGTGCAGATGGAAACCGCAGCGAGGCAAAGAAGTGGGTAGTTGCAGCAGCAGACTATGACCCTTCTGTGCTGGATACATTCGGCCAGGAGCTTGAGGGAGAGGAGGAGGAGAGGAAGGGCGTGGTGCAAGGGAGGGGGGGAGTGGTGTAAGGAAAATGTGTTTGGCTCGACTACGAATTTGGCAGCGAGGCAAAGAAGTGGGTAGTTGAAGCTGCTGACTATGACCCTTCTTTTCTGGATACGTTTGGTCAGGAGCTTGAGGGAGAGGAGGAGGAGGTGGGGGGCGTGGTGCAAGGAAAAGCAAGGGTTGTGTGAGGGCAAATCTGAAGTGGGTAGTTGAAGCTGCTGACTATGACACTTCTTTTCTGGATACGTTTGGTCAGGAGCTTGAGGGAGAGGAGGAGGAGGAGGAGGAGGAGGAGGAGGAGGGCGTGGTGCAAGGGAGAGGAAGGGTTGTGTGAGGGCAGCTCTGAAGTGGGTGGCAGCAGCTGCAGACTATGACCCTCTGCTGGACATGTGTTGGTCAGGAGCTTGAGGAATAGGAGGAGGGAGCGTGGTGCAAGGGAAGGGGAAAGGGTAGAATTGGACAGAAAGCCTCCCCACACTGAACAGAACCCACTCTTGCCACTCCTATTTAAACAAGCTTTGCTGACTCTGTAGGCACATAAGAAAGGAAGGCCTTTATTCAGTATTTTCTTTGGGTAGATTGAGCAATGGCGATTCAGGCTGTAATGGAATTTCACAGGAAGCCCCCGTCGGTTCTCCTGCCACTCCCTCCCAACGTAGGTTCAGGAGTGCTGTTTGTTCCTTCCACGCAGCCCACTCCCCTGCCAAATTGCTCCTAATCCGATTCTCACGTTCTTTCCCCCAACCCACAATGTCCGAACCCTCCCGTATCTCGCCACCATTTTTTCCATGTTCGTCTCGCCACAATTTCCCCCTATCCCAGGTTGATCTGTTTCTCTTTCCAACCCCCTCCAAACCTAAATGTCTCACACCCTTTATCTCGCCTCCCCTCGATATTTATCGTCTCACTTGACTGTCTCTCCAAAACTTGAGACGGTGAAGATATAAAATGACAGAGGTACGTATGAAATGATCGGGAGTGAAATGGGAGTGGCTACAAGCTATAGCGAGAACAAGACGAAAGGTTGGATGACGTGGCTGCTGAGCTAATGTAAGTCACCAATCACAGGCGGTTGCGGCCCCGAAAAGTTGACTCCACCACACCTGGCTGCGATGCTGACGAAATCTGGCGAACCTCGCTGAACTCGCGCACCGGCATTTTTCTCCGCGACGGCAGGGAAAGCGGCCAAGCGAGGACAATTGGAAGGCCAATAGGCCTTGGTTGTCCGCGGCAATATCTGAGCGAGGTCATATGATTGGTTTGGTATACAACAGCCAGGAAAGTGAAATTTGCGTGTGGGGTGGGGAAGATGGCGCGGCATTTTCGGGGGCGGTCTGGGATCGGAGCATATGGGCCCGCCAACGGGGGAGGCCCCAGACGTAGGGGGAGCTGTTAGGGCATCTGCCCCCCCCCGCCCTTCCGGGGTTTCCCCTCCCCCCTCGTGCGCGCGCGACCAGCCCCAACCACGTGGTCGGATGGCCATAGGGGTGAGAGGGAGTCAATGGTGAATCGTGATGCGTGCAAGTGCCATCATGCACCTTGGAGGAAGAAGGGAACCCTAAATTACTCCTCGGACTTTCACTCCAAGTAGTGAAGCAGCAACACTAACAAGTGGGATCAGGATCACTTAGTGACACTTAGTGTTGGATCAGGAGTGAGTTTAGGTTGGCATCTCGCCATGTGAGCACCGTGCAGCAATCGGAGACTTCTGACGCCATGGATCGCGGCTCAGCTTCTGCCGATCCATTTAGGATCGAGATAAGCTATGACGATCTGTTCCCGCACATAGTGTACCTGAACGACCTGAGACACGATCCCGACAAGGTCAAGGATGGATCAGCGGCGGCTGGCGATTCGGGACTAGTCTCCAAATGGAGAATGAAGGATCGGGTACGATTTACTGTCTCGCCTTTGGGTCAACGTTTTTCGCCTCAAACGCTCTGTCAACGCTTTTATTCTTTAATCGCGGATACTTACTGGCGGATCCCTTCGGCGTTGGGGTGCTGCGAGTTTGAGCGAGTTTCGCTGCTGACGATAGGTGATAGCTCACAATGGCGATACATGGTAACATCGGCACATGGTATCTTTCACTGGCGAGACATGGTAACTCTCAAAGGCGAATCATGGTAACTTTGACTAGCGAAACATGATAGCTTTGACTAGCGAAACATGGTAGCTCTTGCCAGCGAATCATGGTACGTTGAAACGTGTTCACTCTCCACAACGAATTAACGTCTTCATAGCTAGCCAATTGTTCCTTACGCGCTGTGACTATGCAGAACTTGCCTTCGACGCAATCTTTCGCTTGCTGTTTAGGCGACGGCTTGTCAACCAACATTGGTGTAGCTTTTAACCACAGGTTGGGTCATTGCGGTTAGGTTCCAATACAGAAGATAATTAAGTCTTAATCATCTGTTCGTTTCCTTGTTACCTCTCTCCTTCTCACCTCCCCCCCCAGATAATTACCCGTCTTTGCCGTGTATTTAACCCCTTGATGATTGATCTCCTCCCCTACTCCCATCCCCTTCTTCATTCCCTCCCCCCGGATCTCTCCCTCGCATCCCTTCACCTCTCCTTTACTTCCACCTCTCCACTTCCCTGTCCTGTCGCTTCGCCTTTCTCGTTTCCCCCCACTTCAACCCACCGCCCCCCATCCCCGCCTCTCACCCCTCCCGCCTCCCCACCTCCGGGTTCCCCACACCTCCCCGTCTTCCCCCCCGCAGATGAATACGAGCAGCGTGGCCATCGTGATGTGTCTCAACATTGGAGCGGACCCGCCTGATGGTTGATCTCCTCCCCCATCCCCCTCCCCCCTCCCCTTCCCCACTCCCCGACCCGCGTCCTCCCACCCCCTCCCCCTCCTCTCCCCTTCCCCCCCGCAGATGAAGACGAGCAGCTTGGCCATCGTGCTGTGCCTCAACATCGGAGTGATCTAACTCCCCCCTCCCCTTCCCCCTACCCCCCCCGCCCCCCCCATTCCCCCCGCCCCCCCCACACCTTCACCCTTACCCCCGCAGATGAAGACGAGCAGCGTGGCGATCGTGCTGTGCCTCAACATCGGAGTTGACCCCCCTGACGTCATCAAGATATCGCCCTGCGCGCGAGTCGAGTGCTGGATCGGTCAGTGCCTGCCTCGCTGCTTCTTTTCTTCCCAAACACCTTCCTCTCTCAGCAATTGCGCTTCCCCTCCCCTTCTATGGGCGTTATTGGGAAGAACCCTCTCATCTCTTCATCTCTTCATCTCTTCATCTCTTCATCTCTTCATCTCTTCATCTCTTCATCTCTTCATCTCTGCATCTCTGCATCTCTTCATCTCTTCATCTCTTCATCTCTTCATCTCTTCATCTCTTCATCTCTTCATCTCTTCATCTCTTCATCTCTTCATCTCTTCATCTCTTCATCTCTTCATCTCTTCATCTCTTCATCTCTTCATCTCTTCATCTCTTCATCTCTGCATCTCTTCATCTCTGCATCTCTTCATCTCTTCATCTCTTCATCTCTTCATCTCTTCATCTCTTCATCTCTTCATCTCTTCATCTCTTCATCTCTTCATCTCTTCATCTCTTCATCTCTTCATCTCTTCATCTCTTCATCTCTTCATCTCTGCATCTCTTCATCTCTGCATTTCTTCATCTCTTCATCTCTTCATCTCTTCATCTCTTCATCTCTTCATCTCTTCATCTCTTCATCTCTTCATCTCTTCATCTCTTCATCTCTTCATCTCTTCATCTCTTCATCTCTTCATCTCTTCATCTCTGCATCTCTGCATCTCTTCATCTCTTCATCTCTTCATCTCTTCATCTCTTCATCTCTTCATCTCTTCATCTCTTCATCTCTGCATCTCTTCATCTCTGCATCTCTTCATCTCTGCATCTCTGCATCTCTTCATCTCTTCATCTCTTCATCTCTTCATCTCTTCATCTCTTCATCTCTTCATCTCTTCAGCTCTTCATCTCTTCATCTCTTCATCTCTTCATCTCTTCATCTCTTCATCTCTTCATCTCTTCATCTCTTCATCTCTTCATCTCTGCATCTCTGCATCTCTGCATCTCTTCATCTCTTCATCTCTTCATCTCTTCATCTCTTCATCTCTTCATCTCTTCATCTCTTCATCTCTTCATCTCTTCATCTCTTCATCTCTTCATCTCTTCATCTCTGCATCTCTTCATCTCTGCATCTCTTCATCTCTTCATCTCTTCATCTCTTCATCTCTTCATCTCTTCATCTCTTCATCTCTTCATCTCTTCATCTCTTCATCTCTTCATCTCTTCATCTCTTCATCTCTTCATCTCTTCATCTCTTCATCTCTGCATCTCTGCATCTCTTCATCTCTGCATCTCTTCATCTCTGCATCTCTTCATCTCTTCATCTCTTCATCTCTTCATCTCTTCATCTCTTCATCTCTTCATCTCTTCATCTCTTCATCTCTGCATCTCTTCATCTCTGCATCTCTTCATCTCTGCATCTCTTCATCTCTTCATCTCTGCATCTCTTCATCTCTGCATCTCTTCATCTCTGCATCTCTTCATCTCTTCATCTCTTCATCTCTTCATCTCTTCATCTCTTCATCTCTTCATCTCTTCATCTCTTCATCTCTTCATCTCTTCATCTCTTCATCTCTTCATCTCTTCATCTCTTCATCTCTGCATCTCTGCATCTCTTCATCTCTTCATCTCTTCATCTCTTCATCTCTTCATCTCTTCATCTCTTCATCTCTTCATCTCTTCATCTCTTCATCTCTTCATCTCTTCATCTCTTCATCTCTTCATCTCTTCATCTCTTCATCTCTTCATCTCTTCATCTCTTCATCTCTTCATCTCTGCATCTCTTCATCTCTGCATCTCTTCATCTCTTCATCTCTTCATCTCTTCATCTCTTCATCTCTTCATCTCTTCATCTCTGCATCTCTGCATCTCTTCATCTCTTCATCTCTTCATCTCTTCATCTCTTCATCTCTTCATCTCTTCATCTCTTCATCTCTTCATCTCTTCATCTCTGCATCTCTTCATCTCTGCATCTCTTCATCTCTGCATTTCTTCATCTCTTCATCTCTTCATCTCTTCATCTCTTCATCTCTTCATCTCTTCATCTCTTCATCTCTTCATCTCTTCATCTCTTCATCTCTTCATCTCTTCATCTCTTCATCTCTTCATCTCTTCATCTCTGCATCTCTGCATCTCTTCATCTCTTCATCTCTTCATCTCTTCATCTCTTCATCTCTTCATCTCTTCATCTCTTCATCTCTTCATCTCTTCATCTCTTCATCTCTTCATCTCTTCATCTCTGCATCTCTTCATCTCTGCATCTCTTCATCTCTGCATCTCTTCATCTCTTCATCTCTTCATCTCTTCATCTCTTCATCTCTTCATCTCTTCATCTCTTCAGCTCTTCAGCTCTTCATCTCTTCATCTCTTCATCTCTTCATCTCTTCATCTCTTCATCTCTTCATCTCTTCATCTCTTCATCTCTTCATCTCTTCATCTCTGCATCTCTGCATCTCTTCATCTCTTCATCTCTTCATCTCTTCATCTCTTCATCTCTTCATCTCTTCATCTCTTCATCTCTTCATCTCTTCATCTCTTCATCTCTTCAACTCTTCATCTCTTCATCTCTTCATCTCTTCATCTCTTCATCTCTTCATCTCTTCATCTCTTCATCTCTTCATCTCTTCATCTCTGCATCTCTTCATCTCTGCATCTCTTCATCTCTGCATCTCTTCATCTCTTCATCTCTTCATCTCTTCATCTTCATCTCTTCATCTCTTCATCTCTTCATCTCTTCTTCTCTTCATCTCTTCATCTCTTCATCTCTTCATCTCTTCATCTCTTCATCTCTTCATCTCTTCATCTCTTCATCTCTGCATCTCTGCATCGCTTCGTCCTAGTCACGCATCACCCTGTTCTTTGCCCGTCCACCCCACGCTGTCTGTCCGCCCTTCCACCCGTTCCTTCCAACCAACCCACGTTGCCCACCCTTCCATCCCCCTCTCTCTTCTCCGCCTCTCCCCCACTCCCCTCCCCCCCCCCGCAGATCCCTTTTCAATGCAAGCGCAGAAGGCCTTGGACAGCATTGGGAAGAACCTTTATCTCTCCATTCTTGTCGCACATCACCCTCTGTGTGTGACTTACCCTCCGCCCTTCCAACCCCCCCCCCCCCCCCCCCCCCCCCCCCCGGCAGATCCCTTTTCAATGCAAGCGCAGAAGGCCCTGGACAGCATTGGGAAGAACCTTCAGGCGCAGTACGAGCGCTGGCAACCCAAGGTGTGGTGTTGTATCCAGCCGTGATCCAACGTGTGGTGTGGTAACCAGCCGTAGTTTTGAAGTGTGGTAACCAGCCGTGATCCAAGGTGTGGTAACCAGCCACAATCAACATGTGGTAACCAGCCGTATATAAAGTGGTAACTAACCAGCGTGATCCAAGGTGCGTTGGCCATTGATCAACAGTGATCCAAGATGTGCATGACTTGTAATATTTCATGCCTCACATATCCCTTCCATGCTTCCCCACAACCTGTTCCCCCCCCGCCCCCCCTCTCTTCTATGCCACGCAGGCACGCTACAAGGTACAGCTAGACCCGACAGTGGAGGAGGTGAAGAAGCTGTGCCTCACGTGTCGCCGCAACGCCAAGGCGGAGAGGGTGCTGTTCCACTACAACGGCCACGGCGTGCCCAAGCCCACCCTCCCTCCCTCCCTTCTCCTGTATCTCGCAGGCGCGCTACAAGGTGCAGCTAGACCCGACGGTCGAAGCGTTGAAGAAGCTGTGCCTCACGTGCCGGCGCAACGCCAAGGCGGAGAGGGTGCTGTTCCACTACAACGGCCACGGCGTGCCCAAGCCCACCCTCCCTCCCTCCCTTCTCCTGTATCTCGCAGGCGCGCTACAAGGTGCAGCTAGACCCGACGGTCGAAGAGGTGAAGAAGCTGTGCCTCACGTGTCGCCGCAACGCCAAGGCGGAGAGGGTGCTGTTCCACTACAACGGCCACGGCGTGCCCAAGCCCACCCTCCCTCCCTCCCTTCTCCTGTATCTCGCAGGCGCGCTACAAGGTGCAGCTAGACCCGACGGTCGAAGAGGTGAAGAAGCTGTGCCTCACGTGTCGCCGCAACGCCAAGGCGGAGAGGGTGCTGTTCCACTACAACGGCCACGGCGTGCCCAAGCCCACCCTCCCTCCCTCCCTTCTCCTGTATCTCGCAGGCGCGCTACAAGGTGCAGCTAGACCCGACGGTCGAAGAGGTGAAGAAGCTGTGCCTCACGTGTCGCCGCAACGCCAAGGCGGAGAGGGTGCTGTTCCACTACAACGGCCACGGCGTGCCCAAGCCCACCCTCCCTCCCTCCCTTCTCCTGTATCTCGCAGGCGCGCTACAAGGTGCAGTTAGACCCGACGGTCGAAGAGGTGAAGAAGCTGTGCCTCACGTGTCGCCGCAACGCCAAGGCGGAGAGGGTGCTGTTCCACTACAACGGCCACGGCGTGCCCAAGCCCACGGGCAACGGGGAGATCTGGGTGTTCAACAAGGTGGGGTTTCATTTTATCTTACAAGCCGGACAGATCAGTGCTGTTGCCGTTTCACTGGGAACGGAGGGCTCTGGGAAGGTGGCTTTTCCCTTGGTCAATTTGATATGTGTTGTGCAACGTTGTACACTCATTTGGACGTAATGAGGTTGATGTGAATACGCTCTCATCCAAACCTCATTCCGCGCTTCCCCACATCTCCCACCCCCCATGACGCTTCCCCCGGTCCCTCTCTGGCCACACTCATACCCACACAGACGTACACGCAGTACATCCCGCTGTCCGTGTATGAGCTCGACTCGTGGCTCGCCACGCCATCCATCTACGTCTTTGACTGCTCCGCTGCCGGCATCATCATCAACGCGTTCGTCGAGGTGAGGGGCGCGTGTGTGTGTGGAGGTAGGGGCGTGTGTGGTGTGAGCTAGGGTACACGTGCCCTCTTTCCCGTCACCGCGTTTGCCAAGGTAGGTAGGGGCCTCTCGCCTTCACTTCACCCACCACAGGCAACGGGGAGATCTGGGTGTTCAACAAGACGTACACGCAGTACATCCCGCTCTCCGTCTACGAGTTGGATTCATGGCTCGCCACGCCCTCCATCTATGTCTTTGACTGCTCTGCTGCCGGCATGATCATCAACGCGTTTGTCGAGGTGAGGGGCGCGTGTGTGTGGAGGTAAGGGCGTATGTGGAGGTAGGGGCGTGTGTGGAGGTAGGGTGCATGCATGTATGTACCTGTCACGTGTGATGCCTCCGCTGCCGGCATGATCATCAACGCGTTCGTCGAGGTAAGGAAACCTTTCACTGCAATGAGTAATATACCATGAGAGCATTTGCTCTTTTGAGGCGCCTCTGAATTCGTCTCACTGCTTTTGTGGAAGTAATGCCTTTTCGGCTGCAATGAGTGAGTGGTAGTAAGTATCATGAGGGGGGGACCTGCTGCGCATTCTTGCTGCTTGAAAAGCAGCAGAAGCGTAAAGCAATACCACCTATAGCATTCTGTCCACTTTCATACCGGCACCGGAGAATACCTCACACTCACTTCACAACACGCCACCTTCCAAGCAACCCTTCAGCGTATTTTAAGGGTTATCAGAGCTCGTTCACAACCACCTGGGCCCGTTAACCCCTCTGCCCGTTTTCAAAATCCCTGTGCCCACTTTCAAAATCCCTCCGCCCGTTTTTAGAATCCGTGTGTGCCCGTTTTCAAAACCTATCAGCGGCCTGACTGGCTGGGCTCTAGCAGCACCGTCCAGCAGCCCACACGCCTCCCCAACAGCAGCAGACAGTCCCTCCCGTCACCTTCTTTGTCTTTCCCCGCTGGCGCTGGCAGTAGTCCACACGCCTCCCGTCCAGCAGCCCACACGCCTCCCCAACAGCAGCAGACAGTCCCTCCCGTCACCTTCTTTGTCTTTCCCCCCTGGTGCTCCCTGCCTGCCTGCCTCCCTCCCCTCCCTCCCTTCTCCCCCTCTTCCTCCCCACAGCGACCTGACTGGGCGCTAGCAGCGGCATCCAGCCCCCTCGCCTCTCCAACAGCAGCAGACAGGGAAGCAGCCGCTGCTGGAACAGTGACAGCCCCTTTTTGCCCATTCCCTCACCTTCTTCCTCCTTCCCCTCTCCCTGCCTCCTCTCCCCCCACAGTGTCCTGAATGGGCGCTAGCAAGACCGTCCAGCCCCCTCGCCTCCCTAACAGCAGCAGGCAGGGAGGCAGCAGCAGCAACAGCAGCAGCAGCAGCAGAAGCAGCAGAAGAAGCAGAAGAAGCAGGCATGCGCGATCGCATACTGCTGGCAGCGTGCGGACCAAAGGAGATCCTCCCTCAGCCGTCCGATCTGCCCGTTTCTGCTCCTCCCTTCACCTTCTTCCCCTACCCCTCTCTTCCCTCCTTGCCTCCCCTTCTCCCACACAGCGACCTGACTGGGCACTAGCAGCACCGTCCAGGCCCCTCGCCTCGCCAACAACAGCTAGCAGGGAAGCAGCCGCTGCTGCAACAGCAGCAGTAAGAGCCCCCCTCTCTCTCTTCACTTTCTTTCTCTTCCCCTCTCCCTGCCTCCCTCCCTCTCCCCCCCCCCCACAGCGTCCTGACTGGGCACTAGCAGCACCGTCCAGCCCCCTCGCCTCGCCAACAGCAGCAAGCAGGGAAGCAGCGGCCGCTGCAACAGCAGCAGCGGCGACGGCAGCGGGCATGCGCGATCGCATACTGCTGGCGGCGTGCGGACCAGAGGAGATCCTCCCTCAGCCGTCCGATCTGCCAGCTGATCTCTTCACTGCGTGCCTCACCACCCCCATCAAGATCGCTCTGAGGTGGTGAGTGCTGTGCTATTGGTGGCTTAGCGCCCCTCCCACTGGCCTGTTTATTTCACTGCGTGCCCCACCACCCCCATCAAGATCGCCCTGCGGTGGTGAGTGCTGTGCTATTGGTGGCTTAGCGCCCCTCCCACTGGCCTGTTTATTTCACTGCGTGCCCCACCACCCCCATCAAGATCGCCCTGCGGTGGTGAGTGCTGTGCTATTGGTGGCTTAGCCCCCCTCCCACTGGCCTGTTTATTTCACTGCGTGCCCCACCACCCCCATCAAGATCGCCCTGCGGTGGTGAGTGCTGTGCTATCAAGATCACTGAGTGCGTGCGTTTTTTATACGTCTAAAAGATTCCCCTAAAGTGGTGAGTGAGTGCTGTGCTATTGGTGGCTTAGCCCCCCTCCCACTGGCCTGTTTATTTCACTGCGTGCCCCACCACCCCCATCAAGATCGCCCTGCGGTGGTGAGTGCGTGCGTGCGTTTTTTAGGCGGCGCTAAGTGCGTTGTGAGGCGTCTGAAAGATTCCTCTGAAGCGGGTGGTGGGCAGTGCTTTTGCAATTGGTGGCCTAGGCCCCTTCCCCCTCCCCTCACCCCCCTCTCTCACCCTCCCCCCTCCCCTCTTCCCCGTCCTGCCTCCCCCCACCCACCAGGTTCTGCTCTTGCTCTCTCCTCCGAGACATGGTGAAGCGCATTCCCGGCCATGCACCAGTGGCTGTGCGCGCTCATTGCTGCAAGAACCCATGCTCTGCGTGCTCCTCTCCTCTGTGTCTCCCCTACCCCGTACCAGGTTCTGCTCGCGCTCTCTCCTGCGCGACTCCCTGGACCCCGAGATGGTGGAGCGCATTCCCGGGCGGCAGAGTGAGCGCAAGGCAAACCTCACCCTTACTTCCTTCCCCATTCCTACTCAAACAGGTTTTGCAGCCGATCTCTCCTGCGGGACTCGCTCCACCCCGAGATGGTGGAGCGCATTCCCGGGCGGCAGAGTGAGCTCAAGACAACCCATTCCTATACTCCCTTCCCCTTCCCTACCCAACCCTAACCAGGTTCTGCTCCCGCTCTCTCCTCCGGGACTCTCTCGACCCCGAGATGGTGGAGCGCATTCCCGGGTGGCAGAGTGAGCGCAAGGCAAACCTCACCCTTACTTCCTTCCCCATCCCTACTCAAACAGGTTCTGCAGCCGATCTCTCCTGCGCGACTCCCTTGACCCCGAGATGGTGGAGCGCATACCCGGGCGGCAGAGTGAGCGCAAGACGGCGCTGGGCGAGCTCAACTGGATCTTCACGGCCGTCACCGACACCATCGCCTGGAACACCCTCCCCACGCACCTCTTCCAACGCCTCTTCAGACAGGACCTGCTTGTCGCCTCGCTGTTCCGGAACTTTCTGCTCGCGGAACGGGTGATGAGGGCGAGTGGGTGCACGCCCGTGTCGTATCCGCGGCTTCCGCCCACACACCAGCACCACTTATGGTAAATGGAGGGGTTTGTGTGTGTGTGAAAGGTATTTTTCGTTGAGACTTGCTGCTCGCGGAGAGGGTGACGAGGGCGAGTGGGTGCACACCTGTGTCGTATCCGCGGCTTCCGCCCACGCACCAGCACCGCCTATGGTATTGTGAAGCGTTTCTGTATAGCCACACTGCTTCTTGACCCAGCTGGTACTCATATGTAGACCAGGCTAACCTTGTCTCGTGTAAACCCCGCTTTCCCTTCTTGTGCACCTCGCTCTCCTTGCTCTTCCCTGCTCCTTCTCCTCCAATGTCTTCCAAGGCACGCATGGGACATGGCATTGGAGATATGCCTTGCACAGCTGGCACGTGGCTTCATGACCAAGGCCAACATTGTTTCCCCTTGCGCTTTTTCGAGATGTGTCTCGCACTTGCACAGCTGCCATGTGGCTTGGGGATAACAGTGGCGTACTGAACAAGGCACCTCTGTCCTCCCCATGCACCTCTGTCTCTCTCTCCCCCCAGGCATGCATGGGACATGGCAGCAGAGATGTGTCTCGCACAGCTGCCAACGCTCCTTGCAGACCCCAACGCCGAGTTCCAGGCAAGCTAGTCCCTCTTCTGTTAGACAAGCCCTCGTCTGATCAGAAGCAAGAGAGATTCGAAGCGCAATTGTTCCCACTACCTACTTTCAGTCTCCAGACAACTTAGCAGAGGCTCCCGTCACCTGGACACTCTTTATTTGAGTGATCTCATGCACAGAGGCTTAAGCAGGTGCCTTCTCACTTAGCTGATTGTCTGCCCGATCCCATTTCCCGCTCTTCTCTGCCTGCCAGCCCAGCAGCTTTTTCTCGCAGCAGCTGATGGCGTTTGAGGTGTGCCTGGAGCATGGCAGCGACAAGAAGAGACCCCCGGAGCAGCTGCCCATCGTGCTGCAGGTTCGTCCCTCCTTGGCTTTCCTTCTTGTGCTCTGTACACGTTCAAACACTCTCTGTGTCCTTCGCCGTTTGAAGTGTGGCTGGAGCATAGCATGGGAGTGACAAGAAAAGACTACCAGAGCAACTCCCCATCGTGCTGCAGGTCTGTTGGCTTGTAAATTTGGTCAAAAAGAGGCCTCTTTAGTCACGCTGCTGCTCAGTCACTCCCGCATTCTTTGACATCAAGCCGGGGTCACTTTTGAATGAACACAAAAGTCACCTTGAGTCGAGTGCTGTCCCTCTCTCTCGCCCTATCCCGCTCCCCTTCCCGTTCTCCCCCCGATCAGGTGCTACTCAGTCACTCGCACAGGCTGCGAGCTCTCGTGCTTCTAGGACGCTTCCTCGACATGGGGCCATGGGCTGTCGACTTGGTGAGTCTTGAGTCATAATGTCATAGAGCACCTGGGAGTCGACATGGGGCCATGGGCCGTTGACCTCGTGAGTCACAATGTTTCCTTTGCCCCCATTTCGCACCCGCCTCCCCCCGTCTCCCTCCTCCCCCCTCCCCCCTCTCCCCTCACCCCAAACCAAATGCCTGTTCTGCTGTCATCCGATCAATTCATCTAGGAAGCTATGTAAACTCGCAGGCGCTCTCAGTGGGCATATTCCCGTACGTGCTCAAGCTGCTGCAGACGAGGGCAATGTAAAGCGGAATGATTGACCACCCATGCCTTACGTCCTCAATCTCTCCCCCTCCCGTCCCCTCTTCCCTCCCAGGCGCTCTCAGTGGGCATATTCCCGTACGTGCTCAAGCTGCTGCAGACGAGGGCAATGTAAAGCGGAATGATTGACCACCCATGCCTTACGTCCTCAATCTCTCCCCCTCCCGTCCCCTCTTCCCTCCCAGGCGCTCTCAGTGGGCATATTCCCGTACGTGCTCAAGCTGCTGCAGACGAGTGCAGTGGAGCTGAGGCAGATCCTTGTGTTCATCTGGACCAAGATTCTCGCGCTTGATAAGGTGGGCACCACCACTAATAGTGAGACGTTATCAAGACTTGCATGGCGTGGGAACAGAATCGTGAGATGGTCCGTCCACCACATGGTTGTCAAGACACGATCCTGTCGCCCCATAATGTGGTGACTTTTGAGTCGACTCAAAAGTCACAACGATCCTGTCGCCCCATAATGTGGGTGGGCAGTGCAGTGCAGTCCAGCATGCAAGCAGGCTTCCTGTCTCGCTTGTCTGTACTGTACCACAGAGTTGTCTTCTTGCCTTGCCATCCCTCTGTCCTGCCTTCCTTGTCCTCTGAAGCTCTGAACCCCGTGTCCGTCCACCCTTCATGCTCCTCCGCCTCTTCCAGTCGTTTTTTTTTTTTTTTTCAAGTCATTAATTTCCGTGGCAGTCCTCTGAAGATCTTATCCCCATCTCCACCTTTCCTGCTCCTCACATCCCTCCAGTCATGCCAGGTGGATCTGGTGAGGGACGGCGGGCACATGTATTTCATCAAGTGCCTTGAGACGCACGAGCCATACTCCTCCGACCCCAGGGAACGAGCCACGGTGGCCTTTCAGCGAGCCATGGCCGCGTTTGTGCTCGCGCTCATCTGCGATGGCCACCCCAAGGGCCACCAGGCCTGCTTGCAGGTGGGCTGCTACCCCTGAAGGTGATTGGCTTGAGGTGGCTCAACAACGCAATGCCTTTTGAGACGTCTCGAAACTGAGGTGTCACAACACAACACAACACCATGCCCGTGTGCCACTGTGGCCTTCCAGCGAGCCATGGCCGCGTTTGTGCTCGCACTCAGATGCGACGGCCACCCCAAGGGCCACCAGGCGTGCTTGCAGGTAAGTGGTTCGATTTCAACTGGGTTGAAGGTAATTTGATTTGAGGTGGTTTGATTTGATTCGCTGCTACTGTGCGACTGTTGCAAGCTCCAAACCCTCTCTTCCCATTCCCATTCCCTTCCCTCCTCCCAGGCCGGACTCATCCCCTTGTGCTTGATGCACATCCAGGCTGCGCCCCCAGCAGAGCCGCTGCTGCTGCAGTGGCTGTGCCTGTGCGTGACCGGCTCACAGGTGCAGGTCACAGTGTCAAACTCTCTCTTCCCATTCCCCTGTGCGCCCTTCCCTCCTCCCAGGCTGGACTCATTCCCTTGTGCTTGATGCACATCCAGGCTGCGCCCCCAGCAGAGCCGCTGCTGCTGCAGTGGCTGTGCCTGTGCGTGACCGGCTCACAGGTGCAGGTCACAGTGTCAAACTCTCTCTTCCCATTCCCCTGTGCGCCCTTCCCTCCTCCCAGGCTGGACTCATTCCCTTGTGCTTGATGCACATCCAGGCTGCGCCCCCAGCAGAGCCGCTGCTGCTGCAGTGGCTGTGCCTGTGCGTGACCGGCTCACAGGTGCAGGTCACAGTGTCAAACTCTCTCTTCCCATTCCCCTGTGCGCCCTTCCCTCCTCCCAGGCTGGACTCATTCCCTTGTGCTTGATGCACATCCAGGCTGCGCCCCCAGCAGAACCGCTGCTGCTGCAGTGGCTGTGCCTGTGCGTGGGCAAGCTGTGGGGGGGCGCGCCAGAGGCACAGGCAGCAGCGCTTGTTCAGCACCGGGCGCCTCAGATCCTCTCCCCGTTGCTCTCAGAGCCACAGCCAGAGGTGAGAGTGTGTAACCCTAATACGGGAAGCGGTAACCACATGAACATTTCAATTGTGCCAGAGGCACAGGCAGCAGCGCTAGCTCAGCACCGGGCGCCTCAGATCCTCTCACCGCTGCTCTCAGAGCCACAGCCAGAGGTGAGAGTCTGTAACCCTAATTTGGGAGGCAGTAACCGCGTGAACCTTCCAAATGCGCCAGAGGCACAGGCAGCAGCGCTTGCTCAGCACCGGGCGCCTCAGATCCTCTCACCGCTGCTCTCAGAGCCACAGCCAGAGGTGAGAGTCTGTAACCCTAATTTGGGAGGCGGTAACCGCGTGAACCTTCCAAATGCGCCAGAGGCACAGGCAGCAGCGCTTGCTCAGCACCGGGCGCCTCAGATCCTCTCCCCGTTGCTCTCAGAGCCACAGCCAGAGGTGGGAATATGAAGCCGTAGTTTCAAAAGAGCAGTAACCATAGGAACCTCCAAATTAAACTACACCAGTGGCACAGTCAGTGCGGCGCCCGCTCAGCACTGCGCCCCTCGGATCCTCTCGCTGTTGCTCTCAGAGAGAGCCCCAACTGGAGGTGAGAGTTTGAAACCCGTTTGAAACCCTAGTTATAGAAGCGGTAAACCCCAACACCACAACACCTCAGCACCAACCGCTAGAGGCACAGGCAGCTGCGCCCGCTCAGCACTGCGTCTCTCAGATCCTCTCGCTCTTGCTCTCAGAGCCCCAACCTAAGGTGAGAGTCTGGAACCCTGAACCCTAAACCCTAAACCTTCAACAATAGGAACCTCAACAGCACCACAGCAGCACGCCCTTTTAGGTCCTCTCGCCTCTGCTGTGTCGGAACCTCAGCAGAGAGTCTGCAGGTGAGAGAGTCTGGAACCTTAGTTTAAGATGGGTAACCCGTCAGCACCACAGCACCATACGTCAGAGGCACGGGCAGCAGCAGCACTGGGTCAACACGCTGCCCCTCAGGTTCTCTCCTCGTTACTCACAGAGCCCCAGCCAGAGGTGAGAGTCTGGAACGCTAGCCTTGGGAAGAGGTAGGTAGGTAACCCGTCAACACCACAGCATGACGCTCGCTCCCTGCTCTCCGCACTAGCCTCAAATCCCCCCCAACTCAACCCAGCCCTCTCCCCCCTTTCCATATTCCACGGTCCACCTACCAGGTCCGAGCGGCAGCAACATATGCCCTGGGCGCTTTAATTCACATTGCTTCGTGTGGAGGGTTCTTACAAACTCCCTCTCTGCCTCCGCTCCTCTCTCCCCTTGTCCCCATATTCCACCTACCAGGTCCGAGCGGCAGCAACATATGCCCTGGGCGCTTTGATCCACATTGCCTCGGAATCGCCACAAGGGGGGGAAGGGACAGCAGCAGGAGTAGGATCAGCAGCAGCAGCAACAGGAGGAGCTTCAGCTGCTGGTGCAGGAGCAGGTGTTGGGGGGGTTCTAGGGGAGGGATCATCTGCTGCAGCAGGAGGAGCAGTGGGGGGTGCAGCAACAAGAGCACCAGGTTCAGAACCTGGGTCAGCAGTAGGAGGAGCAGCAGGAGGAGCAGGAGGAGGAGCAGCAGGAGCAGCAGGAGGAGCAGCAGCAGGATCACAGGGAGCAGCCGGTGCGGGTGGAAGCAGTGCAGGTTTATCTGGGGTAGGGTCAGCTGGGGCGGAGTGGAGGGAGGAGCACAGATTAGCTGCAGAGAGAGGGGTGCTGCAGGTGTTACTTAAAGTATTAAATGATGGAAGTCCCATGGTGAGGAAAGAGCTTGCTATAGCTCTAGCTAGAATAGCCCACGGACATCGCCGCCCGTTCCGGCTCGCTGCGGCGTCTTATCTGTGCCGCCCGTCGCTCGTGGCCGGCAGCGCGGCCGGCATGGGCATGGGGTTCGGCAGGTCCGGTTCCGAACTGGACAGGCTCGGTGCAGGCTCGGGGCAAACAGGTTCGGAAGTGCACGGATTCACAGAAAGGATGGCAGGTTTGGGGATGGGTGGGGGTGGAGGGGAAGCAGGAGCAAATGGAGGAGGAGGAGGGATGGGGGGACTGAATAGCACAGCAGGCCTTTCAAGTGGAAGTATACATTCTTCAGGTTCGGGTCTCAATCTTCCCTCTCTCGCCCCGCAAGTCAACATGGTAGGACTTAGGCTCGGCACTGACGGCCGGCTGTATCCCCGGCCAGGTCCGGCAGTGAACGCACCTCTCCCGGTCCTCCAATCCACCTCAGGCTCGGCGGTCGTGGGCCGGATGCTCGCGCAATCCTTTGACGCAGCAGGCTCAGGAGTAGGCTCGGGAGGTACGGCGGCAGGTTCAGGGAACACAGCAGCCTCGGGAGGGTCAGCTTCGTATTTGAGAGTGTATGAGGAGGAAGGGGAGAGGGATGGGGGCGGGGGAGCAGCAGCAGGAGGGGCGGGAGGGGGCAAAGGACAAGGGGGTGTGGGGAGTAAGGGCACAGGGGCGGAAGCAGCTGGGGGAGGTGGTACTGGAGCAGGTACAGGAGGAGGAGGAGAAGTAGGAGATAGTGGTGTTACAATAACGATACCTCCCTTGGTGAACGGAATCGTTCCTATAGCAGAAGGTGCTTGTGAGAGTGAAGCTTCATCAGGGGAGGATAGAAGTAGAGGCCATGAGACCCAGGAGCAGTCTGCTGCAGCTGCCGCTACAGCTGCTGCTACAGCTGCTGCCACAGCTGCAGCTACCGCAGCAACTGCGGCAGTAGCAGCAGCTGCAGCAGTGGCGGTTGCTGCCGCAGTCAAGAGTTCCGGATCACCAGTCACAACACTCCCACCCGCTCCTCAAACCCCCCTCTTCTCCCTCTCCTCCCCAACCAGCCTTTCAGCTTCGGCGCCGGACCTCTCCTTCCTCCGAGGCACTGCCGAAGCTGCTAGCGGCTCGCCGGGGAGGGTGCTAGGGATGCCTCCAGGGGATGTGACTGTAAGGGGCGGAAGGCCTGGGTGGCTGGGTCAAACCCCAGGCAGGATACCCCAGGGTATGGGTCCAAACGGGGGGCTTATATGGGGGGGGCTAGATGTTTCAGACAGTGCGACGTACCTGCAGAGTATGATTGCTGTATACACCCTTGCGAGGGATCCTGCACCGTCCGTTTTTAAGATCAGCCGGCAAACGCTTGCCCAAATAGGCTCCTCTGTAGCAGCAGCCGCGACAAGTCTCAACGCTGCAGCGGCAGCGGCAGCGGCAGCGGCGGCGGGGGCAGGAGGAGGGGTGGGGGGATCGGGGGGGGGAGGAGGAGGGATGGGCGGTGGTGGGATGGGGTATGACGCGTTTATGATGCCCATGGTGGTTCCAGGCATGGGTGGGGTTGGGGGGAACATGGCAGCAGGGGGGGGGCTTGCGCAGTCTGCTAGCTTTAGCAACTTGACTCGGAGCAGTAGCAGGGATGCTGGGACGGTGATAATCACTGGTGCTGGTGCTGGTGTGGCTGGGGGTGGGGGAGCCATAGGCACTCCGAATCTCTCTCTGGCTGCTGCTGCAGCAGTGGGGGCAGCGGGGCCTGTGGGTCTGCCAGGCCTGGGGGGAGTGGGTGGAGGGATGGGGCATCATCATGGGCTCATGAGTCCTGCCATGAGTCCACGTGTCCCCTCCCCATTGGCTGCTGGATTGGCCCCTGCAATCACTCGGTCAACGTCGTGGGTTGCGCCTCTCAACGGTGAGATGTTACGCTTTTTTTTCTTCTTCTTCTTTTCTGTCCTTTTTAGGCGTTGCTGCTGTTGCTGCTGCTGCTGCTGCTGCTGCTGCTGCTGCTGCTGCTGCTGCTGCTGCTGCTGCCGCCGCCGCCGCCACCGCCGCGGCCTCATAATATTTGCCTCTATATTTGAATGCTCACCTCATGTCTGGCCTCCCTCCCCCTCCTCTTCCCCCCCAATATTCTGTCCAGCCCCCCACCCAATGGGCAGCTGGCGACAGCTGGCAGCACCACAACTCGCCATGTCACCCTCTGCTGCCGCAGCCTCGGGATTCCTCCAAGCTCGGGACCCGTTCGGCCTGGTGGCTCGGGACAGCCTCGGGCTGCCGCCGATGCTGGCAGCAGGTTCGGGGATGCAGGCTCGGGACAGCGGGATGCGGAGGGTAATGACTGCAGTGGATTTCTCTTCGTCCCAGCAGCAGCAGCAACAGCAGCAGCAGCAGAGGCAGATGGGGGTGATGGGGAACGGGGAGATCCTGGGCGGGGTGCATGTGCTGTCATCTGTCACGGGAGGAGGGTACCCGCCCTTGAGACCAAATGTGAGTGTGCAGTGCATGTGCTGACATGACATTCGTACATGCAGAACATGGCTAGCCAGTTTCTTTCGAACTTGTGTTGCTGACATGGCGTCCTGCTGAAGTGCTTGTGGTATGGTATGTTTCTAGCCACCAGGCATTTGTTGATTTGATTCTTGAGATGAGGCCGCCACGCCACGTCCACAGATTCTTCTGAGGCTTCTCTAAAAGTATCGTGGTGGTTATTTAAGGCCGTTTGTTGCAAGTATGCTGATTTGATTCTGGTCAATCTATCTGTGCTTCCTCTCTTCTCCCATGCAGCATGCAGCTGTCTCATCAGACTCCCTTGCTCACCCATCCAACCCACCTGCACATACAACCCCTGCCACTCGCTCCCAAAACCCTAACTCCACCTCCTCCTCCTCCTCCTCTTCCCAACCTTCCACTGCAAGTACTGCTGCCCCTGCTGCTGCACCTGCCACTGCCGCTGCTGCTGCTCCGGTTGCCAGTTCTGCTGCTGCCGCGGGTGGATTGCCTGCTGCTGGATACGCAAGCATCCCGAATCCCGCATCTGGCACTGCTGCTGCTCCTGCTGCTGCTGGTTTCAGTGGTAGCGGCTCTGCAGGCACAACCGGCGGGCCCAGTGGGCTGGGTATCCCCCCGTCCCTCTCCGCCCCTCTCTCCGCGTCTTTTTCCGCGTCTCTCCTGGACCCGTTTCTCTCGCTGGATGCAGCGGCAGCGGCACAGGCAAAGCCGGTGCCCAAGTCGGGCCTGTATGCGTGGAGCTGTGGGCACTTGTCGCGGCCGCTGCTGGAGGCGGTGTGTGACGCCGAGGCAGAGACGAGGCGAGCAGCCAGGGAGAAGAGAGCGGTGGAGGGCGTGGCAGAGTGCCGGCGAGCCAGTGAGTGGGTGGGGGGAGGGAGAGGGGGAGGGGTTCTGGGTGGGTGTGTGATGTGTGGGGAGTGGAATGAGGTGCAATGGGGGTACATTGGGGGTGCAGTGGGGGTGCATTGGGGGTGCATTGGGGGTGCCCAAGTCGGGTCTGTACGTGTGGAGCTGTGGGCACTTGTCGCGGCCGCTGCTGGAGGCGGTGTGTGGGTAGCTCGGTTGATGCGCGGGGGGCTGGGGGGAGGTGGTGGGGGTGAGGGTTACCAAGGGCATACGAGAGAGAGGCGAGGAATGGAGGGCGTGGGGAGTGCAGGCGAGCAAGTGAGTGGGCGGGGGGAAGGGGGGGTTTGAGGGGTGGCGGCGGGTGGTTTAGAGAGGGGGGTTGAGTTTCGTGACAGAGGCTGTGCTCCTGCACCCCTTCCTGCCGCCCTTGCCACTCCCCACCCTGCTCTCTCCCCCCCCCCTCTACTTCTGCTTGCTCCCCTGCTTGCTTGCTTGCTGCCGACCCCCTTGCTTGCTCCCCTGCTTGCTTGCTTGCTGCCGACCCCCCTTGCTTGCTCCCCCGTTCCCCCATCCCCACCACCCCCTCGCAGCGGTGAGCAAGGTGAGCGATCAGATCGCCAGCTTCGACACCGAGTCAGACATGATGACAGAGGCCGTGCCCCTGCACCTTGCTTTGACTCTCTCCCGACTCTCCCTCCCTGCTCTCGCTCCCTTCTCTCCTGCTCTCTTTCCCTGCTCTCTCCTCCTGCTCTCTCTCTCATCCGCCCCTCCTCTTTTCTCCCTTGTGTCTGCAGCGGTGAGCAAGGTGAGCGATCAGATCGCCAGCTTTGACACCGAGTCAGACATGATGACAGAGGCCGTGCTGCTGCACCCCTTCCTGCCACTCGTGTGCATCGCAGACGAGAACGAAGTTGTCAGGTGAGGAAAAGGACACTGCTGCTGGTGGTATGGTACTGCATGCATCGCCCAGCCCAATGTACATGCTGTTCTGCCAAGGACATTGGTTGGGCAATGGCCATGTTTGCCTTTGAGCTCAAAAGCAGGACACTGTTGGTGCTGGTACTGCATCGCCCAACCCAACGTACATGCTGTACTGCCTGCCAAGGACATTGATTGGGCAATGCCCATGTTTGGTACTTCTAGCTCATCATGTTGCATGTGTTGCGGAACGTTTTCGTTCACCAGTCCATCTCTTCTCCACCCTTTCCTGCTCTCTACCTCAGAATCTGGAACTATGAGGAGGGCCTGACTGTGAGCACGTTTGACAACCAGACGGGTGGGGGGGGGGGTGCGGACGGGCACAAGGGAGTGAGCCAGCTGTGCCTGCTCAATGAGCTGGACGACACGCTGCTGCTTGTTGCCTCCAGTAAGTATCTTCTCTAAAGACATAGTTTCATTTCGTATGGTAGGCTGTGTGTTTTGTCTCTCTATCGCTCTCCACAAGGGAGTGAGCCAACTGTGTCTTCTCAACGAGCTGGATGACACGCTGCTGCTCGTTGCCTCGAGCAAGAATTCTGCTTCTGGTGGAGCCATCTCCCTCTTTGCCTCTACCCACAAGGGTGTGTGGGCCAGCTGTGCTGTGCCTGCTCAATGAACTAGACGACACGATACACGGCTGCTCGTCGCCTCCAGTAAGTATCTTCTCTCTCTCTGTCTCTCTCAGATGGTCGATTGTGTCTTCGCTCTTGTTCCTTCTTGACGCAGGCACTGCAATAACCCAAGACACAGGGCATTGCAATAATCCAAAACTGCGTATTCTTCATCCATCCGTGTTTCTTCCCAGGGGATGGCAGTGTGCGCGTGTGGAGGGACTTTGTGACTTTTGAGTCGGCTCAAAAGAAACTTCGTATTCTCCATCCATGCGTGTTTCTTCCCAGGGGATGGCAGTGTGCGTGTGTGGAGGGACTTTGCGCGAAGAGGCAAGCAACGGCTAGCCACGGCATGGCAGGCAGTTCAGTCCCACTCGCACCACCTCTTCTCCTCCCCCTCTTCCCCCTCCTCCCTTTCCTCCTCTGCCCGTCCTTCCTCCTCCATCCCCTCCCCGTCCGCCTCTCATTTTTCCACATCTTCGTCCTTTTCGAATCTACAGTCGCAACAGCAAGTTACTGACTCTAACGCGTCGCACCGGCACCATCAGCAACAGCACCAGCACCATCATACTAGCCAGAGACCAGACCAACAGCAGCAGCAGGCTCGGGGCCAGCAGGGACGGTCTTCCGACCCTCTTGCCTCGCCTAACAGCTTCGGCAGTAGCTTTGCCGGCGGGTTCGGCAGCAGCTTCGGCAGCAGTGGAAGCAGCAACAGCAGCAGCGGAGGGGGGATGGGAGGGTTGGGTTCTGGTGGTGGAGCAGGCGGGGGTATGGGGGTGAGAGGGCGAACGGGAGCAGTGGTGGAGTGGCAGCAGCTCATGGGGTACCTGGTACGATGTAGATTATCTTGCTGCGTGTCTGGTACGAACGAGGAGGGTTTTGATATTCATACTTCTGACAGGTTGGGTTGGGGAATGGGGCTATAGGGGCGAGAGGACGAGCGAGAAAATGGCAGCAGCGTATGGGGTACCTGCGTGGCACGGATCTTGTTGATTGTCCTGAGTTCGGATGTGTGTGTGTGATTCTGCCCCCCTTCCACCCACTTTTGAGGCGCCTCAAAATGGCAGCAGCTTATGGGGTACCTGCCTGGCGCGGATCTTGTTGATTGTCCTGAGTTTGGATGTGTGTGCGTGGTTCTGACCCCCTTCCACCCACCCCTTCTACCCACCCCTCCCACCCACCCCACCAGTACGCGTCGGGGGAAATTTCCTCCATTCTCGTGTGGGATCTTGACAGGGAGCTGCTCGCGCACAGTGTTCCCACTGAGTGTGACTCTGCTGTGACTGCGCTGGTGAGTGCTGCTGTGGGTGAGTGAGTGCACGTCAAAGCGCATGCCCTGCCGACCCTAAGCACGTGCACCTGCTGCTGCTGCCACACAGGGAGCTGCTCGCGCACAGTGTGCCCACTGAGTGTGACTCTGCTGTGACTGCCCTGGTGAGTGCTGCTGTGAGCTTGGGGTTGTTAGCGCACACACAGTGTGTGTATGTAGTACCGCGAGTGTGTACACAGACACAGGCACACAGGGAGCTGCTAGTGCACAGTGTACCTACTGAGTGTGATTTCGCTGTCACCGCGTTGGTGAGTGCTGCTGTGGGTGAGTGAGTGCACGTCATAGCACATGCCCTGCCGACCCTATGCACGTGCACCTGCTGCTGCTGCCACACAGGGAGCTGCTAGCGCACAGTGTGCCCACTGAGTGTGATTTCGCTGTCACCGCGTTGGTGAGTGCTGCTGTGAACCCCACTCTTCTGTGACAATGCGTGCGGCTGGTTTGCCACGTCCCCTACTTTCTCCTGTCGGTTGTCCCTTCCCTGCAACCCACTCCACACACCCAGTCGTCATCTGCTGTCCAGCCCAGCTTTGTTGCGGCGGGCTGTGACGACGCCTCGCTTGCTGCACCCCCCAACCAACTACTATCGCTGCTGCCTCCCTGCATCTCTCCACTCTCATCTCCCATCTTCTCGGCCTCTCCACCTCGCGACAATGCACCCAGCCTTTCCCAATTCCAGGGAACATCCGCTCTCCAGCCGTGTGGCACCCATTCCTACGTGGCAGGGGGGTGTGACGACGGACGGCTGGTTTGCTGCATCCCTCCACACCCATCTCCCATCGTTCCTGCCTCTCCACCTCTCTCCCCCCCTTCCCTCTCCCAGGGATCATCCGTCGTCCAGCCAAGCTACGTGGCAGCAGGGTGTGACGATGGCTCTGTGCGGCTCTTTGACATCCGCTCGCAGCCCCGGGCGCAGTGAGTGCAGTGTGATGCGTTTCTGTGCGGTTCTATGTGGTTCTGTGCGGTTCTAGGCAGCTCTGTTTGGCTCTTTGACACTCGCTCGCATCTCTGGGCACAATGAGGGCAGCTCTATGGCAGTGCTGCCTGTGAAGATTGATGTGTATCGTTTTCAATATTGACCTTCCTGCACCTTGCCTCTCTGCCTCCCCACACTGCACCCCCCACTCCTCTCCACCTGCAGGCTCGTGTGCGGCACGCACCATCACTCACATCGGGTCGCGGGGATTGCTCATTGTCATTTATCAACATCACGTTTCCTCCTCATTTTCCCTCCCCACTTTGCCTTCCCACCTTGCCTTCCCACATCTCTCCTCCTGCAGGCTCGTGTGCGGCACCCACCACCACTCGCATCGGGTCGCGGGAATTGCCTTCCACCCTGCCAGCACTGCTGCTGTTGCTCCTCACCCTCCCCACACTGCCACCGCCCCCCACCCCTCTCCACTTGCAGGCTCGTGTGCGGCACGCACCATCACTCGCATCGGGTCGCGGGAATTGCCTTCCACCCCGCGAGCACTTCCGCACCTCAAGTACGTTCTCAGCAACCGTGTTAAGAAGCAATTCATCTTTAGTCATTTCCACCTCTGATGCATCATGTGTGGTTTGAGCATTCTTGCTTTGAGCGATTTAGTGACTCGCTCCCTGTCCACATATTCTCGTTACCCCCCTTACATAGTCTCTCGAATCGAATTTATTTATTTTCGCGTTCCTAATATATTTCTAGCCATGAATAATGGTTGCCATTTTTTTTTTTTTTTTTTTTTTTTTGCATTCAGATTATCTCTGCTTCAAGTTCTGGCGAGATTGTATTTTTAGATGCCCGAAATCCGGGGCAGCCAATTAGAAGAGTGGAGGCGCACAAGGGGCACCTCACAGCGCTCTCGGTTCACCGGCACTTGCCTGTCATGGCCACGGGCAGCTCGAAACAATTAATCAGAGTGAGTAACGTCATTTGCGTGTAGTGTTTCATGTGATGTGCTGCAGAATTGGCTGCAAACTCAACTCAAATCCCGAAATTTGTTGGTTCTTGTTTCAATCTCAAGATTTAACTATTCCTTTGGCATACGGATTCATTGTTCTCCAATATACCACAACATCTCTATCGGGCCACAAAGGCTGGTCCTTGTGTGTCTGCTTTTTGTGTTTACCTATCCTTTCGTTCCCACCCAGGTGTTTGACATGTCTGGTGCCCGCTGGTGCACGCCACAACAGCTTCCTGGTCCGCAGAGTCTTGAGACGTCTCAAAACTACCTGGGCCAGTAGAGTCTTTCTTACACATGGGCCCTTGCTTTGTACACGTCGAGCATATTCCCTCTTACCGTCCCCTCTCCGCCCCCCCGCAGGTGGTCAATATGTCTGGGGACCTCTTGAGTGGCGTGCGCTGCCACAACAGCTTCCTGGGCCAGCAAAGGCTGATGATTCTTGTCTGCTTGCGCTCTCTCTGCCAACCCAACACTGTGTGTCTTGCCCTCCTTCCTCCCTCCCCCCGCAGGTGTTCAACATGTCTGGGGACCTCCTCAGTGTTGTCCGCTACCACAACAGCTTCCTGGGCCAGTTCATCGGCCCTGTCAGTGCGCTGCACTTTCAAGACGTCTCTCAAAATTGCCTTATCCTCCCCCCCATCCTCTCAGGTGTTCAACATGTCTGGGGACCTCCTCAGTGTTGTCCGCTACCACAACAGCTTCCTGGGTCAGCGCATTGGCCCAGTCAGTGCGCTGCACTTCCACCCCTACCGGCCGCTGCTTGCCGCCGGCGCTACTGATTCAATTGTTTCCATTTATGCCGGGGAGACACACCGTAGCTAGCAGAGGGGTGCAGAGGTGTGGGGGTCAGTGCGCTGCACTTCCACCCGTACCGGCCTCTGCTTGCTGCCGGTGCCACCGACTCCATTGTTTCCATCTATGCGGGGGAGACACACCGCAATTAGCCTGTGCGGGTCCTGTCAGCCCATCAGTCCTGTCAGCGCTTCGCCATGTCAGCGCTTCGCCATTTCAGCTCTCTTGTCTGTTAGCACATGTCAGCAGCGCTCTGCCCTTTCATACAAGCATCTTCTTGCTGCGATGGCGACAGATAGGAATTACTCAATTTATGGAGAGGGGTTGTAAAATGGAGTAGTGGGAGAGGGAGGTAGGGGGGGGGGGGGGGGGGGGGGGGGGGGGGGGGGAGATGACTGGGTTGGTGTAGGAAGGTTGAGAGGGAGATGGTCAGGTTGAGAGGTTGGTTACCTAGCAGAGAAAGTATTAAGTAAAGAATCTACGGGCAGTTTTTTATGCAGGTACTGAGGTCACTACCACGTAGAAAATTAGCTGCCAGGAGGAGAGAAGCTGCTTGTGTTTCCACCTGTACAGGCCTCTTGTGCTTCTTAACGTTGTTACAAGGTCGTTCACTTCACGTGATGCAGAAAAATATGATGGCTGATCTTGTGTGGGTATAGCAGTTGTGGTGTGGTGTGGGACGAAGATGGTAAGTTTATGGTGTAGCAATGGTGGCTGATGGTACTGCTGAAAGAGTAGCGGCGTATGCGCCGCATGTATGTGGTACCGTATTAGGGCCGTCATCACCCGGATATAAGACAGTGTTGAATAGTAGACAGGGGGTGTCTTCTAAACGGTTCTTTGTCCATTTATAAGACTTATAAGACACCCTAAACCGTCCCAAATACAAGACAACCCAAGCCTTTTTGCCCGTGTACGAGATAAGATATATATGTCTTATATCCGGGCGATGACGGTAAAATGGTAACAAATGTGTTTGACCAAAAAGGGATAGCATACGGAGATCTGGTTTGTCTATAGCGATGTATTAGCCCTTAATCTTAAAGGTCGTCCTTATTATCACACACCCACATCTTAAAGATGCTTGTTCTTACGGTAGATGTTGCATTTCTCAACAACAATCGTAGCTAACTTTCTCGAGAGTACATGTGGTAGCGTCGCCGAATGCCTTGAACGAGTTATGTTGTGGAGGGTACCTCTTCGAGCCGCGAGGTCTCCCTTTCTGTCAGTGGATCTTGTGGATCTCATCATCTAACGGGGGTTCTCAATTCGTTTTGACCAGCCCCGCCAAATAGCACGGTGAGCTTTGAGGAAACCCTGAAGACCCATATTTTGCCCGGAAACCTCGATATTCCGCCTGGCTGGGGTCAAAATCATTTTACGTCTGGCAGGGTGTCAATTTCATTCTTGGAAAACGCAGTGAGATTCAGAGCATGATAAAGTCGAGTCAACGATTACGCTTCACGACACAAATTGCATCTGCAATGTTTTGTCTCGTTTGCGAAGGAGCTTCGGCAACTTCCGAAGAACAGTCTGGGATTTGGGTTTGCAAATCATGGTGTTCAGCTTTCACGAGGCCTGCGCGACCTGGAATATAAGGGCGTGTAGCAGTTTCTAAAAGTGGTAAAGTCCGGACAACCGTCCAAAAACGGTTCGGAAACGAATCTCGGACGGTCCGAGTTCAACGTCCGGACTAAGCCTCGTGCGGACGTTGTTTATAAAACTTTTTCAAACTTACGAAAGAAAGGTTGTTAGCGAGCTTGTAACATTCAAGCGACTCGAAAATCGCGTTACTGTTACGTCCGTAAGTGCTCAACCGAGGAGTCAAACGAAACTCAACGAGAATGTAACCACTTAAACGTCCGGACGGCTCCCGTCCGGACGGGAAATTGTCAAAAATATTAGACGCCCTCCCAAATGTTGCATCCAGGTTATTTGTGACGAATCAAATGCGGTGTTGCGTCAATTCGCGTGGAGAAACAAACAACTCACCAGATCCTGATACTGAGGCCACAGCAACACGACAGACCTCAATCCCCTCAATCTCTCCTCGCACGCTCCAAGACAGCTTGCTCTATCGAACGAAACTGCTTGGGGCTAGCTCGTCCTCTCGTCCCTTTCTTGCGTGTATTTTGAGCTCAAAGGTCCCAGAAAACGGCAAAAACACATTTTGCCCAGCTGGTGTGGGAATGTACAAATGCTTTGGTTCGTTTTCGTGAATTTTCGGGTGAATACCTCGGTTACAGAGCAATGCTCGAACTTGGAAACGGGCTTCATTCCATGCTCCTGGAGCAATGAATTTTCCTCAACCATCCCACCCCGCAAATTTTGACGACGCACGCAGGTTCTGTGGCGTTTGCTGGCTCGAGCCATGGTACAAGGTATTTTATAATTATTTGTATATACAGGATTGTTTCTGAACGCGCCCGAATCGTCCGAGCTACGCAAAAGTCTTCCCCAGCTGCCCAAAAATGCTCTTTTCACCAGCTGTCTCGTTATACTGTACAGTTACACCTCCACAACGCTCAAAGAATCAGCTCTTTTCGCGCCCAAATTATTCTGTACAACTGTTGCTTGAAATCCGCAAGCCTGTCCAAATTTGGTCCAAGAAGCACGCCTACATCTTGCTCCAAGCAAAGCCACTGAAAAAGAAGCGAGTGGTGGTGCACGTAGCTCCCGCAATGCAACCACAAGCCCGAGTGAGACTCTAGAGGCACCCAACAAATGACAGCATTTGTGCTTGCATTTTTGGAGGCGCATCAAACCTCGCCATCTCACCATCCACGTCTATACTCTAGACCCATCAGGCTGTTCTGCATCATTTTTCTCATGATCGCTCCCACACATCCAAGTCATATCTCAGCCTCATTCCGCCCTCGCAAATACTCCAAAGGGTGCGTCTTTGCGTCAAGCACTTCCAATAACTGCCTGCGCGCTTCTGAACCCCGCATGGTCCAATAAGGCACGTTTGGCTTTCCTGACTGCACCTGGCCGCAGTAAGTGATCGCAGTACCAGGGAGAACGCAATTGGCAGTTGAGAGAACCCCTCTGGTGCGACACGCGCTCAGTATTCTCAGAGCTGCTAATAAAAACAATCCCGCGGCGACTAATTAGTAACACTACAATGATGACGTCGTCCGACTTTCAGCGGACCGCGTCGCATGATCCTCGGCGTTGCCGTTCGCAAGACTCCACGGAATGCGCTGGATCTGCTTTCTCGCTCTCCCCGCGTGATCCGCTCCCTCCGCAAAGGTCACCTTCCGCGAACTTCCCGCATGCCCCACGCTCCCCGCTTTCTCCGCTGGCAAATCCAGCGCCTCGCAGCCAATCCTGTCCGATTGACCAAACAGATCCCGTCTATGGGCAACACAATGCGCTCACGCGCAGCGCCAGCGCCGCCGCGCTGCCGCATTCAGGCGTGGAGCTTTCCCGCCGCGCCGCCGACTTCCCCCGTGGCTCCACTGCCGCCGCGCTACCCTTACCTCCGCTCGAATGCGCATCGGCGCAGGCTTCCGCGGGATCTTCGCCGCCCGCGGACACAATGCGCGGGGACGTTTGCGCACCGCAGGCGACTCGGTCGTACTCCTCTCCCGCCGTACGGGGCAGCGGCAGCGGCGAGGACGGCGCGGGCTCTGGCGGTCACGCCATTCACGGGGGGGAGCGGGGCGTGCGCCAATCTGCGCGCACATTCGATCCCTCGGTATTACCGCGCCTGTCGCAGTGGAGAGCGCGCAGCAGCTTTGAAGCCGAGCGCCCATCTTTTGCGGAAAGTTTCCGCATATCCCCGACGGTCCTCCTCAATGGGCGGCCAGCTTCCCCCGCGTTTGCGCTCCCCCCGCCCCCGCTTGCGGAATCTCCCGCCGTTTCCGCGCCCAACACGCCGATCGCGCGCAACACGCCCGCCGTTGCGCCAACCCAGAGGGCCTCTGCGGTGGAAAGCCCCAACCAATCAGCAGCAAGACCGAGTCCAGTACAAGCAACGCAGCAGCGGCAGCAGAGCGGCCGAGCGGAGCGGAACGTCCCGATCCCAGCTTCTCCGCTGTACCGACAAATAAAGGTGTCGTGCGAAGTACGACCTCCGACACCCCGACCTCCCACTCCTGCCGGGAACGTCGCGATCCGCTCGTGATTCTTGACGTGAAATGTGGCTCTGCTTTGGATGCTAGTCCGCTCAGGATCTTTTTGGCAGGATTTTTACGAAGCAGCAGTTTTTTGCGTTTCCTCAATCTGTGTTTTGTATCGCGGATAGGATCAGCTTATACAAGATACCTGGTGGATACCACTATGCTGACTGCACTGTTTAAGTGCAGATTTAGCCCAAAAAATACAGATTGTGCTGCATGGCACAAATTGCAGTCTAAAACTTTGAAATAACATCTGCACCTTTCATCCTGACCCTACTCTAGTTTGGTTAGCAGTACTGGTCTTGTGCATGGAAAAGGTGTGGTAATCTAGGCATAATCTTTCCACAGGTTAGGATGCTAGAAAATGGAGAAGAAAACATCCTATTAGCTAAACAGACTGGCAGGCCTAAGGAGCCAATGAGAAGGCAGAATAAGAGTTGATAACCCAATCAGTACAAGCCGTTGACCTTCCACCAGAAGGCACAAACTGCGATCCAAATGGCAAAGTTGACTGCTGCTGTGATGGCCCCAAACTTGAACACGTCCGGCAGGTCAATGTACCCAGCTGCAGAACACATAGGGAGGGAAAAGAGCATTACCGTAAAAATATATATATAAGTGGGGGGAATATGCTGCGCGTTGCGGCCGCTGTGATGGGTCCAAACTGCTTGAACACGTCAGGCAGGTTGGTGTAGCCAGGTGCAGAACAGAGGGAGGGAAGATACCGTACTACCACTAAAAAATAAGAAAAAAGGAGGGATATGCACCATGATAAGCCGCTTATCGTCCCAGAGCTGAACATAACGTCAATATAGGCAGCTTTATAGTACAAAACATCATACCCGTTATAGTCTCACCTCCATAGTACAGCGCAGCCTGCCCGCTACTGTAGTGGGTGATGGAGCCGAACAGGTTGGTGTTGAGCGCGAGAGCCAATGCCGCGAGGACACCTGGCACGCCTGCCGCCAGCTGCATCGCCAGGAAGGCCGAATAGAGAGCACCCACGTGGCCAGTTTGGCTGGCAAAGAGGTAGTGCGAACCGAAATACATAGCCTGGGGGAATGGGGAAACAGGGGGAAGGGGTTTCAGGGGTTTGGTTGAGATGAGGCTTGCAGGCACGAGGAATAGAGAGCGCCCACGTGGCCCGTCTGGCTGGCAAAGAGGTAGTGCGAGCCGAAATACATGGCCTGGGGAAGGGACAAGCGTAGAAGTGAGGAGGAATGGGTTGTAGGCAGTGGTGTCACGAGGCGAAAAACATGCCCACGTGAATGAAGTGTAAATACACTTAATTCACGTGGCGTAGAAGTGAGGGGGAATGGGTTGTAGCCAGTGGTGTCACGAGGGGAAAAACATGCCCACGCGGCCGGTATGGGTGGCAACGAACGAGGTAGTGCGAGCCAGAGTATACAGCCACGCACCTGAAGCTTGAAGAAGTTCCCAATCCACGTGCCTCCCGCACCCGTCGGCCGAGCAGCGATGTTATCGGCCATCCACTGCACTATGCCCATGGCGTTGAGTTGCGCTGACCCTCTCCTCCCCTTCCCACCTCCTCTTCCTTTCATGATAAGTTGAAGACAGGGAGACAGAGAGGCATGGAGTGATGGACACAGAGACACAGAGAGATAGAGACACACGTACCTGCAGCTTGAAGAAATTGCCGACCCACGCCCCCCCCCGCTCCTGTCAACCCAGCAGCGACGTTATCGGCCATCCACTGCACTATGCCCATGGCGTTGAGTGACACACAGAAAAGAGAGACAGAGACGGAGATAAACACACACACCCACCTGAAAATTGAAGAAATTCCTGACCCACGCTCCTCCGGCCCCCGTCAGCCCAGCAGCAACATTATCGGCCATCCACTGCACGATGCCCATGGCGTTGAGCTGCGCTGACAGTCACAGAGACAAGGAAAGAGAGAGACATAGAGAACCACCCACCTGCAGCTTGAAGAAATTCCCGACCCACGCTCCTCCCGCTCCTGTCAACCCAGAAGCGACGTTATCCGCCATCCACTGCACGATGCCCATGGCGTTGAGCTGCGCTGACATGCCGATGAGCACGGCGAACCATGCCAGCGTGTCCCATGCTGACTTCTCTGCCAGGCAGTCGTTCCATGAGAGCACTCCTGAGAGCAGCAGCACACAGAGCGCTATCATCGCTGCCACCACGCTGGGAATGCCGATGGTATCTCTGGTCACGGGGGAGGGAGAGGGGGAGAGGAGGGGAGGGAGAAGGGAGGGAGGAGAGGGAAACGGGAAAGTGAGAAGGAGAGGGGGAGGAGGGAGAGGGGTATGAGCATGCGTGCCGATGAGCACGGCGAACCACGCTAGCGTGTCCCACGCGTGGGGGCCTCAGATAACACCCACCCTCCCCCAGACCACAGGTAAACACCCACCCTCCCCCAGACCACAGATAAACACCTCCTCCCACCACAAATAACACTTCCTGCACCCCATTGGGAGCACCTACATGCAGGCAAGGCAACACTGTGCCCAGGTGATTTTGACACCCTCATTTCACCTCTATGCAGGCAACACTGTGCCCTGGTGATACCAACGTACCCCAGCACCCAGAGCGACACGGCGAGCAGCATGGTGCCGACCATAACGAGCTCGTTGGGGGTCACGGGCCCCAACTCTCTCAGTTTCACCTCCAGGTGTCTCAGATTACACTCACCCTCCCCCAGACCACAGATAGCACCTTCACCAGAACGCACCCGAGCACCCAGAGGGACACGGCGAGCAGCATCGTGCCAACCATAACGAGCTCGTTGGGCGTCACGGGCCCCATTTCCTTGAGTTTCACCTCTGCCAGCCCGGGCGCCTCAGGGGTGTCCTTGAGCTCAGGTGGGTAGAGGGTGAAGAGGAGGAGCGGGGTGACCAGCAGGCCGATGAGACCTGGAAAGGGAAGGGGGGGATGAAGAGGAGAAGCAGGGTGATTAGGAGGCCAAAGAGCGTCGCCCAGACATTGGGGATCACCAATCCCAGCTCCTGAGCCACCTTGACACACAGCAGGTTCATTCTGACCCAATGGGGAAAGGCAGGTACTAACTGGGGCAGGCCGCACCTGAGAAAGTAAGGCGTACCTGGGAGGGCTGCTAGCTTGAACCACGTGGCCCAGACATTGGGAATGACCACCCCCAGCTCCTGAGCCAGCTTGATGCACAGAAGGTTCTGTGCGCCTCCCGTCAAGTACATGGCACTGGCGTTGGCAGAGGCCTGGAGAAGGGGGCGGGATGGGTAAGGGGAAGGGAGAGACGGGAAGGGGAGGGGAAGAGTGGAATATGGTGAGGGCAATTTGATGCACAGCAGGTTCTGTGCGCCTCCCGTCAAGTACATGGCACTGGCGTTGGCAGAGGCTTGGGGAGGGAGAGGAGGGGGAGTGGGAGAAGGGGGAGGAAAAAAACCTTTTCAGTAGGGACAGACATGGACGGTTTGATGCACAGCAGGTTCTGTGCGCCTCCCGTCAAGTACATGGCACTGGCGTTGGCAGAGGCCTGGTGGGGAAGGGCGAGACGAGGGGAAGAGAGGCATGTGAGTAGGAAGGTACATGGCACGGCACTAGCTTCGGCAGCGGCCTGTGGAAGGGCCCCAGGGCAGCTGAATCCCAGCCTGACTTGAATCAGCTATGGGGAGAGGTCTACTGGGGAAGGTGTCAACTGGGGAAGGTTTCAGCTGCTGGTATTTCCAGTCTCTTACTCACCTGGAACTGTGACATGATGAGGAACCTTCCCAGCGTCTTGGAGCTGGGGTCGTTGGGCAGGCTGTTGAAGGTCAGCCTACCAGGGACGGCTGAGGATCTAGTTGGCTATAGTTGGTTATGGCTAGAACATTGCACCTGGAACTGTGACATGATGAGGAACCGGCCGAGCTTCTTGGAACTGGGGTCGTTGGGCAGGCTGTTGAAGCTGCGCGCCAAGCTGCTGATGATGGGCAGGAACACGCCTCCCGCTCGTGCTGTAGTGCTGGGCATGGTGGGCGAGATGAGCGCCTCGGAGACTGGAATGCAAGGGGAGGGGGAGAGAAGCAGAGCAACAGAAGTAGGGTCATTGGGCAAGCTGCACGCCAAGCTGCTGATGATGGGCAGGAACACGCCTCCCGCCCTGGCGGTGGTGCTGGGCATGGTGGGGGAGATGAGGGCCTCGGATACTGCAATGCAAAGAGGGGGGGGGAGCAGCAGAGGAACATAAGTAGGGTGATTGGGCAAGCTGCGCGCCAAGAAGCAGGAAGACGCTCCCTGCTCTGCTCGTGCCGTGGTGCTGGGCATGGTAGGAGAGTCGGAGACTGGAGGGGAGAGGCGAAGGGGGAGGGAAGTAATTTATGCGCAACCACACGCGCGCACGCGCACTCACACACACACACACACACAGACACACACACACACACACACACACACACACACACACACGCACACACGCGCGCGCACATCCACCCACAGATTTGCCAGTCCATACCTGAGCCCCTGCGTGCTCTTGCTCTTGCCGAACCACTTCACACCACTTGACAAAGTAAGTCGCCACTCAGCCCCCCAGGTCCATCTTGACACACACACACACACCAGTTACTTAACCATAGCCAGCCACTGTTCAGCTAACAGCTCTCACCTGCGAGTCCATAGCTGAGTCCCAGCGTGCTCTTGCCGAACCACTTGAGAAAGTACGTGGCCACGCGGTCGCCCAGGCCCGTCTTGACACGCACACATGCACACACACACACATCCCCCCCTCCCTCCCTCCCTCCCTCCCTCCCTCCCTCCCTCCATACACACACACCTGCGAGTCCATAGCTGAGCCCCAGCGTGCTCTTGCCGAACCACTTGACAAAGTACGTCGCCACGCGGTCCCCCAGGCCCGTCTTGACAAAGCCTCGGGCGAAGAAGAATGAGATGACGATCAGCCAGATGACCTCGTTGGTCATGGCGCTGCATGGGGGGGGGAGAGGGGGATGGGAGATGGGAAAAGTGGGGCTTGGGATGTGAGGGTGAGCAGCCACGCGGTCCCCCAGCCTGTGTTGATGAAGCCTCGCGCGAAGAAGAATGAGATGACGATCAGCCAGATGACCTCGTTCGTCATGGCGCTGATAAAAAGGGGGGAATAGGGGGGGGTGGAATGGAGGGGAGAGGGGTGGTAAGGGGGGGAGGGGAGGGGAAGGAAGGAGGGATAAATGCATAAGAGACGGAGAAGAATGAGATGACGATCAGCCAGATGACCTCGTTGGTCATGGCGCTGCGTGGGGAAGAGGGAAGAGAGGAAGCGGGGAGAGGGGGGGAGGGAGAAGGGGGGTTGGTTGGAATGTGTGAGGGAATGCCACATACAAACACATGAAAGCACAGACAACGAGAGCCACAACAACACACACTGAACCGACTTTGGTTGGCAGAAATAAGTGCGGCATGGGAGGAAAAAGACTGACCTGAAAGCTGCAGCGAAGGAGAGCGTCTTGGAGAGCACGGTGAAGGTGAGGCAGACAAAGGCCCACGCGCCCACTGGGAGGGGCCTGGTGGGTGGGGTGAGAGTGGGGCGGGTTTAATGAAAGGGGTGTGCGTGACAGGGGATTGGGAGCAGCAAAGCAGAGAGTCTTGGAGAGGACGGTGAAGTTGAGGCACACAGAGGCCCACGCGCCCACTGGGAGGGGCCTGAGGGATGGGGTGAGAGTGGGGTGGGGAAAATCAGAGGAACGTGTGTGTGTGAGCGAGACAAGGGAAGAGGGGCTTCAAGACAGGTGAAGCATAAAGTGCAGCTGAGGCGGATAATGCTACATGGTCGCAGCAGCATAGAGACATGGGACGAGGCGACCAAGCAGGGGGCTCGACGTATCTCCTGCACGTTGTGTCAATCACTAGGTGCATTGCATTGCATTGCATATGAAAGACCGACCATTCTGCTTACCCGAGCACGAGACCCGTGATCGTGGAGAGGAAGATGGCGAGAAGCTGCCATGCCTGGGTTGTCACTCCGGCAGGGACTGGGGGGTGAAAGAAAGAGAAGCGGGAGGATAATGTAGGGCAATGGAGCACGTGGGAGCGTAGCTTTTGCAAATGTAGCTTGCGAAACAAAGCAGGTTGCGAAAGTGCAGCAAATGCAGCTCGCGAAAATGCAGCTCGCCAAAATGCAGCTCGCCAAAATGCAGCTCGCGGAAATGCAGCTCGCGGAAATGCAGCTTGCGAAATTGCAGCTCCCATGTGTGTAAAAGAGCAAATCATACAGCCGTTGTGTTGCAGAGGTGGTGAATCAGCTGGATATCCTAATGTACACTAACAGCAGAAGACCCAAACGGCTTTAAACGAAATCAAAACTGGAGAAGAAGGTGCTTTGAAACTCCGCTGAAATCCAACACTCGCGGATACAGCGAACCCCACGCGGCTGGACTGAACGGAACCGAGAAGACCACGACTCGTGTCGTTGGGCTAATAATAAAGGGCTATATCAACTTTAATATTTATGTTCGCATCTACAGCTACAGATTAATCCGCACCGTCTGTGTCTACAAGTTTGTATCTGACGTACCCGGGACTAAGAATCGGACGGCCAGGCCAACGCCGACGGAGATGATGAACGGAATCGGCGCGGCGCCAGCCCACGTGAATTTAGGTTTCTCGCTCTCCGCGGGAGCGGGAGCGGCGGCGGAGGCGGCGGACGCGGAAACGGCCAAACGCTGCGCCGGTCTGTCGCTCTGCGCGAAAGAGCGCTTCGCGCTGCTTCGAGATCGCAGCCGTAGATCAGGGAGGCCCGCTGCGGGACAGAGAGCGGAGAGCTGAGTGGACGGCTTAGATGCGTTGATCGGTGCAATCGGACGGCTGAGGTATGACGTCGAAATGCTGCGTGCGCAAGCCGCTCGAACGATTGGCCTCTGCGTAAGACGAGAATGCATGGCATTGCGAGGGTTCACCGCATTGTGCGGGGACAGGGGGTTCGCTGCCAGTCGCACGGCTCTGGGCTGGAGCAGCAGCGACGACGCCATGAATAGAGCCTAAAAGAAATACACGCTTATTTCTTTCACAAAAGGTTAGGATGAAGAGCTGTGGTAATGCGGCTTGGCTGGTCCTGTTCTCTAGAGTACAACTGGCCTGGTCCAGGCTGGGAAAGAGAAGAAGGAAGAAAGTGGAGTGAAGTGGAGTGGAGGAAAAAATTGATGGCTTTTGATAGAGAGTTTGTTGCTGCGTAACAGATCAGATCGGTGCAGCGCGGTCTTGTGCTCACGAAACGGAGCAGAGCTGTGAGTGGTGCGTGCCTACGTGGATAGTATGGTGGCTGGACATTCTCCTCCAATGGTGGCTCGTTGAGGGCTCAGGATCGCGACCTGTGGTTGGACGAAAATGAAGGTCGTTACGAGAAGTGCGGGAGATCCCAAGGTCGTATTTTCGAGGCTTGCAGTGGCCAAAATATCTGCACTTCAACCCGTTCTTCAGGCAGGTGGTACAGGTCGGCATACGTCACGTAGTCCCGTTCTGGCAATTTTTTAGAAGGGCTCAACTGGGAAACGTCCCACGTGTATCCGCGTTATTGCGTAGTATACATGTCTCAAGTCAAATTCTATTGATTTCCAGTTATAAACTCAAGTGGTGTATAAATCATCTATCAGGACTTCATCCCTCGATCGAAGGACAGTTGACTGCCTCACTGCTGCTGCAGAGGTTCTGACACCAAGGCGCCACAAAGTTCCCGCTGAAATTTGAAACACTGGGAGCCTGCTGCTGGGCCAGCAGACCAAACCAGGCCTGATCCCTCTGCTGACCGAACAGAATTTCCCACCGATTCCCAGAGCGCGTCGTCATGACCTCGGTTTCTGCTCCGTCAACACGCGGTTGCGAACGGTTCTATGCACATTAGAGCGGTTCATGCGCTAAACTGCCTCGAACAAGAACTCACCATCGAACAAGAACCCTTGTCCTCGCGGCAATCCCAAGGTCTCTCATTTTCAGCCTCTGATTTTCAGCTTTCGCTGATTCTTCCATGGTCTTTCATTCACTCACATGACATACTCCTGATTTCTGCAGTTCGGCTAGGCTTGATGTCCTAGAAGCCGGCATTGACTTCCTAGCTTATCCTGTGAAGCAGAGTAGGTTGACGTTTCATGACTAGAGCAGAACCCTCATCTGCTCATCTGCAGACCTCTGTCAGGATTTCTGCAACGGTAGTCTCGTGATGAGATATCTAAGCCTTCTCACGTCATAAGCTCATAGTATTGCTAGAGTACTGAGGCGGATTTTTAATTGGGTTATTTATCGATTCGTCTCTATATTCTCACCTTGAGAAGATGAGCCGGAGGAGGGGTAGAGCCCCCAAAGCGGAAGCTAGCAATGTTGCGATTACGGACACAAGCGACCCAGTGACAGACATACTGGTAAGTGCTGATCTCAAAGATAATCCCTTTTTATTATCAGCTGCTTTGTGTCAGTTTATCGAGGTGTTTCTGTTCCTTGACGTCTAACTGTCCTCATCTGCTTTTCATTCAATATATGAACAAGTTACATCTATTGCTAAAGATGTTTGCTTGACAATGACCCGTGTGTCTTTCGTTCGCGCGTGTCTTTCATTAGCCTGTGTGTTTCGCTGACGTGTGTCCTTCTTTAACGTGTGTCGTTCACGAACGCATCTCTTGCATCAACGCGTGCCTTTCAGAGAGGGATCTGGATTCAAGGCCAGCATGATTCTTCAAGTCAACAGAAGGACTGGAAAGAGTGGATAAGCCTCGCCGAGAAGCATCTCAGATCGTCCACTACGCAACCGACACGTCATCAATCGAGTGCCGATGTCCCACAACCCAAGCGAACCCGCAACAACAAATCATCCGCTCGCGACGACATTGAGAACCAAGATTTCTGTCTCAAATCTTCAACGACTATTTCCTTGGCACCGCATCTTGAACAGCTATTCCGTTACACCAAGCCAGCAAGCTCGCAGGCGGTGTTACAGGCGACCCCAGTTGTTTCGTTACAGTTTCCAAACCCATTTCCGAGCAATGAACCCGTTAAGCGGAAAGACGGCGACGTGGTTAGTGTTCTCTCCTTCACACCCGCAGCAGCAGAAGAGGATAAGGAGAACAAGGAGAATGGAAGCCAGATCCGACGGTCAACCCGTTCGCGATCTAAAGGCCTTGGTCCGCGTTCCCAGCCTTCCCCAGATGCGCCTCCGTCAGGACCCCCTCCCAGCCGTCCATCTTCCTCTAGATCCCGGGGGACGAAGATCCAACGGCGGGGGACAGCTTCTCCATCTGATGAGCTTGCGGAGAAGCTTGAGCAAGTGCAGCTAGCGTTCAAGGCTATGGATGCTAACGAGGCGACTCAGAACGCGGATGGAGGAGCAATGACTCGTGCCGCTGATCAAGACAGTGACGTGAATGTCAACTCTCAGGGAGCTATTCCAGTGGAAGGCACAGAGACAATTGCAGACGGAGACGGCACGGGAGATCGAGCGGGAGAAGAGGTTAAGGAAACAGATTGTCAAGCGAAGCAGCCGAAGGGAAGAGGAAGACCACGGAAGGTGGCGAAGGCTGCTCCTGCACGGGCTCGATCGACTGCTGCACCTGAAGAGGTAGCAGCTGAAGCTGCTGACGAAGCTGCTTTTGCCGAGGAGGCAGCAGGCGGAGTTAACACGAAGGAAGTGGAGGAAGTGGAGGGGGTGGGAGACGTACAGGAGGTGGAGGAGGATGTGGGAGACGAGAAGCAGAAAGAGGACGCAGCAGAAACTGGTTCTACCGCTGACGTGGAAGCTTCGGCTGCAGCAGCAGGCAAGCGCGGAGGTGCAAGAGGGCGCCGAGGCAAGAAGGCAGCAGTTTCCGAAGCTGTTGACGAGGCTAGAGAGACTGTGCCAGTTGTGGAGAGGCGAGCCACTCGAGCCTCGGCCAGAGCTGCTGCTGCTGCTGGCGGTGCTGGCGGTGCTGGTGGTGCGCCTGCTGCTGCGCAGCTGCCGCCTCTACCTCGCCGGGGACGGCCGAGGAAGGCTCAGAAGCAAACGGACGAGCCAGGTGAGTGTGATTCGTTTTCCCGATGGCTTACTCTTCTGGTCCGTATCACGCTATTTGTTTTGTTTTAACGCCCCACTTTCAACTCGACTAATTCTGGTGGTTTGCTCTCATTGGTCACCTGCGCAGAACCCGCTGAAGCTCCCCTGCCCGTTAATCCGGCTCCAGTGAAAGCTCCAGCAGAGAAGAGGGCGACGAGAGGCAGAAAGAGAGCAACTGGGAGTGAAGCAGGCAGCAGCAGCAGCAGTGGTTTGGACGCAGTTACAGTGCCTGCAGACGCACCTGATCACGTGGGTGTTTCTCCCGAGAAGGAAGTCAAGGCGGTCGTTGTGGCCGTTAGCACTGGTGATGCTTCTGAATCTTCCTCCCCTGAACGAGTGGGTGGAGCGTCGGCTGCTGCTGTTTCTGAGGGTGGTGGTGATGATAAGACCGTTGGTTCATCCGCTGACTTGGCACTGGAACCAGCTGGCCAAATGGCCTCTGACGCAGAGGGTGAGAAGGAAGAGGAGGAAGTAAAGGAAGAAGAGGGAGTGAAGGAGGGGCAAGAAGGGAAGGAGGAGGAGGAGGAAATGGAGGAAGAGGAGGAATTGGAGGAAGGGAAGGGAGCGGACGACGGTATGGAGGTGTGTGAGGTGGTGCAAGTGGCGGCCAAGGAGACTCCAGTGGAACCTGCAGCATGTGGTGAAGTGACGGAGGGGACAGAAGACACGCCTTGTTCTGCAGCTTCTGACGCGGATGGACTCGTTGTGGCGACGGCTGTTGCTGAGGTTGGCGCTGCTGATTCGACAGTTGCTGATGCCGACGATGCTGCTGCAACGGTTTCTGCTGATGCTGGAGATAAGGGTACCGTTGCAGCTGCTGGTGTAGATGGTGCTGCACAAATGGCTGTTGACGCTGATGCTGGTGGGGATACTGGTGCTGAAGTCGAAGCTGATGCTGATGCTGATGCTGATGCTGATGTTGCCGCTGATGGAATTGATCTTGTCTCTGTCATGTCGGACTCCAGTGCTGATGACACGGAGGAAGATGGCCTCGAGGTGACAGGAGCCATTCTGCATGCGGAGCCTGAGGACCTAAAGGAAGCAGCAGTGGGTGACGATGAACCCGCGACTGTGCCGCAAGCATCGGATGTTGGTGTGGAGTTGTCAGCAGCCACTCTACCAGTGCCGCTCGGGGAAGTTGCGGCGGCGGCTGCGGTTGTTGGGGAGGGTGAAGTGGAGACTGTAATGGAAGTGCAGGCGAACGAGGATGCAGGAGTCGCAGCTTCTGCACCGGTGCAAGCACCTGAAGGGACGGAAGTCACGGAAGGCATGGAAGCCGCAAAATGCCAAGCGGGTGCTGCTTATTGTGAGGGGAAGAGGACTGCGCGTGATGATGAGCTGGGAGTGCTGCCGACGGGAGATTCTGGCGTGGTAACTAAGCCACGGAGGGACGCGAGTGCTGGAGTTCCAAGGGAGGGTGCTGTAGCTGGTTCACTGGAACAGGCTGCAGTGCCAGGGGAGGTTTTCGACGGGACAAAGGAATCTGTAGCAGGAGTGGACGAGGAGGAGAGGACGGAGGAGAAGGCGGCGGAGGAAGGAGAGGAGAAGGAAGAAGAGGAAACCGAAGAGAAGGAGGAAGAGGAGGAGGGGAAGGAGGAGCGGAAGGAGGAAATAGAGGAAGGGGAGGATGAAGTAGAGGAAGGGGAGGAAGTGGAGGAGGGGGAGGAGGAAATAGAGGAGGGTGAGGAAGTGGAGGAGGGGGAGGAGGAAATAGAGGAGGGTGCGGAAGTGGAGGAGGGGGAGGAGGAAATAGAGGAGGGTGAGGAAGTGGAGGAGGGGGAGGAGGAAATAGAGGAGGGTGAGGAAGTGGAGGAGGGGGAGGAGGAAATAGAGGAGGGTGAGGAAGTGGAGGAGGGGGAGGAGGAAATAGAGGAGGGTGAGGAAGTGGAGGAGGGGGAGGAGGAAATAGAGGAGGGTGAGGAAGTGGAGGAGGGGGAGGAGGAAATAGAGGAGGGTGAGGAAGTGGAGGAGGCGGATGCGTTGGGGAAGGAAGAGGAGGAAGTGGAAGCAAGGGAGGCTGTAAGCATGGAGGTAGACATGGGGATTGACGGTAGTACGGCAGCAGAGGGTGTGATGGAGGAGGAAGTGGTGTTGGGAATAGCTGGAGGCGAGGAGGACAGTCCTGGAAGGACAGAGATTGCTGAACCCGCTGCTGATGCTGCTGTTCTGGAAACGCCTGAAGCTGACGCCAGCCTGTTGGAATCTCCTGAGCCCCAGGAAGCTGCGAGAGACTCTGCTTCTCCACAGGCGGGCTTCTTGGTGGCCGAGGACATTGATGAGGAGACGAGGGAAGATGGAGGAGGTGGTGATGGAGAGAGCGAGGCTGAAGACATGGAGATTGAGGAAGAGGAGGCGGAGGAGGAAGAGGAGATTGAGGAGGAAGATGGGGCGGAGGCGGAAGATGGGGCGGAGGCGGAAGATGGGGCGAAGGCGGAAGTGGGGGCGGAGGACGAAGATGGGCCGGAGGAGGAGGAGGGACCAAAGGTGGCGGCTGCAGGTACTGTGGCTGAGTGTGCCGAGGAGTTAGACGCGGTGGGGGATGGTGCTCCGCACGTGGGATCAGCCAAGTCAGAGGACCTTGACGGGACGCCAGCTCCACAAGGCTCAGAGGCAGGTAGACATGCGGGGGCAGTAGAGGCGTCGGACGCATCAGAAGGACCAGAGGCAGCAGAACGGATGGAGGCAGTCGAGGCAATGGAGAGCAGTCCGGGCTTGGTGGGCGATCCAGTTAGCGTGACCGCTGCTAAGGACGCGCTGCATTGTGAAGGCGAATTGGTGGTTGAGGAGGAGGAGGAGGAGGAGGAGGAGGAGGAGGAGGAGGAGGAGGAGGAGGAGGAGGAGGAGGAGGAGGAGGAGGAGAAAGAGGAGGAAGAGGAGGGGAAGATGCAAGAAGAGGAACAAACAGAGAAGGAAGAGGAGGCAAGGAAGGATGCAGGGGTGGAAGAGGAGAGGGAAGTGAGGGAGGAACGGGAAGAAAGCGATGAGAAGGGAATGCAAGTGAGTGATAACGTGATGAAGGACAGTACGGAAAGAGCAGCGGGGCAGCACAGGGACGTCACTGGGGGAGAAGAAGCGTTGCCTTCTAGGGCGCAGGGTGCGAAACCGGACGAGGTGGGATCAACCCCGAGCTTCAAGAGAGATGAAACAAGCATCCATGGTTCTGGCATTGATACAGAGGAGCAAACCTTCCACGGCTTTCCAATAGCCAGGGAGGAGGCAACCGTGCACGGTCTCCGGGTGCTCCGCAGCAGCAGTAGGGTAGCGGCCAGTGCAAGGAAGGCCCCTGCTGCTAGTGCCAGCAAAGCAACACGCAGCCGGACAAGGGGCGGAGGCCGAGCTAAGAACGCGGGCAGTATGGAGGTTGCTAGTGCTGCTCGGACTGGCAGGAGAAGGGGCCGAGGACAGATTGCGACTGATATGGTGCGAGAGGCTGGGGCTCTTACCTTCGCTGCAGCAGGAGATCTGATAGAGGAGGCGGGTGGGAACAAAGCTGACGCTGCTGTGGAGGGTGTTGAGCCGGCTCAAAAGTCGCCGGATGCTGCTGTGGGGGTTTCCGAAACGATTCTTAAGTCGCGTGATGCTGCTGTGGGAGAAGGACCATGTGAGGATGCTGAGGAGGTGGTGGGAATGGGAGAGACGGTGAAGGAGGCTGAGCAGGAGGCGGAGCAGGAGGAGGAGCAGGAGGCGGAGCAGGAGGAGGAGCAGGAGGCGGAGCAGGAGGCGGAGCAGGAGGCGGAGCAGGAGGCGGAGCAGGAGGCGGAGCAGGAGGCGGAGCAGGAGGCGGAGCAGGAGGCGGAGCAGGAGGCGGAGCAGGAGGCGAAGAAGGAGGCGGAGCAGGAGGCGGAGCAGGAGGCGGAGCAGGAGGCGGAGCAGGAGGCGGAGCAGGAGGCGAAGAAGGACGAGAGGGAGGAGGCGAGTCAGGGTAGTGGGAAGAAGCTGAAGGTGGGAAACAGGGAGCTGCGTGGAAGGGGGGGCGGAGAGAGGTCCAATGGTAAAGAGAAGGGGGAAGAAATGAGGTATGAGATTGAGGAGAAGGGGACTAGTGTGGCTGTGTCAGTAAGCTGTGAGGAGAATGACGAGCCAGCGTTAAGGACGAAGGCTGAAGCTCAAATGGATAGCAAAGCTGCCGCTGACAGTGACGATGTGAATGGTGAAGAGCAGGCAGGAGAGGCGAAGGAAGGTGCTGCAGACAGGAGACACTGTGTGCTGGCTCGGCTTAGGGCGCAGGGTGCTGCTGCTGCTTTCGGGGGCACTGCCTTTGGCAGGGGCGTGGTTGAGGGAGCGAAGAGCAGGGCGGAGGGGGATGAGATTCTGCAGCAGCTGCGAAATAACGGCAGGATGAAGAGACTGAGAGGGGCAGGGGGTGTGGCGGGAGGAGGGGGAGGGTTTCTGGCGGAGTTGAGAAGCGCTCTGGCACGGCATGGCGTGAGTGAGGAGCGGGAGGATAGGGAAGAGGCGGTGGGGGGGAGGGAGGGAGAAGGGATGGGAATGGAGAGCAAAGTAGAGGAAGAGAGGGAAGCTGGGCATGTAGTGATGATGAGCGAAGTGGGAGGGGCGGTTTCGAGTGATAGGAGCCTCAGTTTGGGTATAGGTGAGGCTGGGAAGGAAGAGGTTCAAGCACCCGAGGGGCAAAGTCTTGACGAGGAGAAAGAGATGATGGCAGATCCGGAGCTTGATGCTGATGTGGATGAGGAGGAAATGGAGGATGAGGATGAGGATGAGGGAGGCAAGGAAGACGAGCAGGGGGAAGAGGCTCTCGCACAGGCTTGTGGTGACGACGTGGGAGATGGGGACGAGAGGGAAGAGGAGCAGGAGGAGGGGGGTGAGGAGGAAATGGAGGAGGAAGAGGAGGAGGGCGAGGACGAGGAGGAAGCAGAGGAGGAAGAGGAGATAGAGTGGATGGATGGTCAGTGCGTGGTAGGAGAAGCAGATAGGTGTGCAGGTGATGCGGCAAATGCTGACGAGTCTTTGGACTATGTTGCTGCTGCAGCTGATGATGTGGATGCTGCAGCTGATGATGTGGATGCTGCAGCTGATGATGTGGATGCTGCAGCTGATGATGTGGATGCTGCAGCTGATGATGTGGATGCTGCAGCTGATGATGTGGATGCTGCAGCTGATGACATGGATGTCATGTCTGATGACGAGGACGCTGAAGCGGGTGAGGGACAGATGACCGAGGGCCGTGATGAAAGTGATCGGGATGGTGCGTGTGGTGAAGTTGAGAGTGGCGAGACCTTGCTTCCCGCAGGTGAGGAGTTACAGCAGCAAGGGCGAGAATGTGCTGTAATGGGCGACACCGAGGAAGGGGAGACGGAAGAGGAGGAAGAGGAGGAAAAGGCGGAAGCGGAGGAACATCAGGAAGTGGAGGAGGAAGAGGAGGAACAAGACAAGGAGCAAGGAGGTGAGGCTGTAGATGAAGAAGGCAAGGGGCAGGAGCTAGGGGGGATTGCAGAGAGGAAGAGTAGTGAGGAAGCAGACGAGGAGAAACAATGTGAGTTGAGAGCTTGCAGTGATGCTGCTGCTGATGCTAGCACCCCTCAAACTGCAGCTGAGGCGAAGGATGATCAAGGCCCCACAGCCCCAGGGGGGTTCAATCCAAGCACAATCAGGTCCGCAGTGCTGAGGGCCCCAGTCAGCACTCCACAAGGTTCCACCTCAGGACTCGAAACCCCGGCCTTAGAACCAGCTGTTCGTTGCGCCTCGCTGGTTGGAAGCTCGGCTGCATGGACAGCACAAGCAGGCTCGGCAGCACGGTCAACACAAGCAGGGTCAGCATCAGCAGTCCCTTCTGCAGCAGCATCCAGGATTGTGGGGCAAGGGGGGAGGATGGTAGGCGCCTCTCGGATTCTGGGAGGGGGGCTGCTTTCTGGTGGGGTGACAAGAGCTATTGGTGCTGGTAGTGCAGCTGGTAGTGCTGTGGGGGTCAGCGATGGAAGGAGTGTGGTGGCTGGTGCAGGGAGCAATGTAGCAGGAGGAGCAGGAGCAGTGGGAGGAGCAGCGGGGTCAACGGTAGCAGCGGCGGGAGCAGTGGTAGGATCGCGTTTTGCAACGTCAACCACTTCGTTTGTGTCGCTGATAATGAAAGCCCAGCCGGCCCCACCCCCTCCTGCCTCGGGGAAGCAGAACGTTCAAGTGAAAGCACTAGCAGCAGCTGAGGCAGCAAGGCTGGAAGCAGAGCAGAAGGCGGAGGAGAGGAGGCAGAGACGGCTTGCCTTGGAGAAACGGCGGGAGGACCGAGGGAAGGCAAAAGCAGAAGGAAAAGAGAGCGTTTCAGAGGCAGCAACGGGTGTGGCACGGAGGAAGGGGCTGGAACGAGGGGTAGCAGTTGCAGACGTCCCCCCTGCAACGCCCAAAGGCTCTGGTGGAGTGCGTGTGGGGGTTACTGATGCAGCAGAAGCACGTGGAACGGGTGTTAAGACGAGATCTGGCAGGAAGGTGGAAGTGGGGATGACTGAACGGGAGGGCGTTCAAGGGAAGATGCAGAAAGCGATGCAGTCTAGGAAGGAGATGGAGGAGGAGAAGGCGAGGAGGTTGGAGGAGGCGCGGGAGAAGGAGGGGGAGGAGAGGAGGAGGAAGGACGAGGAGCGGGTGGTGAGGAAGAGGGAGAGGGAGGAGATGGAGAGGGCGAAGGTGGAGGAGAAGAGGAAGCGAGTGGAGGAGGTGGCAAAGGCGAAAAAGGAGATGGAGGAGAAGTCGAGGCAAGATCTCCTGGAGAAGGAGAGAATCAGGAAAGCCAAGGTACATCTACTTTACCTTCTTCATGCTTCACCTTAATCCTGCTCTACCCGCATTTCTCAATTGTCACATTATTCGAACATCTATCCTTCAAGTGGTGAGACGAACCATGACCTGTCCTTTAACAAATGTTCCCATTCCCGTCTCAAGTTTGTGCTCTCTCTCGTGTCTCCACCATGTAATGTTCCTGTTCCGTTTTCTCGCCTGCTCCCATGTCTAATCTTACACTGGATTGGCAGGAAGAGGAAGAGAGGGCCAAGAAGGCAGCAGAGGAGGATGCAAAGCGGCAGAAGCGGGCAGAGCGGGAGAAGGAGGCAGAGAGGCGGAGGAAGGAGGAGGAGCAGCAGAAAGCCGCGAAGCTGGCTGAGAAAGAAGCGGAGAGGAAGAGGCGGGAGGAGGCAGCAGAGGCAGAGAAAAAACGGAAAGAGGAACTGGCTGTGCAGCACAGGAGGGAGCACGAGGAGATGGAGATGCGGAGGATGCAAGAGGCCAGGAAAGGGGTAAGCTCCCTTGTCAACTCCGGTAGAGAAGAGCTCTTTGTCATACTATGCTCTAGCGTTGCTCTTGCCCTGTGTTTGCCGACTTCTTGTCAGACCTGACAGAAATCATGCAATCGTTCCTCTGTCTTCTGGTTACGGCAGGTGACACAGGAATCAGCAGCAGCAGCAACAGCAGCCCAGCCAGCTGGAGCAGCAGCAGCAGGGCATGTTAGAAGCTCCCATGCGTCTTCCCATCGCCCCTCCACCTCCAACGCTTCATCCGCCGCTCCCTCCTTTACCTCCTTCCTCGTTCCAGGCACCCGCGCACCCAAGCTCTCCGGTGTCCTCTTAGGGGGTGGGCTTATATCGAGAGGGTCTTCTGCACAGCTGCAGGGCACTAGCAGCATGGATGATAGGCGGAACAGTGCCAGGCCCAGTGGGGTGAACAGTGGCAATACGGCCGGCAATTCTCGTCTCACTTCCGGGACTGCAGGGCTGCTTAGCACAGGGATCAGTACCATGGGTAACAGTGGCACCAGCATGGTTAGTTCCAGCTGGGAAGATGGAAAGGGCGGCGTACGTTGGAGCGACGTGAGATCGGGCGGCACAGGAGCCATGTCGGTCGGCGCTGGATCAGGAGCGGGCGGCGGGTTTGCCATGGGGCCTCCTCCCTCCAAGTTCACCATGTGTGGAGGTATTGGAGGAGCAGGAGCAGCAGGAACAGCAGGAGGGGAGGGGATGATGTTTCGGTCTCGACTCACAGAGACTCTCACAGGGAGGGTGGGTGAGGATGGTAAAGGCCGTGATGGGGGAGGGGCAAAGAGCCTCGCCGGTGGTAGTGGTGGTGCTGCCAAGAGTTTGACCGGAGGCACGTTCATTCCTATGCTCAAGCCAAGCAGCGCCTCTTTCCTTACAGGCACTCCTGCTGCTGCTGCTGCTGCTGCTTCAGGTACCTCTGCTGCTGGTAGCTTTACTGCCGCTGCTGCTGCTGCTCCCAAGGTCGTTGTCGCTCAAGGAGGCTGGATTCGAGCTGGGGTTGGTAACAGCAGCAGTGGTACTACCAGCATTGGTAAGCCTTCAACTTCCACTTCTCTCGTCGCTCCTGTGCCTGCCAATCCTGCCCCTTCGTCTGCTGGTGCTGCTGCTGCCTCTGGTGCTGCTGGTGCTACTGCCTCTGCTGCTGCTGCTGCCTCATCTGCAGTTGGTTCTACCACCCCTGCAGCTGCAGCAGTTTCCTCCCTGCCTAGGCCCTCGGCAACCCCTCAGGCATCTAAGAGCGTTGCTCGTCTGAGGGAGTGGACCACAGAGAAGGCTGGAGCTGCAGCCAAGGCAGGAACGCAGGGGAACGGAGGGAAGGCGGCAACTAGTGGCGCATCTGCTGGGCTCGGGAGTAGGACAAGAGCAGGAGGAGCTGGAGCAGTGACAGCTGCAAAGGAAAATGCTACTGCAAGTGCAGCTGGTCGAGCTGGTGGAGCGGGATTGGAATCCCGGATTCCTGGGTCCGGCAGAGTCAACGAAGCAAGGGCGCAATTCGATTCGAAGCAGAGCCAACAGCACCAGAAGCAGCAGCAGGAGCGGGAACGTCAGGAGACGAGTTTCAGCAAACAGAGAATCCTCAGAAGCGCTTCCAAAGCACGCCCTGCTGCTGCCGTTAGCGCTAGCAATGGGAGTAAACTTAACCCCGGTACCAAGGTGGCTGCTGCTGGTTGCAGAGTGGCTACTTCAACTCAACCGGGCATAACACGCGGCTCGGTTAAGCAAGCAGCTAAGGAGATTGCGACCAAGCTCTTGTCACCTCCTCCTTCCTCCTCCACCAGATTCCGCACAGCAGGGACATCTCACACTGCCGAAATAAGCACCCCAGCTTCCTGTACTGTCACTGCAGCACCTCCCGTTACAGTCACCCCTCCACACAGCCACAGCTCGCCTCCCAGTGCATCTGCCCCCGTATTACCAGCCCCAGGCGGCCAATCAGGGATGCGGTTACCGAGTAACCTCGACCATGTTATGTTATCTCCTTCAGTCACTCCCAGGAGGACCAAGAGGAAGCTTGCGCCTGGAGCTGGGACCACTGCAGCAGCAGCGGCAGCAGAGGGCATACGGTCTTATGAGATGACTCCGGATAGGATGGATTCTGATGAAGAGGATGAGGACGAGGAGAGGGAGCGACGAGCAAAGAAACCCATTCCTGCATGGGCAAGGTGAGAGCTCACTCCTTCAGTTCGAAACTTCAGTTGAGCCCTTCAATTGTGTTCTTGAGTTGAGCTGTTTGTTCCAGAACGGTGTTATGGGGTTGAGCATTGAGATGAGATTATGTCCCAAGTCTCCCACTGCCTGCCCTTCTTTCCAGTATCTTGCTTTCCCTCCTTCTCGAACCATCCCGTTTAGGCTTGACATGAGATGAACCGCGCCTTGTCCTTTCATATATCCTCCGGTCTCAAAGCCCCACTTACGCCCTCACCTGTTTCCTCCCCTGGTATTCCACCAGGTCGTGCAATGTGAATGCGCAGGTGCAGAAGCAGCATGGGGTGGACCCAGATACCGTCTTCCCCAGCTGCACCCGGACTGTCAGCTTGAGAGAAGGTCAGTTGAGAGGTGCTGGGGACTGGATTAATGGGTGCGGGTGCTTGGGTGAAAAGTAGTGGGGGAATCGGAATGGCTTTTGTGAGATGGGTTGGACCCAGATACCGTCTTCCCCAGCTGCACCCGGACTGTCAGCTTGAGAGAAGGTCAGTCGAGAGGTGCTGGGAACCGGATGAATGGGGTTGGGGGATGTGCGGTGTAAAATGAAACTGATTTGAATAGAGCCAGCATTTGCCTGCTTCCCCTCACTCCCACCCTCACCTGCATTTGCCTGCTTTCCCTCCAGTCTCTCCATCGACTGGCTTTCTTTGTATCCTGATGGCGTTTAATGCTGCAAGTTTCATTCCTAGTTCCCCGACATTATGCTCATTTCCTTCCCTTGCGACACCTTATGGCTTGCCATGGCATGGTGGATCGTGTGGGCTGGGACAATTCGCATGGTTTGGTCCCATGTGTGCTCTGCTGCTCTGCTGCTCTGTGCGCTGTGCTGCTGTGTATGCTCTGCTGCTGCGTGCCCTGTGCTGCAGTATTTGGAACTACGAATCGGGGTGTGGACCGGCGAGGTGACACGGGTGACTGGATTCAAGACAGGCTCACATGGAGCGAGGAGATGGAGTATAAGAAGGAGATGGGGTATTTATAAGGAAACGGGATGTTTATAGGGACGCTATGCTACAACTAAGGAGGGGGGATAATCATGGGTAGGTCTGACAAATTGTTAAGTACAGGAGGGAGGGATAGAAGATTTGAGACACGGGTGACTAGGCTGGCGGCAGTTCACATGGAACGAGGAGTTGGATGAGAAGAAGTGATCAGGCTAGTCATAGAAGAGTCCGAGACTCCAAGGGATAGCATATCGAGAGGTGGGTTCAGAATAATACCGTATTGCAACGAGCTGGTGCGCTGGAAATAGTACAGACGCGGTAATCATAGGGGTACAGATTTTGAAAGGTGTGCGGCAGTATTGAAGGTGAGACTTTGTGTGTGTAAGGTACCAGTGCCCATGAGCACAACACCCAGTAGCATTATTGTGTGCCAAGCAAAACACAACAATTGTGTCTTTAAAGATCGAAGGTAGGGAAACGCAACAAAAGTTTCAGGATTCTTTACGGACCCCATAAGTTGGAATACACAAGATGATCATACGGAACTAAGCACATGGGTTCGAGGAGATTTTTGGCATACCGGTATGGTAGAATGGATGCCATGATGTGGAACAAATGTTTGGATCATATGAAGCATACGGTATGAACAGGCGCACTCGACTCGTCACAATACATTTACGCGGCGGGAAGTGGGCCCCCTAACCACTGTGTAATGCACCCCAGGGCGCACCTATAGTGTGTACACCAAAACACTTGTAATGGCGACGGCAGGAGCTAACGAGAGGAGAAGGATCTGCGAGGCATGACGTGCGCTCTAACCACGGGGTAATGCAGCCCCGAACACGCATGCATAACGAGTACACCGAAACACCGTAACAGCGTCAGCGGGAGTTAGCGAGAGGAGAACGATTTGCGAGGCATAAAGTGGGCCCTAACCACGGGGTAATGCAGCCCCCTCACCCACACCCCCCCAGGCGCCCACTGCACCTCATCCCATGCCAGGCCAGACTCGAGGATCTGAAACAGAAGAAGGGGGTATGGGAAGGGCAAGGGCAGACGAGTGATCATGCAGTTCCCAGGCACACCCACACCCCCCCTGGTGCCCACTGCTCCTCGTCCCACGCCAGGCCACTCTGATCTGGACGATGAAACGGAAAGTGGATGCGAATGAGTGTTGCAGGAATTCAATGCAAGGAGTTGGGGAGAACGCAACTAGCGCACTACCTTGGTAAAGGCAGCGGGCGGGGAGAGGGCAGCCATGGGAGCAGAGTTGGTCAAGAGGGAGGGGCGGGACACACTGGGTCCACCGGTACGTGTCTCTCGGCCCCTTGCCCTTCCCATGCACGCGGGACGACTGACACACTATGAGGCTGAAGCAGAACCCACTGGGACTCTGAGGGCGTACCTTGGTGAAGGCAGCGGGGAGAGGGCAGCCGTGGGAGCGGAGCTGGTCGAGAGGGAGAGGCGGAACACACTGAGTCCACCGGTACGTGTCCCTCGGCCCCTTGCCCTTCCCATGCAGGTGAGCCAACGCACTTTGAGGCAGCACCCACTGGGTTTCAGGATTGGCGCTGGTGGTGCCTACGACCTGGGAAGGAGAGGAGAAGAGAGAGAAGGATCGTTTCGAACCACTCAGACTGCCCCCCGCTGCTGCTGCCCCTGCTGGTGTTGCTGCTGCTGCTGATGAGGGAGTTGAAGAGGTGTTGTTTGTGTTGGCAGCTGCAGCATCGGCTGCTGCTGCAGGGCTGCTTGTGTGTGCCTTGGAGGGGTGCGCCGGTGGTGGTTCTGGGAGCGTTTTCCCTTCTCCGTCTGCTGCTTTGCTCTCTGATCCTCCCTCCCTTTGCTGCTCTTTCCTCGAACCTTCCTTCGCTCCCTTGTCTGACCCCTCATCTCCCTTGCCCTCCTCTGCTGCCCCCTTCTCTCTCTCGCTCCTCTCCCCCACTCCCCCACCTTGCTCCTCCTTCTCACCTCCAGCATCTACCCCTCCTCCCCTTACCACACCAGCAGCACCAGCATCTGCAGCAGCAGCTGTAGCAGCAGCACCACCGTCACTAGCAGCAGCAGCAGCAGCCGCATCAGCCTTGGCACCAGCAGCTTCAAGCGGCAAATGCTGCTGCTGCTGGGCCTGGGAAAGCGCTACAGAGTAAAAGACCGTGCGAGCCGACACAGGCTCGTAGCTCAACTCAAACCTGCACGGGTGTGGAGAGGAACGGGCAGGTGAGAAACAGACTTGAAGAGAGCCACCAAATAAAAAAGCATTGCGAGCCGACACAGGCTTGTAGCTCATCTCAAACTTGCAAGCGCGGAGAAAAAAAAAGTAACCCAAAAGAGTGCGACTGAGTGAAAGACAATGTGCATGCTACATGGATTGTGAGATGTGGGAAGCACCATGGAGTGGAATTGCTGATGTGTACTGAGGCTGCTATCTAACAAGGGGCCTCAAAAGCCGAGGCTGCTCCTGAGTCAATTCAAAATAAAAGTGACCTACTCACACCTGTGCGTGGCCGTTTCAAGTTACAACTCGTGAGGCACCTCAAAACTGACGTGTGCGTGCCCCTACTCTCACCTGTGCGTGGCTGTTTCCAGGTACAGCACTTCCGCCCGCTTGAGCCGCGCTGACGTGAACTGCGGCCGTTATTTGAAAAGGTCTCTTCGAATCTGAACTGCCTATGAGACGCCTAAACGTGCCCCTACTCTCACCTGTGCGTGACTGTTTCCAAATACAGCACTTCCACACAGTTGAGACCTGGGCAGTGTCAACTAACCTGTCTCTCTTAACCCGAAACCCTGGCTCGGCTTATCCCTGCTTATCTCTACTTATCCCTGCTTATCTCTACTTATCCCTGCTTATCTCTACTTATCCCTGCTTATCTCTACTTATCCCTGCTTATCTCTACTTATCCCTGCTTATCTCTACTTATCCCTGCTTATCTCTACTTATCCCTGCTTATCTCTACTTATCCCTGCTTATCTCTACTTATCCCACTCACCTGTGCGTGGCTGTTTCCAGATACAGCACTTCGGCCCGCTTGAGCCGTGCTGATGTGAACTGAGGCCGCTTCAATCCATGGTCGGCAATAATCGCCATTGAATACTTGAGCCTGGTGGATGGGTTGGCGAAGAGAGCGAGAGAGACAGGAGAGTGAGGAACAGAGGAAGAGGGCGGATGGTGGGGGAAGGGCGGGGGGGTGGGGGGAGATTGCGTGAAGTGGAAAAAAGTCCTTAATAGGGGTTTGTTGGGGTGGATCTCTGCGGTGACCTACCGTGCGATCTGTACCGTGTGATCTGTACCGTGCGATCTGTACCGTGCGATCTGTACCGTGCGATCTGTACCGTGTGATCTGTACCGTGCGATATGTACCGTGCGACCTGTACCGTGCGACCTAGGGCATGTGGATTGACAGTGCACTCACCAGGGCTCGTTGCAGAGGTTGTACTGTAGAGTCACTTCTTGCCATACGACCTGCCATGCGTCCCTAGGGCATGTGGATTGACAGTGCACTCACCAGGGCTCGTTGCAGAGGTTGTACTGTAGAGTCACTTCTTGCCATACGACCTGCCATGCGTCCCTAGGGCATGTGGATTGACAGTGCACTCACCAGGGCTCGTTGCAGAGGTTGTACTGTAGAGTCACTTCTTGCACAAAGCGCTGGTGCCTGTGCGCGTTCTGATTGGTGGAGGGAGAGGAGAGGAGAGGAGAGGAGAGGAGAGGAGAGGAGAGGAGAGGAGAGGAGAGGAGAGGAGCAGTAGCAGGGTGCACAAATAACGGGTTTGAGTGAAGAGCAGTAAGTTAGTAGTATGCAGTATGCGTGTACAGTGTGTGCACTATAATGGGGATGCATGGACCAGGAAGGAATGACGTCAGACAGACATGTCATCCAAGTGGTGCCTTTTGAGTCGACTCAAAAGCCACCTCGTTATGATGGCGATGCATGGACCAGGAATGGCGATGCATGGACCAGGAATGGCGTCAGACATGTCATCCAAGTGGTGCTGATGCATACAGATGCCACCCCACCACACGAGTTTCAAAACTCCCCCTTGCACGTACCCGCACGGAGGAGGAGGCCCGCGTGGTCATGGTGCGCTCCACAGCCACGCGAACGAGTGGTGTGGGTTGTGGCACTTCAAAACGGAATTTCTCTCTCATACACACCCGCACAGGGACACATGTGGGGGCACGTACCCGCACGGAGGAGGAGGCCCGCGTGGTCATGGTGCGCTCGACAGCAGCGGGTGCTGCGGGCACAAGCGTGGGGCCCACTGGGGGCGTGCACGCCCGGTCCAAGTGAGTGAGTGGTGTGAGTTGTGGCACCGACAAGAGAAGGATTTCACTCACATGTACCCGCACGGAGGAGGAGGCGCGACCGGTCATGATGCGCTCGACCGTTGTGGGAACGAGTGGTGTGAGTCGTGGCACCAAGAAAAAGATGCACAGACATGGCTTTCCCTTCCCTTCACGCGTACCCGCACGGAGGCGGAGGCGCGGGTGGTCATGGTGCGCTCCACAGCAGCGGGCACGAGCGTGGGTGAGTGCTGTGAGTCGTGGCACCAGAGAGGAGATGAACGGGTAGGGGTGATCATCACACGTACCCGCACGGAGGCAGATGCACGGGTGGTCATGGTGCGCTCCACAGGGGTGCACGGCCTGTCTACGTGACTGAGTGGTGTGTGAGTCATGGGTCACGGGTCGTGGCATCTCCTCAAACGTACCCGCACGGAGGCAGATGCACGGGTGGTCATGGTGCGCTCGACCTCTGCGGGCACGAGCGAGCGCTGTGAGTCGTGGCATTAAAAATAGGACATGTATGGATGGAGGTGATCATCACACATACCCGCACGGAGGCGGAGGCGCGGGTGGTCATGGTGCGCTCCACAGCTGCGGGCACAAGAGTGGGGCCCACCGGGGGCGTGCGTGCAGAGGAAGCTTCCAGGTCGATGCTGGTGCCGTCATGCTGCATGATGGGAGAGAACAGGGGAAAGGTGGGGGGGGAAGGGTGGAAGAAATAAGTTTTACTCGCACAGTTATGTGTTATTCAATAATCCGGCCGAGTAAACAAACAAACAAACAAACTCGCCTCGAAGGCCGAGTATCGAGTCGAGCCCAAAAGTCGGTCGACCGAGTTTGAAGACTCGCCTTGGTGCTCGGGCGAGTTTTGCAAAGAACCAAGGCGAGTTTTACTTGCCTCAATCCTTTGCTCGAGTCTGCTGCAACATAACATCGTGCCATGGCATTGTGACATGACAACATGTACTGATTGTGATTGACACTGCAATATAACCCGTAGCTTCCCATGAGCAAACCTTGATGCCTTTGCAGAATGACAATCGAGTTGACTCAGAAGCTGAAAGGCGCATGCTCTTACCTTGATGATTCGGCAGCTCTCCACGGCATAGCTGCATGTGCCCTTGCCTGACCCCCATGCCCGGGACCGCATGCTGTTGCGCGAGGAGGAGCGGTAGGCTGGGTGCGGGGGAGGAGGGGAGAGAGGGAGGGGGGAAGGGGAGACAGAGAAATAGATCATACGAGGTGAGGTTTAATTCCAATTCTGGTGCATCGGTTTGACTCAAAACTGATCCCCATGCCCGGGGCCTCATGCTGTTGCGCGAGGAGGAGCGGTAGGCTGGGAGAGGGGGGGGAGGGGGATATGTCAAACAAGGTGATTCAATCCCGAGTCGACTCAAAACTGATCCCCATGCCCGGGGCCTCATGCCGTTGTGCGAGGAGGAGCGGTGGGCTGGGAGGAGCGGAGGACGGGAAGGGAGGGCAGAAAAACATATCTCGCGTGAGGTGGCAAACTGATCCCCATGTTTGATTTTTTGGTCGATTTCAAACTGACTGACGTGGCAAGCAGGGCCAGGCTAACAGGAGAGGCTGATAGGAAAAAACATGCTGACGTGGCAATTCATAAGTCTGAGGTGGCGCAACGTAAAAGCGCTGAGGTGGAAGGACGTACAGGGCTGAGGTGGCATGACTCACAGGGCTGAGGTGGCATGACTCACAGGGCTGAGGTGGCATGACTCACAGGGCTGAGGTGGCAGCACGCGAATGGTTGCTCGGAGCTCGGCAATGGATGCAGGTGGGGGCACTGAGACGGGTGTGATGTATCCCGCATGCATCAGCACTGCGGGGGAAGAGACCACAGAGGGGAGGGACGCGGAGGGGGAAGGGAGGGTGGGGGAAGGAGATGAGAATAAGAGGAGCAGATAGCAGTGTGTGCCAATTGTGTGGCGCATGTGCATGTGCATGCGCCACGGATGCCTTATCATTGACTTTTGAGTCGACTCAAAAGCCAATTGCGTGACGCATGTGCATGCGGCACGGGTGCCTTATCATTGTCGTGAATATATACATCCCCCCCCACACCCCTTCCTCTAAAATCGCTACAGTAATAGTATCAAGTGCGACATACCTGCATCGATGTCCGGGTCGTCAGTGTACATGTCGGTGCCCCACAGCTGCCAAAGAAATATGAAGTAAGCCGAGCATTAGTATGCTACATGTAACATACCTGAACCGATGTCCGAGTCGTCCGTATACACGTCGGTGCCCCACAGCTGCCTTATCCATCCATAAGACTCATTCTAGTGCTAGTGCCTCATAATACTCTTATGAGGCACTCTAAAAGCCATAACTGTAACATACCTGCGACAATGTCCGAGTCGTCAGTGTACAACACGTCCGTGTTCCACAGCTGCCCTATCAGTAAAATGAATCCTCATCTTAAGTGCAACATGCATGCGTTAATTGTAACATGCAAGTGCATACCTGCGACAATGTCCGAGTCGTCAGTGTACACGTCCGTGCCCCACAGCTGCCGCGACCGCACCTGGCGGTTGGCAGTGGTGATGGATTCGGGCGGCACAGAGATCTCCACTGCCGCCTGCTGCTGATACGCCCCTGCTGCTGCCGCCCCTGCTGCTCCTGCTCCTGCAGCTACAGGCAAAGGACCACTGGTGTCAGCAGCAGCGCCCGCATCTGCAGAGGCAGCACCATCGGTTGCAGCAGCAGCAGCAGCAGCAGCAGCAGCAGGGCCATCATGGTCCATAGGATCGTCCTTCCCTCCTCCCTCGCCCCCCTCCTTGTCGCCTCCTCCTTCCCCGTCAATCCCAGCCCCCAGTTTCCCACCACCAGCATCACCACCAGCGTTGCCAGAAGCAGCAGCCGAAGCAGGGAGGTCAGAGGAGGCAGGGGGGCAGTGGGAGAGGCAGTCGGAGTGCCGAAGCAGCTTGGAGAGGTCCGGCATGCCCTCGCCCTCTCGGTACGGGAATAGCGGCGGAGGCTCGGTAGCTTGTGCTGTGCTGTAATGGGGGGTGGGGGGGGGGGGGGGGGGGGAGAGGAGGGGGAGGAGGGGTACGGGAGAAATGGGGAGGGTGGAAGGGGGCGTTGAGGTGATGCGAGAGAGGGGGTTAGAGAGGGGAGGGCGGCGGGTGAGGGGAGTAGGGGAAGGGGTGGGAAGTGGGAGGGAGGGGGAGACGGAAGGCTGGAAAGAAGATGAAAGTTGGGGGGTGGGGAGGATTAAGATTCGTGTGACTAAACGAAGGTTTCTTGTAGATAGTCGAGAGCTGTAGGCAGATATACACTAGCAAGCGTGTCTATAGCGAAGGAAATACACACCCGTCCTTCGATTTGTTGAATCTTGACCGTCCATCTCGCCCGATCTGCCCGACCAATCTCGGCCGGACCTGCCGTCGAGACCGCTCCGCACTGGGGACGCTCGACCCGCCCACAAGGCCGTCCTTCTCGGCGCCAAACGCGCCGCCGCCATCCGCCATGCGCAGACTCTGCGACTCCTCGCCGCGCTCCTCCCATTTCGCGTCGCGGCCTCTTTCGCTGTCGCTTATTCCTCCCTCGCTTGTCACCTTCTCCGCGCGGCCCTTGTGCCCTTTATCCCGCTCGCGCTCTCGCTCCCTATCCCTATCTCTGTCCCGATCCTTCTCTCTCTCTCCTGCTTTTTCCCGCTCCCTGTCTCTCTCTCTGTCCCTCTCTTTGTCTCGCTCTCCTTCGCCCTGAACCGATCTGAACCGTACTCTTTCACCCCCCGCATCCCGCGGTGGCCGGTGCCGGCCGAATCCGCTGCCGCCGGATGCGGCCGCGCCGGCGCCGCCAGACTCGTTGTCTGTGTCGTGATTGGCAGAGCCGAGGACACGTGGCGGATGCACGTGTCTCGTTGGGGTATCCCTATCTCTGTGCTTAGCCATTTCCACTACGGGAACGAACCAGGAACCACGTAAAAAGAAAAGGTGAAAAAATGTGGACAAACGAATGGGGAAATAGGTCAAAGAGAAGCTCGTCAGAATCGATGCTCGTGAAAATCGGGGGGGGCTGTTGAGGTTGAATTGCGAATTCTGAGGGAGGTTGCCCTTGACGGGGCTGCCCGAATCAGTGTTCTTTTTCTCCCCGAATTGTTTTCCTCTTTGTTTTTGAAAAAGGTCCAGCCGATACATGCGCGCAAAAAGAAGATGAGATCCAGAAGTGGCCTAGTCAGTAGAAAGAGGCACTTCCGAAGGATGAGGTCCTGGGATAGAACCCACCCCCGTGCAGGCGTGTTCTGCCAGCCCCCCAAGAAGGGGGTTCGCACGTGCTCATCTAGGAAAATGGATATTCCAATTGGTTACGACCAATATATAACAAAAAAAAAAAAAAAAAAGATGAGGTGCTTCCCACCTCAAAACACTTCTATTTTTTTTCAGGGTATTGCGGGTGGAAACAACATCCCTCATGAAAACACCATGCGACGAGTTTGGCGATTCGTGAACGCCACATCCAGCGTTTGTTACCATATGTTGTCACGAAACAGCAAACCTCCTAAGGTTGGTAGAAAAATAGTTGCTGATTCCCGCAAATAAGTAGGGGAAGAGCTTCATAGAGAGCAGTAAAACAGCGCCCGCGAATCTCTTATCAATCGTTTGTTGCTGTGAGAGTTCTCTGTGAAGTTCATGAATTGCGTGAGCAGAATGAAAGTGGAGATACAGATTATTGTTAACCATGGTCGTAAATGAGAGTTATTTCGTAACCATGATTTGTCGGAAACACCAATAGCACATGGAAATTCACGAATGACTGGTCTTCTTAGTCAGCGTGACGGCGTATTGAGGCAAATAACGAGCTAACATCTGAGCTAAGTTCTTCCAGGACGAATGAAATGATGAGAACGGGGCCTCGAGTTAAGAAGAATGAAATGTCGGAGAGAGGAAGCACTTCCGGGTTGCACGCTTGACATACTTCAATGACGCAGTTTTGCACATCTTGCAAACAAGCAAACGAGATCATACTAGCTAGACCAGAGGCACTCTCGGCATCCAAACATTTAAGGCTTACTAGATGGCTGAGTTAATGCATGAAAAGAAAAGGCTCGGAGCAAGGAAATCGCTTCCTATAATTTCGAGCTCCAGCGGCCGTGGCTGTCAATCATGATCGATATGAGGCGGAACGGCAGTGCTTGGAGAGCGCTGCTTGCTTGATTTGCTTTGCAGTCAGCAGCATGCGTGAATGTGATAGCGAACAGAACAGAGGTGAACTGGAAGGAGAACGCAATTGAAAGGTGGAAGGTGGAAGGTAACTTTTTGTGCGTGCGTCATGGAAGGTATTTTACCGCGTTTGAGCGAGATGAATTAGGCATCAAGCACGGTCGAGTCTGGTGCCAATTGTTCGGACCTTTCAATAAGGACGCGGCACCTCTAGGGAGGGAGCCAGGATCGATCCCGAGTGGGGATCGAGCCTGGCTTGTAGAGTGAAATCGCGACATCGCCAACAGGCTGGTATCCGGTTTCGCGCCACATCGCAAGTGTACAGTAAACTGGTGCCCAAAAAGGTGGCACCTCTGGCTCGCACGATCGATGTGCCAGCGCCCACACATCGATCGTGTAATTGTGGAGATCGGGCAATTTTGCCCCATATATTTTCGATCCTGTCACCTATGGCTCGGTGTGTCCAGGCGAAATCTGCAGTGTGGACACATCGATGTGCCGATCGATGTGCCTAAACCGGTGTGAGCCTCCGATCTCCCCACGATCCTGGCAATTCCCCTAGAGGTGCCGCGTCCTAATCTCACCGTACCTGTCAAGCCTCTGAATATCCAGGCCGGCTACATTGTTCGCTATTTGGCGTACCATACAGAGTGTACCCACATACAATCTTGGAGGTACATCATTTTAAACACATAAAGAGGCAAGTTTTCTTATTAGAAAGCTTTGTCCATGGACAGCAATGCAAATCCATAAGTTTATGGTACCAATGTTCGGCCTTAACGGTTCTACCGGTACTTAAGTTTGCCTTCCACTGTAGGATAGCCAGTTGCAAAACGCCTCACAAACAAATGTGCGGACGTCAACTAATCCATATGCGGTATTCATATTAATAAATCTATGTGTTTTGTTTAGACTATAGGCGACCAAGTAGGTGCACCCTGACCCGGCGAGCAGATCCATTTGTTTCCATTCCACATGCACAAATTCGGCGGGGGTGGAGGCGGTGGTGGACTGGGGGGAGGGGGAGGTGAAGGGGGACGAGGAGGGGGAGGCGAGGGGGAAGGCGGGCTGGGGGGAGGCGGGGAGTAGGGATGAGGAGAGGGCGTTGATGGTGGCGGTGAGGGGGGTGGAGTAATAGGGGTGGTTGATTGAAGCTGCAGGGTTGAAGTGGGAGGGGGGCTAGGAGGTGGGGTTGGGGGAGGTGGGCTAGGGGGAGGGGGATTGGGTGGGGGGTTTGGGGGTGGGCTGGGAGGAGGTTGAGGGGGAGGGTTAGGGGGAGGGCTGGGAGGTTTAGGGGGAGGACTAGGTGGGGGGCTGGGGGGAGGTTGAGGGGGAGGATTCGGGGGAGGGCTGGGGGGAGGTGGGCTAGGGGGAGGGGGATGAGGAGGGGGGCTTGGGGGAGGGCTGGGGGGAGGTCGAGGGGGGGGACTAGGGGGAGGGCTGGGAGGAGGTTGAGGGGGGGGATTTGGGGGAGGGCTAGGGGGAGGTGGGCTAGGGGGAGGGGGGTTAGGTGGGGGGCTTGGGGGTGGGCTGGGGGGAGGTTGAGGGGGAGGATTAGGGGGAGGGCTGGGGGGAGGTGTAGGGGGAGGGCTAGGGGGAGGGCTAGGGGGAGGGCTGGGAGGAGGTGGGCTAGGGGGAGGGGGATTAGGTGGGGGGCTTGGGGGAGGGCTGGGGGGAGGTTGAGGGGGAGGATTCGGGGGAGGGCTGGGGGGAGGTGGGCTAGGGGGAGGGGGTTTAGGTGGGGGGCTTGGGGGAGGGCTGGGGGGAGGATTCGGGGGAGGGCTGGGGGGAGGTGGGCTAGGGGGAGGGGGGCTAGGTGGGGGACTTGGGGGAGGGCTTGGGGGAGGAATGGGGGGAGGATGAGGGGGAGGATTTGGAGGAGGGCTGGGGGGAGGTGGGCTGGGGGGAGGGGGGTTAGGAGGGGGGCTTGGGGGAGGGCTGGGGGGGGGGGGGCTAGGGGGAGGGGGGTTGGGAGGGGGGCTTGGGGGAGGGCTGGGGGGAGGTTGAGGGGGAGGATTTGGGGGAGGGCTGGGGGGAGGTGGGCTAGGGGGAGGGGGGTTAGGAGGGGGGCTTGGGGGAGGGTTGGGGGGAGGTTGGGGGGGAGGATTCGGGGGAGGGCTGGGGGGAGGTTGAGGGGGAGGATTCGGGGGAGGGTTGGGGGGAGGTGGGCTAGGGGGAGGGGGGTTAGGAGGGGGGCTTGGGGGAGGGCTGGGGGGAGGTTGAGGGGGAGGATTTGGGGGAGGATTCGGGGGAGGGTTGGGGGGAGGTGGGCTAGGGGGAGGGGGGCTAGGAGGGGGACTTGGGGGAGGGCTAGGAGGAGGGCTGGGGGGAGGTTGAGGGGGTGGATTTGGGGGAGGGTTAGGGGGAGGTGGGCTGGGGGGAGGGCTGGGGGGAGGTTGAGGGGGAGGGCTAAGGGGAGGGCTGGGGGGAGGCTGAGGGGGAGGATTAGGGGGAGGGCGAGGGGGGCGAGGGGGCGGTCGAGGAGGTGGGCTTGGGGGAGGGGGAGGTGGGGGAGGCTTGGCTGCAGTGGGGTGGGGGGAGGGGAGGAGAGGGGAGGAGAGGGGAGAAGAGGGGAGGAGAGGGGAGAAGAGGGGAGAAGAGGGGAGAAGAGGGGAGAAGAGGGGAGAAGAGGGGAGGAGAGGGGAGAAGAGGGGAGAAGAGGGGAGAAGAGGGGAGGAGAGGGGAGGAGAGGGGAGAAGAGGGGAGAAGAGGGGAGAAGAGGGGAGGAGAGGGGAGGAGAGGGGAGAAGAGGGGAGGAGAGGGGAGAAGAGGGGAGAAGAGGGGAGGAGAGGGGAGAAGAGGGGAGAAGAGCACATACACAAGGGGGGAACAAGGGGGAATAGCAAGAGGGGGTTAAGTGGGAGATGCAGTAAGAATAAAAATGAGGATTGAAAGAGTCAAGGTGGGGTTAGTGGGAGATGCAGTGCGGATGCAACAGGATAAGAATCCAAGGAACACAGTCTTCAGAGGCGCCTGGGACACAGTCTTCAGAGGCGCCTGGGACACAGTCTTCAGATTAACAAGATTGAAAGCTAGGCAGTTGCGTGCAGATGACAGTTTCCGCGGGCTTGAAAAGAGGTCAAACTGACGAATCTGAACCACAGCCTTGAAGTGACGCGTGAAAAGAGACTGGGCGCGCATAGTGTTTGCACCGAGGTGTTGAGAGTGGTGGGTAGTGGTCTAAACAGCGCTCATCCATAAGAGCGCAGGACATGCCGTCTGCAGATTTTTGAGTCGACTCAAAAACGCACTCACCGATTAGAGCACAGGACATGCCATCTGCAGTGGGCAAGGCGATATCAGCTAGGCAGTTGCAGCCAAAGCTCACTGATAAGAGCGTTTACCAATAACAGTGCTTACTGATAAGAGCACTCACCGATAAGAGCACAGGACATGCCATCTGCAGTGGGCACAGCGATATCAGCTGGGCAGTTGCACCCAAATCTCACTCTCCCTGTATCCACTGCTGCTGCCCCTGCTGCGGCTGTTGATGCTGCTGCAGTGCTGCTTTGCTTCCCACTCTTACTGCCACTTTTGCTACCACTCTTGCTGGCGGTCGTGCTACTACCAGCTTTCCCACTTTTCTTGCTGCTGCTGCTGGTGCTGCTGGTGGTGCTGTTGCTGTTGCTGCTCAAGCTCCCCCCCCCAAGAGCACCACCACCAGCAGCACCAATAGCGCCACTAGCACCACCAACCACCCCACCAGCCCCTGCACTTACAACCACAGCCTCACACGTCCCCAGCCCACCGCACTGCGCGTTCTCCTGGAACCTTCCGGAAGAGGTCATATTGGTGGAGCAAAACAGCTTGCACGCACTCGCTTCTTTCTGCACTTCAGACGCGCAAAGCGGGGCGAGATTCGCGTCGAAAACGACACAGTTGCCGCCCAGGGCGAGAGTTCGGTCGGCGGACTGGCAGAGCGGGCGGCCTTGGCTGTCTGTTATGTGGCCGGGGCCGTAGAAGAAGTTGTGGGTGAGATCGACGGTTGAGATCTGCTCTGTGGAGGGGAGCGAGGGCAGCCCACCACTGAAGTAGTTGCGAGATAGGTTGCTGGTGGGGGAGAGGGGTTGGGTTGGGGGAAAGGAAATGGAAAAAAAGTTGGTGGGTAAATAAGCGATGAGAGAGAGGAGATTTTTTCGAGCTGAATTTGAGACGTCTCAAAAGGAGAGGATGGTGAGCAGACGTCTGAGTGGACTCAACAGTCCATCGATCCGAACAGGATACATACAGCGAGGAAAGGAAGGATTTGTTCTTCGACTCAACATACCCTCTGACTCGACTCAAGAGTCAATCGATCAGAACCGGGTACATACAGCGAGGAGAGGGAAGAGAGGTTGGAGAGTATGGTGTCGATGCGGCCACTCAGGGCGTTGTTGCTTAGATCGCTGGGGGAGGGGGGAAGGTGATGGTGGGGCGAGCAGAGAATGGAGGAGAGGGAGGAGAAGGAAGAGAGGTTGGTGGGTATGGTGTCAATGCGGCCACTCAGGGCGTTGTTGCTTAAATCGCTAGGGGAGAGAATGGGAAGGGATGGGGGGTGGGGCGGGTTGAGAAGTGTGGGGATGGGTGGAGAAGGTGGAGAGGGGGGTGGGGAGAGATGGGAGGGGAGAGGCTCTCGAGGGCTGTGCTGTTGACAGTGCCTGCCTGGGGCATCTCACGACCAGACAAGACCAAACACGACCGCAATGGACCAGAGGTGTGCAGAGCTTGGGGCATCTCACGACCAGACAAGACGAGAAACAGGAAGGATCAGATGTGAGACATGACAGTGAGACGACTTGAAGCAGTTGGCAGTGCTTGGGGGTGTGTGGAGAGGAGAGAAGACAGGACACAGAGCCGCGTGAAAGTAATCTAGTTTTGAGACGTCTCAAAACTCGAGAGTAGACAGGCCACAAAGCCCGATGTGAGATGTCAAGACTTGATCCTGCCTACTCGAAGGTTTGTTCACCTGAGGACGAGAGGCGCTCACAGGTTGACGAGGGTGGAGCAGTTGGACAGGCCAGAGGGCAGAGATCCCACCAATGCATTGTCGGATAGATTGCTACGTGGGTGGGGGAAGGGAAGAGGGGAGAAGGAGGGAGAGGTGGTGCGTGAGTGAGTTGACTCAGATGGTCAGAGGGCAGTGATGACGAGTGTGGAGCAATTGCAAAGGCCAGAGGGAAAAGATCCCACCAATGCATTGTCGGATAGGTCGCTGCAGAGAGGGCAGGGGAGGAAGGAGAGGGGGTGCATGAGTTGACTCAGATGGTCAGAGGGCAGTGATGATGAGGGTGGAGCAATTAGAAAGGCCAGAGGGAAGAGGGAAGAGATCCCACCAATGCATTGTTGGATAGATCGCTGCAGAGAGAAGAGGAGCAACAGAGAGGCAACAGAGGAGGCAGAGAGATGGGGAGGCAACGCGAGTTGACTCAGATGGCCAGAGGGCAGAGATCCCACCAATGCATTGTCGGATAGATCGCTGCAGAGAGGGGAGGAGGGAATTAAGAAGGCAGAGCAGAGGTGGTGGTGCGTGAGGTGAGTCAGAAGTGGGAGGGGCCCAAACATATGCAACATAAGTGGGAGGGGGACCCTCGGTATATGCCCCAGCTGACAGAAGTGGGAGGGGATATCCTGAAACATGCTTCATGCTCACTCAAGATACTCACACCGTGTGGAGGTTGGCCATTGCACTGCCACAGAAGGACGGGAGCGTGCCGGAGAGAGCATTGTAGGATTGGTCCCTGGGAGGCGGGCAGAGGGGTGAATGAGGAGAGGAAGAGAGTGAGTGACGGTTGGCTGTAGTATCAACACAGAAGGACGGGAGCGTGCCCGAGAGAGCATTATAAAAGAGGTCCCCGGGAGGTGAGCAGAGGGATTGAGATTATTCGAAGAGGAAGGGAGTGAGTGAAGTGAAGATTGGTCATAGCACTGCCGCAGAAGGAAGGCAGAGTGCAGGAGAGAGCATTGTAGGAGAGGATCCTGGGAGGAGAGGGGGGGTTGAGATTATTCGTAGAGGAAGGGAGTGAGTGAAGTGAAGATTGGTCATAGCACTGCCGCAGAAGGAAGGCAGAGTGCAGGAGAGAGCATTGGAGGAGAGGATCCTGGGAGGAGAGGGGGGGTTGAGATTATTCGTAGAGGAAGGGAGTGAGTGAAGTGAAGATAAGTCATAGCACTGCCGCAGAAGGAAGGCAGAGTGCAGGAGAGAGCATTGGAGGAGAGGATCCTGTGAGGAGAGGGGGGGTTGAGATTATTCGTAGAGGAAGGGAGTGAGTGAAGTGAAGATTGGTCATAGCACTGCCGCAGAAGGAAGGCAGAGTGCAGGAGAGAGCATTGGAGGAGAGGATCCTGGGAGGAGAGGGGGGGTTGAGATTATTCGTAGAGGAAGGGAGTGAGTGAAGTGAAGATTGGTCATAGCACTGCCGCAGAAGGAAGGCAGAGTGCAGGAGAGAGCATTGGAGGAGAGGATCCTGGGAGGAGAGGGGGGGTTGAGATTATTCGTAGAGGAAGGGAGTGAGTGAAGTGAAGATTGGTCATAGCACTGCCGCAGAAGGAAGGCAGAGTGCAGGAGAGAGCATTGGAGGAGAGGATCCTGGGAGGAGAGGGGGGGTTGAGATTATTCGTAGAGGACGGGAGTGAGTGAAGTGAAGATTGGTCATAGCACTGCCGCAGAAGGGAACGCAGCGTGCCGGAGAGAGCATTGTAGGAGAGGTCCCTGGGAGGAGCGAGGAGTGGGCGGATAGGATTGAGATGGCGAGAGGAACAAGACAGTGAGCGAGGGCCAGGTGTACAATCAAGAGAGAAGGGAGCGAGAGTGCCCGAGAGAGCATCGTGGGAGAAATCCCTGTGGGGAGAGCAGAGGAAGGTTGAGATGATGAGGGGAACAAGAGAGTGAATAAGGGCAAGGGGTAGGAACAACATAGAAGGAAAGGAGAATGCCTGCTCAATAGTGCGTTGGTGGGAGAGGTGTCTGTGGGGAGAGAAGTAGGTGGGGTTTGAGATTATCAGGGGAGCAAGACAAAAGGAGCGAGGTGGTTGGGGCGAGAGGGTCGGGTGTGACAGACGGAAGGCAGAGTGCCGAGAGAGCACTCTGTTGAGGAGGGTCGGTTGTAGGAAAGATCCTGGGGAGAATTGAGGGTGAGTTGGGTTTGGGATGGGCGAAACAGAGACAGGTGAAGGCAGAAGAAGGAGAGATGTAGCGGTGGAGGAGGAGAGGAGGAGGGGGGGAAACGTCAGAAAAAAAAAAAGATAAGCAAAGCAGCACACAACGCTCAATCTTAAGTACACATAAAAGAATAAATACTACCAGACAAACATAAATAGAAGGACGGACATACAGGTAGACCATGTTGGTGAGAGAAGTCATGTTCTCTGGCAGGGAGCCTGAGAGAGCGTTGCTACCAACCATAGGGATGTAAACACAATGATAATTCAGCCATGAATGCACATACATCCGTGAGTACACGTACAGGGACACCATGTTGGTGAGAGAAGTCATGTTCTCCGGCAGGGAGCCGGAGGGAGCAGTGCAGTTGAGGAGAGCATAGGCGTGAGTGAGCATATACATAATAGTACACACTGTTGCTACAGCCACGACTGCACGTACAGGAACACCATGTTGGTGAGAGACGTCATGTTTTCTGGCAGGGAGCCTGAGAGAGCGTTATGATCCAGCTGCCTGCAAGAAGGTAAGGAATGCATTACACGCATAGAGATGATGGGATGGGTTGGAAATGGGAAAAACACCAGTGGTGAGGTGACCTTGCTTGCTTTCAGTATGTATGTGTGCGTTCTTGTTTGTTCGCTTGTTTAGGAAGCAAGGATTAAGAGAATAGGGCTTTCTTATGCTGAATGGCTCACAGGAAGCCGATTTTGGAGAAGGCAGTGATGCCGGCAGGAAGGGCAGGAGTGCAGGAAAGAAACAGTCTTTTGTTGGAAATAGGCTGCACTTTGTGTGTTAGCCTTGAAAGTTTTAGGGTTTACATTTTAAAAAAAAGTTAAGTTTTTGGTTGGGTTGGGTGTAGACTTTCTCATCCCCAACCTATCCAACCTCCCCTCCATCCAAAATCCTATCCACATTTGGTTGACTGGTTGGATTGGTTTGATCCTCCTAGGATTCCCTAGGATTTCCTTCCTATTGCACCTCATCCACCCAACCCTTCCTAGTTTGTGCTACTTAAGGCCATCTATCCTACTCTCTAATCAATCGACTCAACTCTTATTCTGACATCTTCTTCAGCAAAGCAGTAACAATTCTAAAGGGGCCTTCTCGTGCAGAGGTAACTCACAGGAAACCGAGTTTGGATAAGGCAGTGATGTTAGCAGGGAGGGAGCCTGATAGCTGGTTGCCGCTGGCAGAGCTGGTGGAATGCGGGTGGGAGAGGTTGGACTCGGTTGGATGCGGTGAGAACAACACAATGACAGCCAAATCTGTGGATAAGGCAGTGAGGCTAGCCGGAAGGGAGGCTTTTGAGTCGACTCAAAAGATGCGGGCAGGAAGGGAGGCTGAGAGCTGGTTGGCGCTGGCAAGGCAGGGGGGGCAAATTGGGTACCAAAGAAGAGGGGAATGGGGCCATCAGGGAGAGGCACGCACAGGTAGCCGAGTGATAGGAGGCTGGATATGGTGGCTGCGATGGACCCTGAGAGGGAGATTTGACGACTCTAAAGCACCTCTTGACGACGGGCAGTACACACACATAGGTGGCTGAGGGCTCTAGGCACATCGTTGAGTTGAGGGAGAGGAGGCTGGATACGGTGGCTGCGATGGACCCTGAGAGATAGGGAGAGAGTGTTGATGTCTCTAAAGCATCTCTTGAGTCAAGGGCAGCACGCACAGATAGCTGAGCGAGAGGAGGCTGGATATGGTGGGTGGGATGGACCCTGAGAGGGCAAAGAGACTGAGAGGACTGAGAAGTCAACGTTGACCGAAGAGTCATTTCGTGAATGAAGGGCAGCACGCACAGGTAGCTCAGCGAGAGGAGGCTGGATACGGTGGGTGGGATGGACCCTGAGAGGGAGGTTTGACGACTCTAAAGCACCTCTTGAACGAAGGGCAGTTACCAGTACACGCAAAGGCAGGTGAGGGCACCACATACAGGTAGCTGGGGGCAGTACGCACAGGTAGCTCAGCGAGAGGAGGCTGGATATGGTGGCTGGGATGGACCCTGAGAGAGAGTTGGCGTTTGCGAAACTGCAGGAGGGGAGAGAGAGAGGGGTGAAAGCGGGGCAAATGAAAAGGGGAAAAGATGGGGGGAAGGGTGTCAGTGGGTGGACAGGGAAAGATGGTGGTGGGAGTGATAGTCAGGGGAAGGTGAATGGCAGTGGGAGAGGTACGGGAGAGATGTTCTAGGACGAGGCAGGGAGGTGAAGACATACAAGTATCGGAGACGAGAGAGCTTGCCAATGGTGGATGGCAGAGAGCCCGAGATCTTATTGTTGCTCAGGTACCTGGTGGGACGAGAGAGGGAATGGCAAGCACGAGGGACGCAGTGGATGCATCATGGATGGGTCAGGTGAGGCACGGGTTGTTGTGTTGTGAGTCAAAGCAAGAGGAGGAGGCAAGCTTACTGTATACTCAGGTGCCATACTCAGTGAGGTTGGAGATTTCAGAGTGTACCTTTTAGGCTGCTCAGAAGAAACCACCCTCCTTCAAAAGCCAAACGACGACTCACAGCCAGATGAGTTTTGAGAGAGATCCAATCTCAGATGGGATTGAGCCGGTGAGAGAGTTGTTACGGAGATCACTGGGGCCACGGGGTTGGGGATAGAGAGAGGAGGAATGTTGGGAAGGGACAATGGGGGTACAGAAAACGGTGAGCTGGAAGGGGTGAGAGCAGACAGAGTTTTTGCGGAGGTCACTGGGGTTGGATGAGGGATAGGAGAGGGATGTTATGTCATGCTGGTAGGGGGGGTTCAGAAGACCGTGAGGATGGGAGCCATGGGAAAAGTAAGCAACAGAAGAAGGCATATGAGAAGTAACGGAAAAGGGCATGACTCACATTAGCTGCAGAGATTTCACACGCGAGAGGGAGCCTGGGATGGACCCTGTGAGCTTTGACTCGACTCAAATCCCACAGCAGCAGGAAGAGAAAACGGCATGTCTAGCAGCACATTAGTGAGGTGCAACGCATGGCATGACTCATCCGCTGGACTTACTCACACAACTCACATTAGCTGCAGAGCTTGCACGCGAGAGATGGAGGCTGGGATGGACCCTGTGAGCTGGTTGCCTCGCAAAGAGCTGACGAGAGGAGAGGGCAGGAGGCGAGGGAGAGAGGAGAGCGAGGAGAGCGAGAGAGAGAGAGTGGAAGTGAGGAAAGGGAGGGGAATAGGCCGAGGGGGAGAGAAGAAAGAGACAAGAAGTGTGTGTGTGTGTGCGTGTGTGTGTGTGTGTGTGTGTGTGTGTGTGTGTGTTTACTGTAATCGACTCAGAGTCAAGATACCAAACGTGTGATAGAGAGGCGAAAGGAGAATAACCAAGGAGGCAATGGTGAGGAACACAACATATACTAACACAAGACTACAAACACTACTAGTGCAAGATAATCAATGAAGCACTAATAGCGGGTAAGTGGTTGATTCTGAGATGGAAAACAACATATATAGTTATATACATATATGTATATACAACAATTCATATACGTAACAAGACTCACAGGTAGGAGAGGGCAGACATGGTCGATATCTGCGATGGGATTGGCCCTTCCAGGCGATTGCCATCCATTCGGCTGGAGAGGAGAGGAGACGAGAGGAGAGGAGAGGAGAGGAGAGGAGAGGAGAGGAGAGGGCACAAGGATACACAGCATAGGGGGAATTTTGAGAATAAAAGAAAGTGACTCAAGTATACATCGCACATAGAGGGACGGGACAGGAGATGTGCAGATGTGCATAGACCAATTGACAGAACAGCACAGCACACTCGACCGACAGCAGCTGCTCTTGTGACGACTGAGGAAGCTAGCGAGTCTAACATAAAGGTGAGATAGGATAGGAGGGAGATGCCTTTTGAGTCGACTCAAAAGTCACGTCGACTCAAAAGTCACGTCGACTCAAAAGTCGCGTCGACTCAAAAGTCACCTCTTGTGACGGCTGAGGAAGCTAGCGAGTCTAACATAAAGGTGAGATAGGATAGGCGGGAGATGCCTTTTGAGTCGACTCAAAAGTCATGTCGACTCAAAAGTCACGTCGACTCAAAAGTCGCGTCGACTCAAAAGTCACCTCTTGTGACGGCTGAGGAAGCTAGCGAGTCTAACATAAAGGTGAGATAGGATAGGCAGGAGATGCCTTTTGAGTCGACTCAAAAGTCACGTCAACTCAAAAGTCACATTGACTCAATATTCACCTCTTATGATGGCTGAGGAAGCAAGCTAGTCTTACATAAAGGTGAGAGAGGAGAGGCGGGAGATGGCGACAGGTAAGCTGCCGGTGAGCCTGTTTTGCGCCATGTTCCTGTGGCAGGAGGGGAATGGGAGCACGATGATGGGAATGGGAACATAAGACGGAGCGAACATGTGGGTTCGGTTCGGGCATGGGGGATGGGATTCAGAACGGGGGTATGGGAAATACAAATCCAGTGGATGGGATGTGATCGTCATCACTGGAGAAAAAAGTCCTGAATTAGGTTAGGGGCAAAAGGGCCGTGTGAAAGCCGTTCCCATAGAGAATATATGGGAAATTTTCATCCACAAACAGACACCAAATTTTCATCCACAAACAGACACCAAATTTTCATCCGCAAGCTCCCATGCGATGCGACCCTTACAGCTGCTGCAGTGCTGTTAACGACGTAATCCCTTTTGGGAATGTCCCGGATATCTGGTTGTTGCTCAGATGGCTGAAGCAGTGGGAGGGGAGGCGAAGGCAGGAAAGAAAGGAAGCAAGGCTGTCTGTAAGAAGGCGCCTCAAACCAAACCAGGTGGATGGAAAAATTGGTGGGGAAGGTGAGAAGACAGCGATGCTGTTGTGAAACGTCTCAGAACAGGCAGATGAGGTTAGTTCATCCACCTGGTTTCTAACCTCATCCAACTGTGAAGCAGTGGGATGGGGAGATGAGAAAACAGCAATGCTGAGAAGGTGAGAGAACAGCGACGCTGTGAAGTGAAGTGAAGGAGAGAACAGTGATGCTGTTTTGAGATGTCTAGGTGGATGAGATGAGGTGAGAGGAGAGGGGAAGGTGAGACGACAGTGATGCTGGTGGCGGTGTGAATGAAAGGACTCGAGGGGATGTTCCATCTTCTGTAACACGTGCGGTGCCGTGCTGCCGATTGCCGATTTCTTTGCAGTTTCCCGAAATCGGGGGAGTTCTAGGAATGCCATTTTGTTTCGGCAGAATTACAGGGAGGTGAGTTTGGGAAGTGTGACAGTACAGGGAGGTGAGTGTAGCGTTGAGTAGGGAGAGGGTGGATGGGAGGGAAGTGACGTTGTTGCCTGCAGACCTGGTGTGAGAGGGGAGGAGGGGAAGAGGGGAAGGAGGGGAGGAGAGAGGAGGAGTAAATGTGAAAACGGGGTTGAGGGGAGGAGAAGGGAGGTAGGGGGTTTCCGGGAAAAGGGATGAGGAGAGAGAGGAGAAGGAAAAGGGGAAGCGAGGATACGATGGTTTCGGGAGAGACAAATGTTTGTCCAGCACAAGAATGTTTGTCCAGCACAAGAACCATCCAGCACAAGAACCATCCAGCACAAGAACCATCCAGCACAAGAACCATCCAGCACAAGAACCATCCAGCACAAGAACCATCCAGCACAAGAACCATCCAGCACAAGAACCATCCAGCACAAGAACCATCCAGCACAAGAACCATCCAGCACAAGAACCATCCAGCACAAGCACGAACCAATGCAATTTGTGATGCAGTGCAGGGCTGGTGTGAAAGGGGAATGGGGGGGTGGGGAAAGACGAGAAGAGGAAAACCACACATAGTGCCTTTCCCAATGTGCTTGAATGTAAGCAGCGGAAGGCGAAGGAGGGCAGGGAGAGGGCGACAGAGGAGAAACTACAGTTAGCGAGAGGGGAAGCGAGAGGGCACTGACAGGAAGGCTAGGGAAGGCAGTTCGCCAATAGAGTTGGGGAGAGAGCCGTTGACCCCATAGAGAGTGCTGCAGGGGGGAGTATCAGAGAGGGTCCGGGGGTGGCAGCGGGGACGACCCGGGTGAGATGGAACGGAAGTCAAGAGAGGGAAAGGGAGAGAGCCGTTGACCCCGTAGAGAGTGCTGCAGGAGAGATGACCGGAGTGGGTGGGGGGTTGAGTGAGCGAGATGTATGGTCGACGCAGATAACCCCAAAGAGCTCATTGCAGTTATTCCCCCTTTTTTGAGTCGAGTCTCAAGAGCCTTAAAACAACGTAACTCACAGTGCAACAACGTATCCGTAGTCGTCACAGATAACGCCAAAGGGCTCATCGCAATCCGTCCCCCTATTGAGTAACCCATTCTAGTAGGTCATCCATTTAGAACACACACAAACAAAACAACGTAACTCACAGAGCAACAACGTATCCAAGGTCATCGCAGATAACCCCAAAGAGCTCATCGCAGCTCTTGGCGCTCTTCCAGTACGACTTGGGGCTGCGAGCGGGGTTGGTGAAGTTGAGCTCATTGCGGATGCGCAGCAGCGTCTTCCCTGAAGGGGCGGATGGAGGGGAGGAGGGCAAGGTCGCATGCATTTGGTGGCAGGGGACGGGCGCAGGAACGCATCGCACAAGGAGAGGAATCATGAACTGGCATGGATATGTAGCATGAAGCTCTTCCAGTACGCCTTGGGTTGGGGCTGCGTGCGAGCAGGGTTGGTGAAGTTGAGCTCGTTGCGGATGCGCAGCAGCGTCTTCCCTGCAGAGGGGCATCATACATGCATGCAGGCACACGGCAACGGTGGCATGCAGGCAAACATTATGGACTGCCATCATCTTGCCGCTTGAAGCTCTTCCAGTGCGCCTTGGGGCTGCAGGCGGGGTTGGTGAAGTTGAGCTCGTTGCGGATGCGCAGCAGCGTCTTCCCTGCAGAGGGGCATCATACATGCATGCAGGCACACGGCAACGGTGGCATGCAGGCAAACATTATGGACTGCCATCATCTTGCCGCTTGAAGCTCTTCCAGTGCGCCTTGGGGCTGCAGGCGGGGTTGGTGAAGTTGAGCTCGTTGCGGATGCGCAGCAGCGTCTTCCCTGCAGAGGGGCATCATACATGCATGCAGGCACACGGCAACGGTGGCATGCAGGCAAACATTATGGACTGCCATCATCTTGCCGCTTGAAGCTCTTCCAGTGCGCCTTGGGGCTGCAGGCGGGGTTGGTGAAGTTGAGCTCGTTGCGGATGCGCAGCAGCGTCTTCCCTGCAGAGGGGCATCATACATGCATGCAGGCACACGGCAACGGTGGCATGCAGGCAAACATTATGGACTGCCATCATCTTGCCGCTTGAAGCTCTTCCAGTGCGCCTTGGGGCTGCAGGCGGGGTTGGTGAAGTTGAGCTCGTTGCGGATGCGCAGCAGCGTCTTCCCTGCAGAGGGGCATCATACATGCATGCAGGCACACGGCAACGGTGGCATGCAGGCAAACATTATGGACTGCCATCATCTTGCCGCTTGAAGCTCTTCCAGTGCGCCTTGGGGCTGCAGGCGGGGTTGGTGAAGTTGAGCTCGTTGCGGATGCGCAGCAGCGTCTTCCCTGCAGAGGGGCATCATACATGCATGCAGGCACACGGCAACGGTGGCATGCAGGCAAACATTATGGACTGCCATCATCTTGCCGCTTGAAGCTCTTCCAGTGCGCCTTGGGGCTGCAGGCGGGGTTGGTGAAGTTGAGCTCGTTGCGGATGCGCAGCAGCGTCTTCCCTGCAGAGGGGCATCATACATGCATGCAGGCACACGGCAACGGTGGCATGCAGGCAAACATTATGGACTGCCATCATCTTGCCGCTTGAAGCTCTTCCAGTGCGCCTTGGGGCTGCAGGCGGGGTTGGTGAAGTTGAGCTCGTTGCGGATGCGCAGCAGCGTCTTCCCTGCAGAGGGGCATCATACATGCATGCAGGCACACGGCAACGGTGGCATGCAGGCAAACATTATGGACTGCCATCATCTTGCCGCTTGAAGCTCTTCCAGTGCGCCTTGGGGCTGCAGGCGGGGTTGGTGAAGTTGAGCTCGTTGCGGATGCGCAGCAGCGTCTTCCCTGCAGAGGGGCATCATACATGCATGCAGGCACACGGCAACGGTGGCATGCAGGCAAACATTATGGACTGCCATCATCTTGCCGCTTGAAGCTCTTCCAGTGCGCCTTGGGGCTGCAGGCGGGGTTGGTGAAGTTGAGCTCGTTGCGGATGCGCAGCAGCGTCTTCCCTGCAGAGGGGCATCATACATGCATGCAGGCACACGGCAACGGTGGCATGCAGGCAAACATTATGGACTGCCATCATCTTGCCGCTTGAAGCTCTTCCAGTGCGCCTTGGGGCTGCAGGCGGGGTTGGTGAAGTTGAGCTCGTTGCGGATGCGCAGCAGCGTCTTCCCTGCAGAGGGGCATCATACATGCATGCAGGCACACGGCAACGGTGGCATGCAGGCAAACATTATGGACTGCCATCATCTTGCCGCTTGAAGCTCTTCCAGTGCGCCTTGGGGCTGCAGGCGGGGTTGGTGAAGTTGAGCTCGTTGCGGATGCGCAGCAGCGTCTTCCCTGCAGAGGGGCATCATACATGCATGCAGGCACACGGCAACGGTGGCATGCAGGCAAACATTATGGACTGCCATCATCTTGCCGCTTGAAGCTCTTCCAGTGCGCCTTGGGGCTGCAGGCGGGGTTGGTGAAGTTGAGCTCGTTGCGGATGCGCAGCAGCGTCTTCCCTGCAGAGGGGCATCATACATGCATGCAGGCACACGGCAACGGTGGCATGCAGGCGAACATTATGGACTGCCATCATCTTGCCGCTTGAAGCTCTTCCAGTGCGCCTTGGGGCTGCAGGCGGGGTTGGTGAAGTTGAGCTCGTTGCGGATGCGCAGCAGCGTCTTCCCTGCAGAGGGGCATCATACATGCATGCAGGCACACGGCAACGGTGGCATGCAGGCAAACATTATGGACTGCCATCATCTTGCCGCTTGAAGCTCTTCCAGTGCGCCTTGGGGCTGCAGGCGGGGTTGGTGAAGTTGAGCTCGTTGCGGATGCGCAGCAGCGTCTTCCCTGCAGAGGGGCATCATACATGCATGCAGGCACACGGCAACGGTGGCATGCAGGCAAACATTATGGACTGCCATCATCTTGCCGCTTGAAGCTCTTCCAGTGCGCCTTGGGGCTGCAGGCGGGGTTGGTGAAGTTGAGCTCGTTGCGGATGCGCAGCAGCGTCTTCCCTGCAGAGGGGCATCATACATGCATGCAGGCACACGGCAACGGTGGCATGCAGGCAAACATTATGGACTGCCATCATCTTGCCGCTTGAAGCTCTTCCAGTGCGCCTTGGGGCTGCAGGCGGGGTTGGTGAAGTTGAGCTCGTTGCGGATGCGCAGCAGCGTCTTCCCTGCAGAGGGGCATCATACATGCATGCAGGCACACGGCAACGGTGGCATGCAGGCAAACATTATGGACTGCCATCATCTTGCCGCTTGAAGCTCTTCCAGTGCGCCTTGGGGCTGCAGGCGGGGTTGGTGAAGTTGAGCTCGTTGCGGATGCGCAGCAGCGTCTTCCCTGCAGAGGGGCATCATACATGCATGCAGGCACACGGCAACGGTGGCATGCAGGCAAACATTATGGACTGCCATCATCTTGCCGCTTGAAGCTCTTCCAGTGCGCCTTGGGGCTGCAGGCGGGGTTGGTGAAGTTGAGCTCGTTGCGGATGCGCAGCAGCGTCTTCCCTGCAGAGGGGCATCATACATGCATGCAGGCACACGGCAACGGTGGCATGCAGGCAAACATTATGGACTGCCATCATCTTGCCGCTTGAAGCTCTTCCAGTGCGCCTTGGGGCTGCAGGCGGGGTTGGTGAAGTTGAGCTCGTTGCGGATGCGCAGCAGCGTCTTCCCTGCAGAGGGGGATCATACATGCATGCAGGCACACGGCAACGGTGGCATGCAGGCAAACATTATGGACTGCCATCATCTTGCCGCTTGAAGCTCTTCCAGTGCGCCTTGGGGCTGCAGGCGGGGTTGGTGAAGTTGAGCTCGTTGCGGATGCGCAGCAGCGTCTTCCCTGCAGAGGGGCATCATACATGCATGCAGGCACACGGCAACGGTGGCATGCAGGCAAACATTATGGACTGCCATCATCTTGCCGCTTGAAGCTCTTCCAGTGCGCCTTGGGGCTGCAGGCGGGGTTGGTGAAGTTGAGCTCGTTGCGGATGCGCAGCAGCGTCTTCCCTGCAGAGGGGCATCATACATGCATGCAGGCACACGGCAACGGTGGCATGCAGGCAAACATTATGGACTGCCATCATCTTGCCGCTTGAAGCTCTTCCAGTGCGCCTTGGGGCTGCAGGCGGGGTTGGTGAAGTTGAGCTCGTTGCGGATGCGCAGCAGCGTCTTCCCTGCAGAGGGGCATCATACATGCATGCAGGCACACGGCAACGGTGGCATGCAGGCAAACATTATGGACTGCCATCATCTTGCCGCTTGAAGCTCTTCCAGTGCGCCTTGGGGCTGCAGGCGGGGTTGGTGAAGTTGAGCTCGTTGCGGATGCGCAGCAGCGTCTTCCCTGCAGAGGGGCATCATACATGCATGCAGGCACACGGCAACGGTGGCATGCAGGCAAACATTATGGACTGCCATCATCTTGCCGCTTGAAGCTCTTCCAGTGCGCCTTGGGGCTGCAGGCGGGGTTGGTGAAGTTGAGCTCGTTGCGGATGCGCAGCAGCGTCTTCCCTGCAGAGGGGCATCATACATGCATGCAGGCACACGGCAACGGTGGCATGCAGGCAAACATTATGGACTGCCATCATCTTGCCGCTTGAAGCTCTTCCAGTGCGCCTTGGGGCTGCAGGCGGGGTTGGTGAAGTTGAGCTCGTTGCGGATGCGCAGCAGCGTCTTCCCTGCAGAGGGGCATCATACATGCATGCAGGCACACGGCAACGGTGGCATGCAGGCAAACATTATGGACTGCCATCATCTTGCCGCTTGAAGCTCTTCCAGTGCGCCTTGGGGCTGCAGGCGGGGTTGGTGAAGTTGAGCTCGTTGCGGATGCGCAGCAGCGTCTTCCCTGCAGAGGGGCATCATACATGCATGCAGGCACACGGCAACGGTGGCATGCAGGCAAACATTATGGACTGCCATCATCTTGCCGCTTGAAGCTCTTCCAGTGCGCCTTGGGGCTGCAGGCGGGGTTGGTGAAGTTGAGCTCGTTGCGGATGCGCAGCAGCGTCTTCCCTGCAGAGGGGCATCATACATGCATGCAGGCACACGGCAACGGTGGCATGCAGGCAAACATTATGGACTGCCATCATCTTGCCGCTTGAAGCTCTTCCAGTGCGCCTTGGGGCTGCAGGCGGGGTTGGTGAAGTTGAGCTCGTTGCGGATGCGCAGCAGCGTCTTCCCTGCAGAGGGGCATCATACATGCATGCAGGCACACGGCAACGGTGGCATGCAGGCAAACATTATGGACTGCCATCATCTTGCCGCTTGAAGCTCTTCCAGTGCGCCTTGGGGCTGCAGGCGGGGTTGGTGAAGTTGAGCTCGTTGCGGATGCGCAGCAGCGTCTTCCCTGCAGAGGGGCATCATACATGCATGCAGGCACACGGCAACGGTGGCATGCAGGCAAACATTATGGACTGCCATCATCTTGCCGCTTGAAGCTCTTCCAGTGCGCCTTGGGGCTGCAGGCGGGGTTGGTGAAGTTGAGCTCGTTGCGGATGCGCAGCAGCGTCTTCCCTGCAGAGGGGCATCATACATGCATGCAGGCACACGGCAACGGTGGCATGCAGGCAAACATTATGGACTGCCATCATCTTGCCGCTTGAAACTCTTCCAGTGCGCCTTGGGGCTGCAGGCGGGGTTGGTGAAGTTGAGCTCGTTGCGGATGCGCAGCAGCGTCTTCCCTGCAGAGGGGCATCATACATGCATGCAGGCACACGGCAACGGTGGCATGCAGGCAAACATTATGGACTGCCATCATCTTGCCGCTTGAAGCTCTTCCAGTGCGCCTTGGGGCTGCAGGCGGGGTTGGTGAAGTTGAGCTCGTTGCGGATGCGCAGCAGCGTCTTCCCTGCAGAGGGGCATCATACATGCATGCAGGCACACGGCAACGGTGGCATGCAGGCAAACATTATGGACTGCCATCATCTTGCCGCTTGAAGCTCTTCCAGTGCGCCTTGGGGCTGCAGGCGGGGTTGGTGAAGTTGAGCTCGTTGCGGATGCGCAGCAGCGTCTTCCCTGCAGAGGGGCATCATACATGCATGCAGGCACACGGCAACGGTGGCATGCAGGCAAACATTATGGACTGCCATCATCTTGCCGCTTGAAGCTCTTCCAGTGCGCCTTGGGGCTGCAGGCGGGGTTGGTGAAGTTGAGCTCGTTGCGGATGCGCAGCAGCGTCTTCCCTGCAGAGGGGCATCATACATGCATGCAGGCACACGGCAACGGTGGCATGCAGGCAAACATTATGGACTGCCATCATCTTGCCGCTTGAAGCTCTTCCAGTGCGCCTTGGGGCTGCAGGCGGGGTTGGTGAAGTTGAGCTCGTTGCGGATGCGCAGCAGCGTCTTCCCTGCAGAGGGGCATCATACATGCATGCAGGCACACGGCAACGGTGGCATGCAGGCAAACATTATGGACTGCCATCATCTTGCCGCTTGAAGCTCTTCCAGTGCGCCTTGGGGCTGCAGGCGGGGTTGGTGAAGTTGAGCTCGTTGCGGATGCGCAGCAGCGTCTTCCCTGCAGAGGGGCATCATACATGCATGCAGGCACACGGCAACGGTGGCATGCAGGCAAACATTATGGACTGCCATCATCTTGCCGCTTGAAGCTCTTCCAGTGCGCCTTGGGGCTGCAGGCGGGGTTGGTGAAGTTGAGCTCGTTGCGGATGCGCAGCAGCGTCTTCCCTGCAGAGGGGCATCATACATGCATGCAGGCACACGGCAACGGTGGCATGCAGGCAAACATTATGGACTGCCATCATCTTGCCGCTTGAAGCTCTTCCAGTGCGCCTTGGGGCTGCAGGCGGGGTTGGTGAAGTTGAGCTCGTTGCGGATGCGCAGCAGCGTCTTCCCTGCAGAGGGGCATCATACATGCATGCAGGCACACGGCAACGGTGGCATGCAGGCAAACATTATGGACTGCCATCATCTTGCCGCTTGAAGCTCTTCCAGTGCGCCTTGGGGCTGCAGGCGGGGTTGGTGAAGTTGAGCTCGTTGCGGATGCGCAGCAGCGTCTTCCCTGCAGAGGGGCATCATACATGCATGCAGGCACACGGCAACGGTGGCATGCAGGCAAACATTATGGACTGCCATCATCTTGCCGCTTGAAGCTCTTCCAGTGCGCCTTGGGGCTGCAGGCGGGGTTGGTGAAGTTGAGCTCGTTGCGGATGCGCAGCAGCGTCTTCCCTGCAGAGGGGCATCATACATGCATGCAGGCACACGGCAACGGTGGCATGCAGGCAAACATTATGGACTGCCATCATCTTGCCGCTTGAAACTCTTCCAGTGCGCCTTGGGGCTGCAGGCGGGGTTGGTGAAGTTGAGCTCGTTGCGGATGCGCAGCAGCGTCTTCCCTGCAGAGGGGCATCATACATGCATGCAGGCACACGGCAACGGTGGCATGCAGGCAAACATTATGGACTGCCATCATCTTGCCGCTTGAAGCTCTTCCAGTGCGCCTTGGGGCTGCAGGCGGGGTTGGTGAAGTTGAGCTCGTTGCGGATGCGCAGCAGCGTCTTCCCTGCAGAGGGGCATCATACATGCATGCAGGCACACGGCAACGGTGGCATGCAGGCAAACATTATGGACTGCCATCATCTTGCCGCTTGAAGCTCTTCCAGTGCGCCTTGGGGCTGCAGGCGGGGTTGGTGAAGTTGAGCTCGTTGCGGATGCGCAGCAGCGTCTTCCCTGCAGAGGGGCATCATACATGCATGCAGGCACACGGCAACGGTGGCATGCAGGCAAACATTATGGACTGCCATCATCTTGCCGCTTGAAGCTCTTCCAGTGCGCCTTGGGGCTGCAGGCGGGGTTGGTGAAGTTGAGCTCGTTGCGGATGCGCAGCAGCGTCTTCCCTGCAGAGGGGCATCATACATGCATGCAGGCACACGGCAACGGTGGCATGCAGGCAAACATTATGGACTGCCATCATCTTGCCGCTTGAAGCTCTTCCAGTGCGCCTTGGGGCTGCAGGCGGGGTTGGTGAAGTTGAGCTCGTTGCGGATGCGCAGCAGCGTCTTCCCTGCAGAGGGGCATCATACATGCATGCAGGCACACGGCAACGGTGGCATGCAGGCAAACATTATGGACTGCCATCATCTTGCCGCTTGAAGCTCTTCCAGTGCGCCTTGGGGCTGCAGGCGGGGTTGGTGAAGTTGAGCTCGTTGCGGATGCGCAGCAGCGTCTTCCCTGCAGAGGGGCATCATACATGCATGCAGGCACACGGCAACGGTGGCATGCAGGCAAACATTATGGACTGCCATCATCTTGCCGCTTGAAGCTCTTCCAGTGCGCCTTGGGGCTGCAGGCGGGGTTGGTGAAGTTGAGCTCGTTGCGGATGCGCAGCAGCGTCTTCCCTGCAGAGGGGCATCATACATGCATGCAGGCACACGGCAACGGTGGCATGCAGGCAAACATTATGGACTGCCATCATCTTGCCGCTTGAAGCTCTTCCAGTGCGCCTTGGGGCTGCAGGCGGGGTTGGTGAAGTTGAGCTCGTTGCGGATGCGCAGCAGCGTCTTCCCTGCAGAGGGGCATCATACATGCATGCAGGCACACGGCAACGGTGGCATGCAGGCAAACATTATGGACTGCCATCATCTTGCCGCTTGAAGCTCTTCCAGTGCGCCTTGGGGCTGCAGGCGGGGTTGGTGAAGTTGAGCTCGTTGCGGATGCGCAGCAGCGTCTTCCCTGCAGAGGGGCATCATACATGCATGCAGGCACACGGCAACGGTGGCATGCAGGCAAACATTATGGACTGCCATCATCTTGCCGCTTGAAGCTCTTCCAGTGCGCCTTGGGGCTGCAGGCGGGGTTGGTGAAGTTGAGCTCGTTGCGGATGCGCAGCAGCGTCTTCCCTGCAGAGGGGCATCATACATGCATGCAGGCACACGGCAACGGTGGCATGCAGGCAAACATTATGGACTGCCATCATCTTGCCGCTTGAAGCTCTTCCAGTGCGCCTTGGGGCTGCAGGCGGGGTTGGTGAAGTTGAGCTCGTTGCGGATGCGCAGCAGCGTCTTCCCTGCAGAGGGGCATCATACATGCATGCAGGCACACGGCAACGGTGGCATGCAGGCAAACATTATGGACTGCCATCATCTTGCCGCTTGAAGCTCTTCCAGTGCGCCTTGGGGCTGCAGGCGGGGTTGGTGAAGTTGAGCTCGTTGCGGATGCGCAGCAGCGTCTTCCCTGCAGAGGGGCATCATACATGCATGCAGGCACACGGCAACGGTGGCATGCAGGCAAACATTATGGACTGCCATCATCTTGCCGCTTGAAGCTCTTCCAGTGCGCCTTGGGGCTGCAGGCGGGGTTGGTGAAGTTGAGCTCGTTGCGGATGCGCAGCAGCGTCTTCCCTGCAGAGGGGCATCATACATGCATGCAGGCACACGGCAACGGTGGCATGCAGGCAAACATTATGGACTGCCATCATCTTGCCGCTTGAAGCTCTTCCAGTGCGCCTTGGGGCTGCAGGCGGGGTTGGTGAAGTTGAGCTCGTTGCGGATGCGCAGCAGCGTCTTCCCTGCAGAGGGGCATCATACATGCATGCAGGCACACGGCAACGGTGGCATGCAGGCAAACATTATGGACTGCCATCATCTTGCCGCTTGAAGCTCTTCCAGTGCGCCTTGGGGCTGCAGGCGGGGTTGGTGAAGTTGAGCTCGTTGCGGATGCGCAGCAGCGTCTTCCCTGCAGAGGGGCATCATACATGCATGCAGGCACACGGCAACGGTGGCATGCAGGCAAACATTATGGACTGCCATCATCTTGCCGCTTGAAGCTCTTCCAGTGCGCCTTGGGGCTGCAGGCGGGGTTGGTGAAGTTGAGCTCGTTGCGGATGCGCAGCAGCGTCTTCCCTGCAGAGGGGCATCATACATGCATGCAGGCACACGGCAACGGTGGCATGCAGGCAAACATTATGGACTGCCATCATCTTGCCGCTTGAAGCTCTTCCAGTGCGCCTTGGGGCTGCAGGCGGGGTTGGTGAAGTTGAGCTCGTTGCGGATGCGCAGCAGCGTCTTCCCTGCAGAGGGGCATCATACATGCATGCAGGCACACGGCAACGGTGGCATGCAGGCAAACATTATGGACTGCCATCATCTTGCCGCTTGAAGCTCTTCCAGTGCGCCTTGGGGCTGCAGGCGGGGTTGGTGAAGTTGAGCTCGTTGCGGATGCGCAGCAGCGTCTTCCCTGCAGAGGGGCATCATACATGCATGCAGGCACACGGCAACGGTGGCATGCAGGCAAACATTATGGACTGCCATCATCTTGCCGCTTGAAGCTCTTCCAGTGCGCCTTGGGGCTGCAGGCGGGGTTGGTGAAGTTGAGCTCGTTGCGGATGCGCAGCAGCGTCTTCCCTGCAGAGGGGCATCATACATGCATGCAGGCACACGGCAACGGTGGCATGCAGGCAAACATTATGGACTGCCATCATCTTGCCGCTTGAAGCTCTTCCAGTGCGCCTTGGGGCTGCAGGCGGGGTTGGTGAAGTTGAGCTCGTTGCGGATGCGCAGCAGCGTCTTCCCTGGAGGGGGAACAACAGGTAGGCATTGCATTGGGTTGCAAGGAACGGGCGCGGGGACGCATTGGGTAGCAAGGGACAGGGTCACAGGGATCATGGACTGGCATGATCATGTCACAACCCTGGTCTCCTCTTCCAGTGCGCCTTGGGGCTGCGACCAGGGTTGGTCGAGTTAATCTCATTGCGGATGCGCAGCAGCGCCTTCCCTGGAAGGGCAGTCAGAGGGGAGGCATGCAGTGGCATGGAGCGAATCCGGCCATCATGCTTTGAGGCTCATGGCATGCCATGGTGTGGCATGGCATGGAGTGAAACGGAATGGCATGGCATGGTAGGGATTGCATGGCATGGAATGGCATGGCGTGCTGTCGCATAGAGTGGAAAGAAATGGGATGGCATGGGATTGCACGGCATTGCATGGCATGGAATGACGATCGGAAGGGACACTGGGATTGGTCTGGAAGGTCTGCTGGAAAGTGGGGGCGAAAGGGGGAGGGAGCGCGAGCGGGAGGGGGTGGTTTTGTGGGTGGAGGGGGAACAGATGGACACAGTTGGCGACGAAGTCTCTCAATGCAGACCGGACAGCAGAACGAAGTCTCGGGACGGACACAGCGCAACGCCATCATTGCTTGACTTGAGCGAAAATCCATGAGTGGTAACCAGAAAACGTTACAGTCTGGCTCGTTAACGGATTCAGTCAATGAATTGACTGATTCTGAGGAGCAGCGACAGTACTACTAGGCGAGCCGTGACGGACATAGCACGACGGACTCCAGCGACAAACTGTTACTGGTAACCATGAAACGTACAGTCGGTTCCGTTGACGGCTTGAGCAGACGCGGCCTGCTGCTGCAGGGCTAGCGAGAGCAGAAACACGGCCGCGAGCGACAGACTTAATCGCGAAACGTGGGAACGACGCGTTCTCTCTCCCCTCCTCGTTTCCAATATTTTGTCGTCCGGACTCTCCATTTCCGAGGGTACCGCGTGGAACTAGCAACTAATCGAGCCGCGACGTCGGCGGGAGGCACACGTTTGGTACTCCGCGCATTTTCGTGACCCGACTAAGCGTTGTATTTGCGAGTTTTAGGGCAAGTGAATGATTGTACGGTATGAAAACCGACGCGCTGGTCGTAGTATGAAACGCTGAATGCGTGAATGACTGGAGCGTCCGAATTGGCGAATCCAGCCAGAATGAGAGCTAGCGCGACTCGATCGGAAAGGAATATCACGAAAGTGTGACTAGCGAGGCTTTCTCGTTGACGTTGAGCGAGGGAATGGCCAGCGAGGGAAGAGCGGATGAAACTGTCAGGGAGGGATTGGCTAGAAAGGTAATGGCTAGGGAGGGAATGGCTAAGGAGAAAGCCTCGAAGTCGAAGAGTGGAAGGCAGAGGCTCCTTTTCCTTATCCTGCCAAGATGGAAACGCGTCAGGCATTTTCTTGAACGCCATCATATTCCCCATGGCTGTCAGAAACAGCAATCCCTATAGAGGGACAACCTGGCGGCGAATTTCTGACAAGCATTTGTGACAACGGTGGAAAGGAAACATTTGAATGAAGAGAGCAACAACCAGCTTGCTCTTCACAGCAAAGCTCCGAAAAGCATTTTCAAATTCATTTGTTGCATCGCATAGCAAAACCAAATTGTTTTGCTCAATGATTTTCAGCATATTTTCACGAGACCGTGGCGGTCTCTCCCGCATATATAATTTCTGTTTGGGAGGCAAGGCTGGTGTACAGTGCATTGTATCGAGCTGTCTGACTTTGTTCGACAGCTGCCCAGTGCCCACTGCCCATCGCCTCCTTTCCAAGCCAAGCACCAGCTTTCTGATTCGCGCGAATCAGCAACCCCGTTGAGCCCACACTCTGCCAGCAGGCTCCCTGCTCCTCCCACCCGCTTCGGGATTGCTACCGTACAGCAACTGTACATTCACCTACATCTTATACGGAAGCTACCTTTGCCTGTATTTCTCTCATATTCGAAACGAGGTTGCTTATATTGCATAAAGAGTGGCTTGGCTGCCAGCACAAAAAGGACACCTGACTCAAAGCTGAGAGGAACTCAGGAGGAGTGGGTAAAAAAACTGAAGCAGTACTTTCCACCGCGTTCCGCTGTATAGGCGATTAATTCACGCGTATTCGTACAGGCTGTACAAACGCTAGTGTCCGTTCGCAACTGTGCTTCGGAGTCGGGAACTTTTCGACGTTCACCCTGAGCGTACCTCGCTGTTCATCCCGTAGCGTTCGCATCATGCGTACACCATAGCCTGCTGTGACACGGTTCATGCGTTGCGTTGCGTTTCGCGAGAGAGGGAGGATAAGTCACGCGATACTCCTTCCATACATTCGCTGCGAGAATTACGCCATTTGTCGGACGCTCCTCAGGACATACTATACGAGCGATTTTAGAGAATTCTAAAGGATGTCACTGAATGCCACTATCCAAGCCGTGTCGGAATGTCGTCCCTAACGGTTAAGGAGATCGAGGGGACGTTTAGGATGAAATCAACTTTCCTTGTGACAATGAATGTGACAAAAAGGGCGTGCCGAAGCCGCTACTAGGAGCGAGGAGAGCCGACTGAGTGGCTTTTAAGCAATATGCGCTGTAGCAGGAGATGCTGTAGCGGGACAACCCGCTGCGCTATGCACTTCAATGGAACAAAGTGTAGCGGGAATTTTTTCACCGAAATGCGTTGTAATGAAACGCGCTATACCGGGATTCACTGCAGAAGCACCCGGTCCCCGTCCGTGGTGCCACGTGGCATGCTCCGCGGCAGCCCCTCGCTGCTGTTGTTACTGCTGCCGCTACTACTGCTTCTCCTTCCCTCTTGCAACAGACCGCCCGGCGCTGCTGCTGTTGCCGTCCTCTACCCGCAATGTACGCAAATAGCCTCTGGTTGTCCTCTACCCGCAATGTACGTACGTAGTCTCTTGTCGTGCTCTTGAGTCTAGATTCTAGAAGCCGTACGTGGTTCTATGTTGCTGCTCTGCTGCTCCCTATCCGCTATGTGATTCTTTTATAACTCGTGATTCCAACTCTCCGTTATGTGACATTCGCTAAGTTGTGTGATGTCCTCCTTATACACATACCCTCATGTGCATCAGACCATCATTGTGTCTAGTAACCTCTGACATTACTACACAAGTTCATTAATTTCAATAACCTAGATACCTTGAGAAGATATCACAACAGCACTTTAACAGCTGCGTCTCTCCAGAGCCCCTTCCTCATCTTCCCTATCCGCCCATCATCCTCGTTACAGGGCTGGCTCTCGTTTCGATAAGAGACGGGCTCACTTTCCTGTACCCTAGCCGCAGCCCTAAGGTGTTTTGGACCAGCCGCTCGGATTGCTCCCTGCTCTTTGGGGCCGGCTGCGATTCCCTCGGAAACGTCGTGTCTCTGTGAGTGTACTACTCAGTGTACCGTCGTCTTTAGGGACACAAACGCATTGCTCCCCGCTCGTCTGAACCGACTACAATTCCCCGGAGATCGTTGTCTCCATGAGTGTACACACCTTACGATATTGTTGGAATGTTCAGGATTTCAGCAACTGTGTCGCTGTGAGTCCTACACGTGCTAAGTCTGAGCCTGCTCTGCTCTGGCACCAACCCGAGCAGGTCTTTGTACGATGCGATCGGGACAATCCCTTCTGAGCTGGGTGACTTGACAGCGCTGCTATCCCTGTGAGTGACCACACACACTGCACATGTAACGCACCCCCCAAGCAGGTCTTTGTACGATGCGATTGGGACAATGCCTTCTGAGCTCGGAAACTTGACAGCGTTACTATCCCTGTGAGCGAGCACACCACACACGCGGCACACGCACACACGCACACATGCAAACACACACACACACACACACACACACACACACACACACACACACACACATGGCACATGCACACAGGCACGCACACACACAGGCACACACGCACACAGGCACGCACACAGGCATGCACACACGCGGCACACACGCACACATGCACGCACAGAGGCACGCACGTATTGTCCAGGTTTCTTCTGATTCGACTCGAAGCAATACCTTATGAGCTGGGTGGCTTGACAGCGTTGCTATCCCTGTGAGAAAGCACACTGCACGCGGAACACATATGCACGCACGCACGGACACACACACACACATCCAGGTGTGTTCTGAGTCAAGTCTAAACATTTTTTCCCCTTCCCACCCGCCATCTTCTCATCGCCATCTCTCCTCTTCCCACCTTCCATTCCTCCCCCTTCCTCTCCCCCCAACCACCACCCACCCCCGTCTGACATGCCACCAGAACTGCAAACGGCAACATTCTGGTGGCGCAGATAAGTCTCCAGTTAATTAACTGCTATTATGTTGAATACGTTCCCAACCTCCCAGCGTCCACAACACACTCCCTCCCTCCCCCCCCATTTCTCCTCCCCCTCTCCCCTCACACCCACCCTCCCCAACCTGCCATGCCACCAGAACTGCAAACGGCAACATTCCCAGCCTCCCAGCGTCCACAACGCAGCTCACCTCGCTAACACTCTTGTAGGGGGTTGAAAGGGGCTAGAACCATTGCAAGCCATGGTCGTTTTGTGCCTTTCTACTCCTTTAAAAGGCGTCCGCAATGCAGCTCACCTCGCTAACTCTCCTGTACGATAGAACTTCCATGTATGCAGTCCCCCTCCCCCCTTCCCTTCGCTTCGCATACCCTACCTTAACCTCACCTTGCTAACACTACTCCACAATATCTCTTCCTTGCAGTCCCATCCCATCCCTTCCCTCCCTTATCACAATACCTTTCTTTCGCCTCATTAACATTCCTCTACAATACCTCTTCCATCCAGCTTCTTCCTTACCTTTCATTCGCCTCTGTGCCGTCCGTCCCCCTCTGCGTCGCCTAACCCCACCCCTCCCCTACCCACCCCTCCCCTGGGCCCTTGCCCCCTCCCCTACCCACCCCTCCCCTGGGCCCTTCCCCCCTCCCTTACCCACCCTTCTCCTTGCCACCCCCCTCACCACACTCACCACGAGGCAGGTCGTTCAGCAAGAGCGGTCTCACAGGAGCGTTTCCCTCCGTCATCTCCGCACTCAAGAAACTCAAAGACCTGTATGTATGTGCG